TTACTTATTCTAATTATGCCCAACAAGCACGGGTAAGCCGTTTTATAGTGAACTCTCATTACCTGAAGACAGATATCTTTTCTCCAAAGATATGTTATAATTTAGCCTACGTGATACACGGAGGATAAAATCTTATTGGTAGTCTCACAATGTGAATAACTTATTTAATGGTAAGTTGAGTCTTACAATATAAGTCACTGTTCTTGAGTGTGTGTGGGTGTGGGTGTGGGGTGTGCATGAGGGTTTATGTTCTTATACTGAAAAGTCATAATCACACCCACACCACGTTTTTAATAACTTTCCTTGCGATGTGTGAATGGAAAAACAGAAGTTTATTGAAAAAAGAATGCAAAGTATAATGAAATGAATTAAAACACACGCCATATTTAATGATCGGAGTGCAAGCGAGAAAAGTAAGAAACCGATAGTCTGTCTGAAGTAAGTAATGATTAATGTTCAATAGTATTTATCAGCCAAAACGACTGCTCATGCCTACTGAAAGTGCGCCCAACACCACAGCTTGATAACGACTTACAGCATACGAAGGGGCTGAGCTACCTCTGGCGCTGCAATAAGCATTGTTGATGTATGTGCCGCACGTGCTTGTATAAACATTTTTGCAGTAGATTTGGCATGAGGTCGCTGTGCACGAACTCAAAGACGTAGTTCCCATCGAAGATGAAGTCAGCGAGCCGTTGGACGAGCAGAGACAGTTGCATGTGGAAGTAGTCAATGCCAATGAGGACCAGGCACACGAGCTCCCACAACACCCGTACGTGTTACTGCTTATGCAATTGCTATAGTCTGACTCACACGTACTGGCACAGCTGGATGCTGATGAGCAGCTTGTCGACGGATAGTACGAGTAACTACCACACGTGCATGAGCATGTACTCAGTGAAGAAGAGTACCAGGCACAGGAATTCCCAACACACCCGTATGCGTTTGTGACTTGGCAAGAGCTATAGGTGGAGTAACACGCACTAACGCAGCTCGACGCTGATAAGTATGTTCCCGGCGGAGTGTATGTGTAAATTCCACAAGTACACACGCAGTTCTGCCCATAAATAGACGCGATCAACATCAAACTGAGCAATACATACCAAGATACGCGCTGCATTTTTCTTGAAGTGTTTCGTAGTCTTTTCTACAATTGAAATGAAACTGTTGTTTACTTGCATACCTTTTTATACAGAGAGAAGCATTCTCACGTCGACTAAAAACATCATTGGAAGCAAAAAGGAAAAGTTCGCCGTTATACAGTGAATACTACATCGCAACCAATCTATCTTTTTCGACGTCTAGAAGACCACTGAATATGCTTCATGAAAAAACAAAGAGAAGCAATTGTTACGAAAGATCAACATTTTCCAAGTCACATCGCGCTCAAACATCAACTTGTTTACTGAGTGATTTATCAGTAGTCCTCTCGAGTTCTGAGCCATCGATTGCTTGCAAGGAAAGATCTATGACTTTCTCAGTCTTTTCAAGCGAAAATATAGAACTAACAACGGTCTTATACAAGAGCAGGAAAAGCAACATGCAACCTGGTACTTTTCAAAGTCACCACAAAATTCGTCCCTGGTGAAGTTTCTATAGGTTAGTAGGTTTTACGCGAACTCTCTCTTAAATATTTGTTACGTTTTTAGAAGCGTCTGACTTGCCTTTCTTGATGTGTGGTTGCTTTCAAAATCCAAACTGTTCACTTGCCGATGAAATCGACTAAAGAAAAGCACGAAGGAAGCTCGTTATATAAGGCTGATTTTATCTGGATGTATCAAAGAAAGTGAGTTCAAGCGAAAACAAACGAATCAGAATATTTGCCTCGAACAATGTGCAGGCACCATAAAGCTTTGCTTATTAATATAAGCGCAAGTAATGCTGCTTTTGATTTCACGTAGCTTTCACTCATTCATACAGATGTAAGTGCTTGTGCATAATGACTGGAGTGTAACTCAGTTTTTTCGCGAAAGAGGCAATGGGTCTATTAACTGTCGAAAAATGTCCGATTATATTATTTTTTTCCTTCCATCGATATGAAAAACAATGCGTAGTATCGATTGGTGCATTATAATACAGTAAAATAGAGTATACAAATAAACAAAATAAGAGATCACGTTCCTATTTTCAATAGGACATTAATCGTCTGCACTTTTCTCGAGGACTATGCAATGCGCAACAACTGAAAAAAATTCCGCTGTTAAGCTAGGGTTTTATGCAGGTATGGGCGAGTCAAGCGATTTCTCGCGTCGAGTCGAGTCAAATTATTTTTACAATTTTTCTCGTTTTCTGTTTCTGTTTATAAAGAACGTAAACCACAGATTTTTCATTACATGATATGTAGTTCCTAGTTTTTATGCAAAAAAACAAAAATAAGAAGTTACACAGAAAATGAAATCCTGCAACTACTATAGATTAATCAATACAATAATGGAAATAAGATCAACCCTTTTTTTTGTACAGTTCCACATTACAGTGAAAAATATCACTTCTTTTTATAAACAAAAGCCTAAACAAATATTTGTCTAAAAGTAAAATTTATTTATTATCATTAAATTGATGCCTTATTACAAATTAAAAATGCTAACATACACATTTTAGCTGCTGTAAAACTTCCAGGGTGTGGGTGTGGGTGTGGGTAAAGAGAATAAATACACCCACGTCCACACCCTACTGAATTCTATCGTGGGGTGGGTGTGTGCACTCAAAACAAAAGGTTCCATGTGGAACTTAATTTGCAACGAAATCGAAACCTTCTTAGAGGTTTCGTATGGACCTAGTATGCTTTCAAAAGACTTATAAAGAGTCTAGGATACTTTTTTAAGGTTTCGATGAAAGTCTACGAGACCTTGAAAAGGCTTAAATTCGTTGCAAATCTCGAAACCTTTTTCAAGTTCCGTAGTATGTACGAAACTATTTTTAAATTTCGTAGCACGCACGAAACCATTTTTGGCACTGAAAGGTTCCGCATGGAACCTTTTTTTTCAGTGCGGGTGTGGGTGTATTTATTCTCTTTACTCACAGCCACACCCGCACCCCGAAACTCAGCCATAGTTTTGATTGTTTTAGTTGTTACTCCTTCCCTTCATTGGAATACAACAGGGATAACTGTTATTGGTGTAGGAGGTTCACCGGGTAATAATTCCAGTCAACTTAATACTCCAGCTGATGTATCAGTAGATTTTTCAAACACACTTTATATAGCTGATTACGGCAATAGTCGAATACAAAAATGGTTGAGCAGTGCATCGAACGGTATTACAGTTGCAGGACAAGCCAGTGGAATATCTGGTTCAAATCGACTGATCTACAACATCCAGCTGGTATACTTGTTGATTTAACTGGAAATATTTATATAGCAGATACCAACAATCATATAATTCGATTCTGGGCAAAAGGTGCGCTGTCCGGAGTGACAATTGCGGGAACAGGTAAGTATTCAACACTAATAGAAATGCATATTCTAGTTTATTCATCAAGATCTATTCGAAATATCTTTATAATACTATAGAAAAAATCTTAACGAACAGGGAGACCTGTACTCTGAAAAAAATAAAGGAGGTTTACAGAACCCTCCGAAAAGGTTCTGCAGATTTTCAAAATGCTCCAAATGCGTTCAAAGTCTCAAAAATAGGATAAAAATTTTGACAGAACCTTTTGAAGGTTCTGCGTTTTACCCAAGTGCAGAACCATCTCTTACAGAACCTTTNGTTTTGTACAGAACCTTCAAGGTTTCGTATTTTCTCACGGAACCTTTTTTTGCTGTACAGAACCGAAAAAAAGGTTCTGTAAGAAATGGTTCTGCACTTGGGTAAAACGCAGAACCTTCAAAAGGTTCTTTAAGAGATGGTTCTGCACTTGGGTAAAACGCAGAACCTTCAAAAGGTTCTTTAAGAGATGGTTCTGCACTTGGGTAAAACGCAGAACCTTCAAAAGGTTCTGTAAGAGATGGTTCTGCACTTGAGTAAAACGCAGAACCTTCAAAAGGTTCTGTAAGAGATGGTTCTGCACTTGAGTAAAACGCAGAACCTTCAAAAGGTTCTGTCAAAATTTTTATCCTATTTTTGAGACTTTGAACGCATTTGGAGCATTTTGAAAATCTGCAGAACCTTTTCGGAGGGTTCTGTAAACCTCCTTTATTTTTTTCCGAGTAGGTGAGCGTTTCACCGACAAAACTAAAGAATCAAAATTTCAGCTATTTATTATTTAGTTGATCTTCGTATCGTGTTTTTTTCAATAGATTAAAAGTTTTTACTTCTTTGAAAAAATCATTATTATATTCCTTTTCTACAGATCAGACTTGAAGGTAAATGTAGAACAAAGGGTGTGGGTAAAGAGAATAAATACACCCACACCCACACCCTTTTTTTAGAAAGTAGGAGAATAATCTATATTGCATCCATATTGCCTTTAATTTCATAATTTTCTACAAATTTTTGGACTTGAAACTATAGAAAATTACAAGTGGGATCGGAATCTAAAGCAACTTTAGCAAAAACAACATTGTAACAAATATTGTCTAGTCTTTGAAAAGTATTTTAAATGGTGATATTATGTTTTATCCAAAAAAAAAAGATTGTTTATCAATTGACTACTTTAAATAACATCTGAAACTAGAGAAAAAGTCAATTTCATAGTTAAACACGTGAAAGATATGTTTTTCTTCGATTAAATGTTTTTAAAGCTACTTTTCAAAAACTGTTTGTGATAGCCAATCGAGATAACGAAAGAGAATGAAAGCTAAGGACAAATGCCAAGGACATGAACATAAATACAAAACATAGAGGAGAAAATAATAGTCACGCTTAACTTTGAGCGTTACACTGCTTGCAAATTTTAAACTTCAAAACACAAGCCATCTAAGAAACTGAAACGATAATTCTCATAGAAAAGAACTAGGGTGTAAGTGTGGGTCTTTATCTCTCGTTCATGTACACTCATTCACGCGCACATACTCATGACTTTCTGTATCGCAAAAGTGATTGGAAAATAAAATTTATTTAGTTCAAGCAAGTCGAATTTACAATATAAAAATCATTTTTACGTTTGTGCCCAAAACGATATTCACAACTTTTTGCGTAAGCCTGGATAGCTCGTATCCATTCTCTTTGACGACAATATATCATGGCCATATTATCATGGATTTGCGCTAATGTTTCACGATCTATCGGTAATATTTTGCCATAACTCTCAGCAGCTTTTTGCAATGTTTCTAAAGATTTTTCATCAGCAGTACGTTTCTCATATAAAACAAGTCCAATATCAAAATAATTTCGTGCTATTGATAGTTTTTTAGTTAAATAAGGTGATTTCATATTAATATCAAGAGCTATTTCTAGATATACTAAGGATATATCATAATTTTTCAAGCTTAAATGAACACTACTTAGTTCATTATATATCAGCGCAAGATTAGGTTCAACTAATAGAGATGATTTTGAAAATATCTCAATTGATTTCTCTAAATTGTCTAATGCGCTTTGTTTATCATCAAGCTTATTATATACTCGGCCAATGTTATAATAGGCCAATGCAAAACAAGATTCTTCCGGTGATAATGATTCATTGTGATATATTTCAAGCGCTTTTTTATGAAAACCAAGTGCATCTTCGTAATTAAATAATTTGAAATTTGTTACACCGATTCTTTCATATAAATGTGCAATGGCAATGCTACTTTGGTTTGACGATTGTTGTTCTAATTGAAGTGCATCTGTATAAGCTTTCAACGCTAAATTACTATCCTTTTCGCAATCACCAATACAAGTAGTAATACGTGCGATATTACTTACATCATTCGATGGAATATTTTTTAGTGCCATTTCATAATATTTTTGCGCTTTTTGGCACTCACCCATAGTACTTAAAATTGCCGCTATACTTTCAACTGTTGGGTTAGGACTAATGTTTTCCATAAGATGATCAGTTAATTCTTTCATATGTGTCTCATTTTCGTTATCATCAACTGACATTAAATTTATGAACCAAATATTATTATTATCTTTGAGTTTTCCAATATTTTCAATTCGAAATATTGCACCAATAGAAAATAATATTTCACTTTCACTTGTATTCGTACTAGCAAAGGGTTTTCTGTTGGTAATAGTATTGCATTCTAGCTGAAACAAAACAGATTCAAGTAAAGGGCTACGTGAGCCATCGCCCGCAAACGTTAACGCTAAATTGCGATTTAATGTTGTTGATAGAAATGAATTCATCGATATTAATCCACCAATATTACTTAATAACATTTTTAATTCACTGTTGGATAAATGTTGACCACGAAAAACAGTAAATTTTGGTGATGATAACATCTGCGTAGAATATTTTTGTAATGATATTAAATTATTATGCAAATTTTTAATAAAGTAACGAAATTTAAATATAATATCAATATTTTCTGTGCGTAATGCTGTGTTTAATAAACGATAGACAAATGAATCTTTTGTATACCAATCAATTGTTTTTTCTGAACAATATGTTTCTTTAAAACAATTAATTTTATTTAATTCATTATTATTATTTTTATAACATAACAGACACTCGTTAATCATGCTATTTTTAGCATCTTCTGTATCTGGCATGAGTATTAATATTTCAATTAACAACTGAAACCATATAAATGATACATATTCATCACTATTTAAATCACGACATGATTTTTCATTTGAACTTTTACTTAAAATCCTCATTGGTAATGTATTATCAACATTTGAATGTAATTTAATATCATCGTCTAACTGTTTCATTAAGTCATTCTCATCGTAGTAAATGGTGTAAACATTCTGATAATTACCATCATGCTTTATAGCATCTTTACATAATACATAAATGCATAACAATTGCGGTATTTGCCAAATTGATGGAATAATATTCATATGTAAACAAGACACGATTAAAAACACTTTCTGGTTATTCATCGATATTAGATTGTCTATACATTCATCAACATTATCAAATATTTCTACTTGATCAACAATATTATGTAATTTCTGTTTGCTGGCTTTTGTAATAACAGTATTAGTGAGCCAAAGAATAAGAGTTGGTTCGGGCTCTTTACCATAGCGTTTTAAATGATTACGTTCTATCATTTTTGGCAAAGAAAATTTTAATTCTGTAGCTAAACCGGTTTCTTTTGTCATCAGTGCAACAAGATCTGCAATAATTTGACCAGCATGACTTGATGATGATAGAATTGCTTCATTTGCTGAATTAAAACTGGATAATATAATACCCATTTCTTCTATTGGGCAAGGTGATGATGTTATTCGTGTTATAGTCGTTGAGATTCGACGATTATTTTGTGGTGATATTTCTTTTGAAATACATTTTAGTAAATCTTTCAAATTCATCTTAGATAGCAATGGATGATATCTTTTTCTGACTTTAGAATACGATGAAAAATTCGATTTTTCCACTTATGGAGCAATATAGAGTAAGATAAATACTTTGGATAATGACGAAGTTATATACTAGGTAGCGATTATTAAGAATATTTATGTTATGACATAGAATACTTACACTGTGTTTGTATAGGTAACAATTGGTAACTAAAAGACAAAAAGGAAATTTTTATTACTCATACATCTTCAAACATGTAGACAGAAAATAACAACAAAAAAAGGAAAATAATTGTAAATCTGCAAGTTCTGCTTAAATGCGAAGAGTCACTTCGATATATTTCGTATGCACTTGACACACGAAAGAAACAACGAGGATAAAAAAGAGAACTGCATGCAGAATAGATCTAACACAGAAAAGATAATATTCATCTATATATATAAACGTATATATGGTAGCTATGTCGGATAAATCCCAACAAACATACTAAAGAGAAAAAGGAAAAATCTAATAAAAAATGTAAAATGGTCACTGGGAATTTCCAACACCAGTATTGAAAATTTCAATGTGACATTCCAAAGGAAATCCCCTGTTAACATCTTTTTTAGAAAGTGTCCACCCACACCTAGGTACATCCTATGATTTCTATTTCTAACCGAAAGTGTCTTGGGTGCGGGTTCGTGATATCATCTTCTACAGGACTGTCTAACTGCTTCTATGTTTATTTCTCTGTTATCGTCTTCTTTGTTTGTATTTTCCTCTTTTTCGATCGGGTTGGAAACTGATCACTGATGCCCACAGGTCTTATTCTAAGCATCGATTGAACGTAGCTAGGAAACTAAATAGAATAGGGTAAAAGTTTTATTTAAAATTTGGAAATTTCTAGCAGATTGTAATAATTATAGGAACGCAATTTCTCGATGATAAATATTGAGATACCTGTGAAATGGTTTTTTATACGGTGCGAGTATCGAATGCATGAAAAATATTGAAAGTTTCATGTCTAAAAGACAAAAAAATTACAAAATATTTCGCTTGATTAATTAGTTGTTTACAGAATGAAGTCTATGGCATTCATAAAATATATGTCATCTCTTCATTTAAAGCAAACTAAAAGACTCATTTTGTTTTCTTAATCACGCCATCAAATATATTAGAAAAATCTACTTTTATTTTCAGAGAAAACTTATCATCGTTGCTATTTCTTTCTTAAGAGAGAATTCAAATAAGAACTTCGTATGATTTAGAAGACAATTTAATTCCTTATCTGGTTCAACATTATAATATATCTGTCTATTATGGGCATTATGTATTTATATAAATTCATTTATTCATTTTTCACCGTGTAAATTGACCAAAGAATAGGCAGATTATCATCGTTGATGAAATGATATATTACAAAAACAAAAGTTCTGCATGTTGTTGTGTTTGAGCGACAAACAGTCATATTTTATCATTTATTGACAAAACAGTGTAGGCAAACTGAGAGGTTAGATAATCGAAACTATTTAGCTGTCGTGATAACCAAAGTTCTCTTCTTTAAAAATGTTTTTGTTTTCATCAGGTTTACCTAGGGCAAAGATAGTTTGTAATAAAATTCTTTGAGATATTTTCATTAACTTAACCCTAAACACCTTGATCTCTTTAAACAACAGAATATTTTATTATATTCAATGGCAGTCCTCGGATGAGATTCAAGGTAGAATTCAACTCAGTAAACATGACTTAAGTATATCTGAATTAGAAAAAATCAAGAAGTATAGCTTTATTCATTATCTATGAGTTCATGTCATATATATTCTTCAAACAGGTAACTTTTAAAAACAAATATTCCATAGTAGTGTAGTTTTGAGTATTATTTGATTTTCATCATTAATAAAGCCAAGATCTTAATTCAACTTTATCTAATTTCTGCTACAGTCACTCACAATCAGTGAAAACAATCCTAAGCCTATTTATTACAAAACAATAGTTCAACGAGAGTATATTCCTCATTTATGGTAAAGATGACGAAACACCAACATGGCACTATATTCTTGTTCCTACTTGAAAATGTGGTGCTTCACAGGCACGCGAAGTTGGCTCAAATATTGATGTCACAGATTCTGGTCGCATAATTAAGTGTGGATGGGGAACTGGTCCACCTGAAAGAATTCTAAAAAGGGCTGAAGAACATTCCAGTAAGAAAAAGTCAATTTTTTTGAAGTTTACGTAAGTGTTCAGCTTGACTTCAAAATAGAGATGCACCAGTACAGTCGGGCTGAGTATCAAGTGTTTTCAAAGATCAAATTAACATGACTGAATGCGTTGCCATCCTATTCCTGACACCTCGAGCCACACCCAGTCACCCAGTCATGGCTGGTACTGGTGCGTGTCTACTTCAAAATAAAAATGGTGATTGTTTTACTTTTTCTAGATCATTTATTTTTTCATTATAGAGTGAGACTGGAAAAAATTAAGCCTTCGAATGATGACATTTTTTAACAGCGTCTTAATCAGTTATAAAATCGTTCATTATATCGCTGTCAAATTTACCAATGTAGTAAAAACAGGATGTGGGTGTAAATATATAGAAGATCCACACCCACACCCAAAATCGAATGAAAACTTAGTGATTTTGATTTGATAATCGAACTAAAATGTACCCGAGGTACAGATGGGTATACTGTTTTTTCATAACAACATCCAAGGTCAGAGCTAAAGACAGACACAAACCTACACCCGAAATTGTGTAGAGACAAGCAAGTTCTTATGCAATATCGAAAAAGTGTTCTGATTTTCATTAGAAAAAATGGTGATCTATGAATGGCTATTGGATAAAATTGACTAGAAGTTTTGACAAAAGCAAATAAATTATTCACAGAGATATTTTTATTCGATAAAATCTCGTAAAAAAATGAAAAATATGTTGATGACATGGATTAATAAAGCTGAGAGCATTAATTATGTCACAACAATACCCATATTTATCTGAAGTGCCAAAACAGTTTGAGATTTTCCAATAATCGTTCTTCAATGGTTATGAAGATGTACATTTGACCGATTAAAATGAAGAAAGCGTGTTAAAAAAGAAACCCTTGTAAATTGTTTAAACACATTTTTGGAACGTCGCATCTCAAATGTTTTAAGAGTTGAAACTCATGGTGTTTAAACTTTGTCTTTCCTATTTCGTTTTCGGTCTGAATTAGCTTGACAATAGCTGATAAATAATTGAGAATTAACCGTGTTAACATCTTGTTAACCTCACCTGAAAAGTCTTCCGATGATAGACTTTGATTCAATGGTAAATTATGAAAAATTTAATATACTTCGTTAGTACCGATTTAACTCTCAGGTAGGTGCAATCAGGTTCGGATCTATAGGAAAATGTGCGCAAGAGACAGAAATAAATTGCATTCATGTCTCATAAAGTTTCTCATCTGATCGGTTGAAAATCAGTATGATTTTCAATAAATCAATATGCAGTAAAAATATGACTATTTCGACGCTATGCATCTAAAGGTGTGTGTGAGAAGGCGACCGATACTGAAACCCACATACACACCCTCAAGAATTGAAGATTCAAATCAATTTTTTCGAAAATTTTATTCGGGATGTGTTTTAGGAGAAAAGCTACACCCACATATTTTATCTTATGACAAAACAGTGTCCTCTATCTGTGAAACTGCGGAAACGTCAGTCCTATGCCTATTGTACCTTTTGCAGCCAAAACTCGAAGCTAGGGTGTGGGTGTGGGTATGTTTTATAGCATACTACGATGCATTTCGACGTTGCTTAAGTGTCTGACCAGGTAGTTCTATCGTCTGTAACTATTCAATTGATTTGAAAATCATGAATAATTTCCACATTCTGCAGTTAATCTAGTTTGTTCAATGGTCCAAAATTGAATCAAAAGAAGGTTACTGCTTTAGCATTTTGATTTATATTGCATTGTAGAAAATCTGTGGGAATATAAGAGGTTGGAAAATGATGCATCTTTGTATAGTACCTATTACTGGTTTCGTGATTGGAGACGATGTGTTCAGATTGCTTGTTCTTCATAATTAGCTATGTGGCATGAAGAAGCTGTTACCTTTACTTTCTTTGCCGACGTGATTTGATGCTTTATTCGAAAATGTGATTATTGGGATCATTTTGATGATAACAGTTTTAGGTGTGTATTCATGTGTACATTTCTAATTGTGCTGACATGGAAGCAGCTAATGTGACGATTATATCGTATGCCCTTAGTTTCAGATTCGTTTTTGTGAAGATCTACTGTTACATTGCATATTTTCTATATTAATACGATGTGGGTGTGAAAATTGTGTATGAATGTCCTTTTCTTCTGTTATACACTGACACACTATCAATCAGGTTTTACGTTTTAGATCAGTCACAATTACACTAAAAGTGTTTTTCTGTCTACTGCAGCACGACCTTTGGCGAAAGCAAAAATGGCTTCAATAGCATCTAGACTTGTATTATATTGTATATCGAGCAGACAATAAGAAAAGGAAAGAAAGAACAGAAGTTCAAGTTATCAAATAGCAAGCTGGCATATATTTAGGAGAATTTGTTCATTATTTGTTCCCGAACAGGCTACAACAATATCCGATCGATTGTCCCTGTTGAAATCACCAATGGCGACTGAATAAGGACGAGATAAATATCCAATTTCATATGTAGTTCCATTTTCAAAAGTACCATTGTCATTCCCAAAAACTACCAATACAGTATTGCTCCCAAAATTCGCTGCTGCGATATCCGGTACCTGATTGTCATTGAAACCACCGATCGCGATCGAGTACGGAATAGAGCCAGAACCAGTTAAAAAGGTTAACTGAGTTTTAAAAGTTCCATTTCCGAATCCAAGAAATCACCTATGCAATCACTCCGTGAATTTGCGACAACAATATCCAGTCGACTGTCAATATTGACATCACAAACTGCAAATGAAATCGGAGAAAATTGTGGCCCAGTAAAATAGCTGCTCTGATTTCCAAAAGTTTCGATATCATTTCCAAGAAATACACCCATATTGTTAGTACCATAATTGGCAACTACGATATCGGCCAGACTATCGTTGTTGAAATCCCCAACAACAACAGACATCGGACCAACATTACTCCCAGTAGGAAAACTCACCTGTACCCAACTTAAACCCTCATATTCAATTAGTATTCCTACATTGTTTGTCTGACTATTAGCAACGGCTATATCAACCAAATTATTATTATTAAGATAACCTACTGCGGCCGAATACGGATGAGAAACAGACCCGGTTGAATATGTCGCTTGAATTGCAAACGAGCCATTACCATATCCAAGTAGTACACATACGCAGTTTTCAATTATATCGGCTACGACGATATCAAGTATACTGTCATTATTACAATCACCAATAGTGATCGATATCGGATCAATACTAAAGCTAGAGGAGTATGTTACTTGAGTAGCAAACGTTCCATTGCCATATCGAAGTAGTATACCTACATTTTGTCCCATCAAATTGGCCACAGTAATATCCAGTATACTGCCATTATTGAAATCAGCAACTGTCACTGACAGGGGAAATGAATTGCTTCCTGTTGAATATGTCTTTTGAGTACCAAACGTTCCATTGCCATATCCAACTAGTACACCTACATTGTTCCCTAAAACATTTGCGACGGCTATATCAAGTATAATGTCATTGTTAAAATCACCAACGGCAATTGAAGACGGACTAGAGTTAATACCAGTTGAATATGTCTCTTGAGAAGCAAAGGTTCCGTTACCATATCCAAGCAACACTCCTATATTATTTGCTCGAAAATTGGCAACGGCTATATCGAGCCAACCGTCACTGTTGAAATCACCAACAGAAATTGAACATGGACCAGAAGTATTCCCAGTTGAATATATCGCTTGAGTAGAAAAGCTTCCATTGCCATATTCAAGTAGTACTCCTATATTGTCTCCATCAGAATTGGCAACAGCTATATCAAGTTGGTTATCATTGTTGAAGTCACCAACGGTGATCGACGATGGGTTTGAACCAATTCCAGTAGGATAAGTTGTTTGATGTTGAAAATTGGTAGGATCAAAGTCGAGCAGTACAACTGCAGTATCTGTGCCATAATCACTTACTGTGATATCTGACCGATTGTCGTTGTTGAAGTCGGCAACAGTCAACGAATATGGATTAGATATAACTCCAGTTGTGTATATAGTTTGACTAGCAAAATTTACGTTTCCTAGTCCCAGAAGCACTCCTATATTGCTGGTGCCTGAATTAGAGACGCAGATATCCAACTGATGGTCACTGTTGACGTCGCCAATGGCAACGGAAGCGGGATTAGAACCATCACCTGTTGAAAACTGGATTGATGGTGTAAAATAACCATTCCCATGTCCAAGAAATACTGCTACGTTGTTACTACCAGAATTTGCGACACAGATATCTAGTCTATTGTCTTGGTTAAGATCACCAATGGCGATAGATTGAGGATTAGAATTAGTTCCTGTTGATAATGTGATTTTTTGTGAACCTTCCGTTGCAATAGCCGACTAGTACATCTAAAGTGCTTATGCCTTTATTAGCAACAACTACATCCTGACAATTGTCACTGTTGAAATCGGCCACGGCAATCGAAGCTGGATTAGAATCATATCCAGTAGAAAAAATTGTTTGACTATTAAATGTTCTATTACCATTTCAACACAGTACACCTATAGTGTTTGTTCCATTATTAACCACAACAATATCCAGATGATTGTCGTTATTGAAATCAGCGATAGCAATTGAGACTGGGCGTGAAGGACCAAGTGACAATGTAGTGAGAAGTGTAAAGGTTCCATTACCATTACCAAGATATACACCAACACTATTAGTGCCGTAATTGGCAACCGTGATATCTAATGTATTATCATTATTGAAATTGCCAACGGCAATGCAGTAAAGATTGGATCCATCGCCAGTTTTAAATGCTGTTTGGATTGCGAAAGTTCCATTGCCGCATCCGAGTAGTATTACTACTTCGTCTGTATCAGAGTCTGAAACTGCGATATCCATTTGATGGTCATTATTGAAATCACCAGTGACAACGAACTTCGGGCGGGCTTCATGGATAATTGGATCTGACAGCATGCGTTCAAACTTATATTTACACGTTTGCTCTATGCAATACCAGAGAAGTAATAGTATAGATGAGCTTCTCCTCTACTCTAATGAACAAATGACTTGTTAGGAAAATATGTATACATATTAATTTACGAATGACTAAAGTACGCCTATGGTTGACGATGTCGAAGATATGTTGACTATGTACAAGGACATAGTCCAAATGTGACTGCTACTGAAAATAAGTAACATTGTGATTTACGATAGAGCTAACCTTAAATTTAGTATAATGGGTGTGTGAATGTGACTCCTGAGCTAAACACCCACATCCACACCCTGCGTCATGGTGATTAATAAGAAAGAAAAGGGATTTACAAAGGTGTTGGAGTCATCGGAGTCTTCTTCACTTTGGTACTAACTTTGACAAAATTTTCAACATCCGTTTTATTCTGTCTTGCATTTTTCCTTTGCTGATTGCCGCCATTAGGAGCTTGTTCATCAGATGAGTGTTCTACTGAATTAACCACATTATTCATGGAATCTGCATTCATCTATGTTAAAAAAAAAATAGTTAATAACAGGCAGCTTTCGGTAAATCATCATACACCACCAGACTACTTTTCTTTAAATTACCTTGTGAATTGTTGATTGTGATCTTTCTATGCGAAATACTGCCATTTGCGAGTAAATAAACACAATCCTAAACAAACAAATCAATCTGTTTAATGATTCTAATTTAGACGAGTAGATGTAAAAAAAAATTATTGGTTAGAGATATTGCTCCGGTATTTTATACGGGTTGCTTTTCAATAAACATAGATTTTCAAAAATTTTGAGTCTCATAGAAAATCGGAAATATGTATATGCAAAACAATTTGAGTCGAAATACGACTAGATATGCTTTCACATAGTGTGGTTTTTTCTCTAATTGATTATACTATTCCATTGCGAAAATTCTTCGTCGACTGCTTACTCATTTCTGATTTCATGTTTGTTTAGGTGAAATATGAATTAAATGATCGGCTGATGACTACCAAGACCGTAATCACATTATTCCACAATAAGACTATAAATCTGTATGTCTGCATTGTTTAATCGATGTCGTGCCCAACTCTGTAAGAAAAGTTGTTTTTCTATGTATATACGTGTAGAGATATATATGAAGGTCAATGTTGAAAATGAATATTATATTCAAGATTGGCAACATATCGGAAAACTCAATGGCACATCAAATTACAGTGAAACTACACAGTGACTGTAGAATCGTGCAAGCAAAATATTCTTTGTAAAGAAAACAGCTGTTTGAAAAACATTTCTATAAATCTTCGAATGGTCACAAAAATATTTTGCATAACCAGCAGAAAAAACTCAATAAAGAGTGCTATTAACGGTAATGGATGTCACTGGCTCCTCGACTTCACTTCTATAACAGTTAATGTATCTCTCCTATTTTCTCCCTGTCTTTATTATTGTTATTCTCTTCCCTCTCTTCTTTACTCTCTCTCTCTCTCTCTTTATATATATATATATATATATATATATATATATATGTGTGTGTGTGTGTGTGTGTGTGTGTGAAATAGATAGATATGATAAAACAAAACGCTCGAACACGACGAGCTAACATGAGTACTAGACTAATTGAGTGTGGTGGGCTACATTTTACTACTCTAGACCCATTTTTGGAAGAAATAGGAAAAGATTTCAGCTAGAACCAGGCTTTGCTTGAACCTTAAATGGTTCTGACAATGGTACCTAAATCTAGAATCTTATAAGGTTCAGTATGACACCTTTTTTGTTTTCTGAGTACCGGTGACCGCTCATATCGTCCCTTTACAATTCGTCCCAATTCCATTTTGTCTCATAGCTTCACTAAGATCAACCCTATAATCATTCAAAGATAGGTATTGTGTAAATACTTAGTGTTGTGTCTGGTGAGCCATCGTGGTTTAAAAAGTCAACGAAGAATGAGTGGATATTCATTCTGCAGTCTGCACATTCATCGAAAATAATTTTGAATTCACCATCTGGTCCCCATGCATTGGAGGTTGTTGCCATCTCGAAAAAGTCCTCAAAATAGTTTAAAACATGAATCAAACTGAATTGTTCAAGAGTTTTCGAGAGAATTCAATGGCATATTTTTTGGAATATTTTTACACTCAACATAAAAAAATAGAAGAACAAAGTATATTTTATTGTGAAGATCAAAACTGTAGAAGTAAACCAAAATTTAGCTTGCAGTAATGGAATGTCTATGAGCTGGTTATAAAAGACTGCCAAGATTGAATAATGTCGTCGAGAGATAGCATCAAGTATTCAATAATCTGATATCATTCAAGCATCATTCTATTACTAAACTTGCTAAGTGCTTCTTACGTGTGCAATCTTGATTCACGATTGAAAAGAATCGTGCTGTCTTATAATGCCAACAATATTGAGGAATATCTGACTCAAATGACTATGAAATTGAAAATAAGCATTTGAATTTATTAAAATGAACTTTTTTTTATATTGGTATAATGAAAATGAATAATCACAGTTTGGGACGAAATATAAGGAGACGAAGTGTAGGGGTACCTACATACCACCTTACTATAGTAGATCACTATTTATTCCAGACACATTTCATTCTCATTCACATTTAGATCCAGAGTTATACCCACACCCTCAAATCAGCTTGCTGCCCCTTGTTCAACACTGATTTTTCAAAAAATGCATATTGATTATTGTGAGTAGAACGTTTTCAAAGATAAAGATAAATATAAGAACACACTTGAGAAAAAAAGAACAGGATCATAATAATAATGGAGAAAAAAACAAAAGATACCACATCAATTTCTAAAACTGGAATGAAAGTCTATATGAAAAAAAAAGTGAAAAGTCTGTCATAAATATCTATTTTATCGTCAATATATTGATGTTCATCATCCAGAGTTAGATCTGCAACAACAACGATAAGCAGCATAAGGAGAACTACAGACACCACTATTGCCGAGGTCAAAAAGACCACTTTGAGTAGTAAAACTGCCATAAGAATTAACACAATTGCTAACACCACGCTGAGCAAGATAACAACTATAAGAAACACCGCCGAGAGAACTAGCAGTATCGTTAATATAATTATAAGTTGGGTCGTCAGCACCAGAGGCACCACCAGTAAGGCTACCAGCACAAAATTGTGCACAAGAATAATAGCCAACGTTTTGATTGTAAACAGTTCCAATATAAGTAAACTTATTGTAAACATCAACACTGCAAGTACTACATGTTGCTATAACTGCAATGAAAGCGAAAAAAATACATACTATGAAATGAAGAAGAATGTTTTAGAAATTTCCATATAAAATTAGCGGTCAATTATTTTTCACTTTTTTTAATATATAATATTCGAAATAAATAACTTTGTGTTTTCATTCTCTTTTTAGACAAACAATAGTGAAGTTACATTGAGCTTTCCTAAAAAAAAGCCAATCTGGCCATCATAGACACATTTTATAGGATAAAGAAAATCTTATAAGCCTTTTTATTTAAAAAAAAGACTTAAGCTTTTATACGAAAAGAAAAGAGAACAAAATATCAAATAAAAGTTTTAATAAAGAGATAATTAGAAAAAAGTGAGCATAAACAGAACTATAAGAACTAAAATGATAACGGGAAAATAGTTTTTGAAAATGCAGTCAACAAAACAAGAAATTCTAACTACGTAATTCAAATAGTGTCTCGATTAGGAAAAAAATACCTCAGAATAATGTACTTGGCCTAAATACAAGGGAATTACATGAATGCGAATGTGCAGTAATTAAGAGTAGCAACATAGCATACACGAAAATGTTGTTTCTAATATTTTTGCGACTAGGAAACTATAACTAACGAATATACCGTCTATCTATTGGCTGTAGCTATGAAAACAAGCTCTACAAATGGTAATAAAATCTAAATAACTTTATGATAAATTATAATGTTAAACAGTTAGTCAGTTTTTATTGATAATATAATTTGATATGATCAAATATCAGTTGATAAAATATGATAACTAGATTATGATCAACCTTGGCTAAACAGATTTTTCTCTGGTGCATTATTTATGATAGAGATACAAAGTGTTTCATAAGTTACAGTCATAGTTTTATTTTGTCTTTTATTCTTGTTGTACTTGGATGTATCTGTCCGTTCAAAATCATAACAACAATAAAAGACATAATAAGAATAGGGCCGCAGCTTACGGAGAACCCTTTCATCCGGCACTATTTTTCGCATCACCATATGACAAATAACAAAATGCTATCAATATTAGAGAAGCAACTGACCCGTCAAATCCTTCTTCTGAAGGTACACTGGAATCAGGCTAAGAACAATCGTTGCTCCAATTATCAGCATAACGAGCATGGCGCATGCACCAGCTGCTATAAATTTCAGAGAACCATACCATACTCTACAACACATCAATAGAAAAGTATAGGTAAATTCTATATATTGTTTTACAAGTAGTGCGCCAAAGCGTTAGTACTTAGACGGAGCGGACTCCATAAAGATGTTAGTTGCAGAAAGAGTACAAGAGCGTTTGGAAGAATTACGACTGTTTTGGTATGGCAACCGATTCATCAAATAAATTGAACATGGTTCTTCGTTTTAATAGTGGTAATTTTCAATTTCCAAAACCGGCCAAAACTGAGGAACAGAGTCGTTATCTGAAATATACAATACTATTAAATATTCTCATTATTCACAAAATCAAAAGCATTGCCCGTATACTACAATAATTGGCATCGATGGTGTCAATTGAGATATTGTCGCTATTTATAATCGTGAAAACAAATTGCGCAAACACCGAAGCTATAGACTCAAGGCTAAAACCAACCAATCAAACTTGATCAATTAAAAAAAAATAATGATAAAAATCGGTCAGACTTTTCTAGTTTTCATAGTGTTTTATGCTATGAAAATAGTAGATGTACGGCTGTGCATGCAGTGTGATGAAATTAATAAGGAATATTAAAAAAGACAAGAAATATGTGAAAACCTACAGCGGTAAAATATCCTCCATTTTATTTTGCTTTGCACTAGCGGTCTCTCGAACTTCATCACAGTAACCATCAAATAAAATATCAGCGAGTTTTACTGGCACATATTTTTCCGTATGTATAGAAAAAATTCCAAAGCTTTACGACAAGAACATCCATGTATTTCATCGTCTCTACTGCATGAACTGTTTGTATCTCATGGTTACACCTGAAACAATGTAGACTCTTTATTAATTGACACTTATTTTTAGTCCAAACGGAAACAAAATAGCAACAAGAAAGTGACTTACATGTAGAATTGGTAGTTTCATCTGTGAATTACAGTAACTCACTTTTCATGATAATCAAAGGCGACAGAAGAGAGAAAGAGAGCAGTAAAAGCGTTTGTCGCTGATTTTCATCTCATCACGAAAACAAAGTTAACAACTAGATATATACGATCAGACAATATTGCAACACTATTTGTAAAATACAGTTATCATCCATGTATCGTGGTTGAAGGCCCAACGAGATCAAAATAAAATGATTAGTGCCCACTTTTAATTGGTTTAAAGAAGCAATACTACTTACCTAGATGCGCACAAGTGAAAATGTATATATATACTCTAGCCTGTCTCCTAAAAAAGTCTTTGATATCTTATACTAATTAATTGGCCCAAACAGCAATTGAACTAACTATAGCTAACGTTTGTCATTCGTTATCCAAAGAAAAAGAATTGCATACAGAGCAGACAATACGCGCGTATATAAATATACGAAGGACAAAATGCAGAGTAATTAATGGCCCAGAGAGAGAGAAAGAGAGAGACAAACTAAGTAAAAATGGTTGCACGAAGAAAAATATACTATTACCTGCACATACAAGATCATTTACAACTTTTTACAATCAATTAAGTGAAGAGAGAGAAACTAGGAATGGCAAAACCATCTAATAACTTTTCTTTTAACTTTTTTGGGTGTGGATGTGTTGATCTTGTGTTTTCTTATACCGACACCAACATATGGGCATGGACACCCACACCACATCCTTTTCAGATTAAATTTTCTATAACTTCTGTTTACAAATTTGTTCCCTAAAAATGCGAACATTTTTTCAAAATTGGGCCTCATTTTTTATATTGAAGTACGTGTTCCCATTTAGTAATTAAGATGTTTTTTAAAATGTTTGAAACTATAATAACAACACTACTCAATTCATACTAGGTATAGGCGAGTAACGGCAAAATATTACAATCAAAAGAGCGATTAAATTGCTATTGAACCGAATTCATATATGTTGTATATCAATTTACAGATGGAAAAATCTGAGCAAGGCTTCAAAATAGTCTCGATTCGTGCAATAAGAATCAAGATACGTGGAAAAATTATCGAAATTGTAAATAAAGATGCATGGTTTCTGGATTTTCTAAGTCACAAGACGAAGATAAACATGAAAGTGCATAGTCTAGTTCGAAATACAAAAAGATCGGGATCAACCAAAAGTTTCACTCCCGGTTCCGGTCCCGATAACATCAAAAATTTAGTCCCCGGAGTCGAGGCCGGGGCCACTTTGCAGATTTCTACCCCCACCTTATACCCACCCAGTCACACCTTCAATCACATCGTACGTTTGAACATAATAGAAGATCCAGTTTTTCTAAAAAGTTAACGATTGAAACGAGAAGAAAATCGAACTATTACTGCACACTGTTATATTGTTTTTTTAATAGAACTGTCAAATGTTTTCTTGAAAAGCGGACGATAATCACTATCTCACCATTCTTTCAACAAAACTCGAAGTGCATTCTACTCATACATCGTACGGGAAACTGGTTATAAAACACAAGCCAATGAATTTAGTCTTTGTTCTTGTTTCAGTAGGGTCTTTGTTTTCTGTAAGCCTTCCACTTCTTATTGGTAGGAGATTGAGCTTCTTGAGCATAAAGTTGGGCAGCAATAAGGCCATCCCTATCGGTCATTATCAGTGGCATAGCCAATGGAGGGGCAAATGGACAATTGTCCATTTCATTTGGTGATTTGCCCATTGTAATTTTTATTAGTAAGTCTTGCCCATCGAAATTTTACTTTAGCAGAATTGTTTATCTATTTTTGAATTAGATAGTAACTTTTTTTCTTCAGTGTGAATCATACATGTTCGCTTTGTTTGTTCTTGTTGTGAAGAATTAAGAAAAAAGAAGAAGAAAAGAATCGCTTCTGATATTTTAATCAGAGTTGCCAGATGAAAAACTTGAAAAAATCAGAAAAAAATTAGAATTTTTTCTCCGATATCGAAAACTAATCAGAAAGAATAACTTTTTACAAACCAAGGGCTATCATATTAACATGCTTGCACAAAATGATTCAGTTCTTTTGTTTATCGAATCATACTTTATTTCCAAAATTATTTCATGGTAAAGAAAGACAATAAAAACATTATATAGCTTAGAGTGAAAGATCATATACTGTAAGCTAAGGAGATGGATCATAGTCGGATCAAATGAATGCCCTCACTGTCAAATCAACTAATTAAAAAATATGAGCTGCCAAAAGCGTACATAGACCGAAATATTCGAGTTTCCAGAAATTTACAGTTTGTCATGCGCCCACACTAACATTTCATCAATACTTAATTTTCTCAGTTCATCATAGTTGGGTAGAACACGACAATTTACATAAGAAAAATCAATATCATGCATATTAAAAAGCAAATTCTACGGTGTCTAGGGCAACATTTTTTTTAAATTTGAACGGTAATAAATAAAAAATTATAATTGCCGTCAAATTGCTTCTGACTATGTGTGATATTGTTACTTCCTATGTAAATTGTCATGTTCCATCTGACTATGACGAAAAAAGAAAAGTAAAGGTTGATGAAATTCTGTAGTATGGGCATATGATAAACTTAAAATATCTTGAAACTTAAACATCTCGGTCTGTGCACGCTATTGGCAGCTCATGTTTTTAAATAGTTGTCCTGTGAGTGAGAGAATTCATCTGATTTGGCTATAAAAAATCCAAGGGAGTAAGTGCTGTCACTCAACACGCTGGCACCTTAACGCCTGCTCAGCACTTGTAGGTGCTGTGAAGCTTAGAAATAGGGTAACACTATTCATATTCGTTTATTCTTTGCTATAGAAAAATACTGCCTTATGATTAACAATACCATAGAACTTTTTCAATGCCATTTCAACACTCTTTGGTTCTTTAACTATATTCAGTAATGGGGAAATGGTTCACAAAAGGTCTATTTATTTATAATAATATCGAAAACAATTTCTTCTCTGAGAACCACTGTATGAAAATATTAAAATTTCATAAAGCAAGTGGCAAAAATATTTTACAACATAAAAATTTTTATGAAGAACAGCATGGAAAACGGAATGAAAAATCACATCATGAAACGCTACATGAGAAAAAATATGGAAAACAAAATTTATTTCATTTTAGTTCTTATTTTCGAACGCGAGTTAAACGATCACTTGACAATCGTTGTTTATCTGTTGTAAGCAACCAACAAGATGTTTGCTTGTGTATAAATTTGTATGAACCAATACGTATACGAACCCAAGTGAGCAAGGGACTGGTTAAATGACTAGTCTTTTTTCTAGTCGTTTCGCTCCGTCTCGACTAGTCTTTGTCTCAAAAACTCCTCGTCTGGGACTAGTTTGAGGTTTTGGCCGTCATGCATACGCGTCCTAGTACTCTGATTGACGACTAGTCATAAAATCTAATAAGAGTAGTCGTGACGAGTGTCCCTGTCGCCCGTCCGAAAATGGTTTATGAATGAAAAATTAAGGGCGTCTGGGACGAGTATACAACCAGCTGTAGCCTTATATAGTGAACGAGTCTGGACTAGTCTGAATGGAAATATGTAAGGATGAAGATTAGATTCGAACATGTATACAATGTGATACTTACCCATCGTCAGAACCATTGAGCCGTGTGATCGAGAAGTCATATTCTGCACACTCATGATCATTCTAAGATGCTATTTAATACAATTTTTACTCCAAATTTTTAATTTTATGTATCAATAAAATTTATCTTTTACCGAAACGAAATTACTTTAGATAACATTAAATAAAAATAAATTAAGAAGATTTCATAATTTTTTCGACAAGTATATTTTGATTTATCAGCAAGTGCGATTAATTAGTTGCATGGACTTTAAAAACATTAATTGGAGTATAGAAATAAAATTTATTTATTCCGGAAAGAAACTAGATTTTTTCATACTATTTTAATTTAATTTCATACTCAAATATCCGTACATTCATTTAATAAATATATTATATTAGCTTAATTTAGAATTATTACAATTGATATTTAACATAAACTAACATCATATTTTGATATGAAACAATTTAGGTGCTTCTCAATTTTTTTTAATTACTACCTATCACAATTCAAAAAAAATATAGATTAGCACTTCCAGATGCGAGATGAATTTTGTTGTTAGTACTAACCCCTGCTATTTTATGCTTTGATACACTATTAAACTTTTAGTATAAGCTAATGCAAAATAAAATAAAATATATCAAGACAGGGATGCGCGCAATATATTAAATCTTTTCGAATGCACTATTGATTACAACAGACGCTCTAATTGTCCTTCTAGCTAGAAAAAAATTCGATAAGCATTGAGTAAAATAAACACTTCTTAAAAAATGACTAGTCATTTGACTCATGAGATGTCCAGAAGATGCTTCAGACTAGTCCTAATAGCTGTTGAAGACATTTTAGACTAGTCAATACCGTTTACGTCGGTTTGTTTCTGATTTTTTATGCATGGATGGGAGCCAATGAATAAGTTTAGATCATATATACTTACGGCAGTCTATCTCAGTGTCCTAGTCTGCCGTCAGGATATCCGTTATATCTCGAAAACTGTCGGGCTGGATGTTCAAATCCACTGTGTAACCTCTTTTTTTAATCTTCTTACTACTCTGGACTGGGTCAGCAGACAACACGGACTAGGCATGATTGGGCTCAAGGACATTTCAGACTAGTACATACGTGTTTGTAAGATACTCCTCATTAAGCTGACTAGACAAGACGGGTATGCAAGACGTTTCAGACTAGACTTGACGGAAGCGGCGGACATTTCTGACTAGTCATGTCGGCAGTCTCCCTTCATTTTTTGCTTACTTGGGTTCGCGTAATCTTTTTGCATACTTTTTTCATTTTCGTATTTGCATGATAAATATTTCAAAATATAGAATTAAATTGGGTCATTTATGTTGTTCTTCATCAGAGTGCGTGTGGATGTGAAATTTAGTTGAATAATTGTAGATCTTTATTTTTATCGTATTTTCCCACAATCTGTCTCTCATTGATCTGCTCTATCATAATTCATTACTGATTCAATCATCAAATCAAGATCACTCATTCAATCCTCTAATGCTCTTGGAAATAAGATAACTTACCAGATGATTGCATTGATCGTTTCTCTTTTTCAATGATTTCCTTCAATGTTTCAATATCGGTTTCAAAATTTTCACTAGTCTGTATTGAACAATCTCGAAAATTAATTGATAATAAATTCTTAAAATATTCACGGTAATGTTGACATAGGTGAAGTTCAGCTCGGAAATTGTCGAATTTTTCTGAAGGGTATGGGTGTGAGTGGGCGCCAATGTTCTCCTCGCCCTCATTGACATGTGCACCCTTCTTTTCTGGTATTTTTTAATGAGAATCCATGTTGATAGTATGAGATCTACTGTGTCTGTACTCCGAAATTATTTGTAACAAGAAATTTGATACGCAGTACAATGTTAGATAATTAGCGCAGAGAAAAACATGATACTTTGTTCAATCTGATATTAATTTGACAGGAGAATGAATGATAAATGACTAGGTTCTAGCCAATTGCGATAACTGTTCATTATTACGTTGCTGATTCCTAGAGCAGGTGATGAGAATAATTATTTTAATACGGGTCACTTCCAAATTCATAACCTACTATAAGACCATAGGTTTTATATGAAAAATTTGATCTTAAACGTAGCCTATTTTCACTCCGATCGTTTTGGCAGATGATTCAAATATTTTATTAGAATTCTACTATCTACAAAAAATTTTCTTAGTTTATTGTACTATGGAATCCTCTTATATTTATACTTATTTATTTGTTCTTTTACTATCTTATATATCAAGCAGATGATATACTTTGAAATTCTTGTCGTTATTATTCTTATTTCTTATGTCCACTTAGTTAGATCATCGCTTAAATTAATATTTAGTCCGAACGAAAAATATTTTTTGCAAGACGATCAAATAGAAATTGCTTGTGATGCACACAATTCCACCGAGCAGATGGAACCCTCACAATTATGATATGTAGATTCGGAAACTGGTATATGTACCCCGATAACACTTAGATAACTATTATCAACTGATGATGACTCACCGAAAATTTTTAAATATAATAAAAATAAGCGTTACCAATATCTATACAAAAATCAAATACGGATTCAATATTTACAAATGAGCGATTCAAAAAAGCATGAATGTAATTGTCCTGATTGTGAACAGTTCCTGTTTTAATAAACAAGAAAATTAATTGTTACGAAGTTAGCGGAACCAAAATGGTCAGTTGAACCGGATTATCATTACAAGAACATTTGAAAATAACAATTCCTTTTACTGCCGATGATTTTTATACATATGTCAGGCATACAATTATTCATGATCACCACGAAATAACTCATGAAGGAAAGAGTTCTATATCAGAAAATAATACATTTCCATATTAACTTTCATGGGAAACCAATAGCATGGTTACAGTCGTACGGCACGATGCATCTTTAGTATGCACAATTTATCGAGGTGACTCAGAAGATTTTTTTTCTATACTAACAAAATTTTTCATTTTTAGGTAATTACGAAAAGCACATAATTAGAAGGATTGATGTTTTATTTGCTCCCCATTTTCTTAGATGTGATCAACAACAATATATTGATTCAACCAAAAAACAAATAACTCTCGCATGTTGCTATAGTGAATATCTTCCATTTAAATTTACTTGACTGAGTCAAATAAATTAAAAATCAATCATATTTGATATAGGCGTTACAGCTCTAACAACAGATGAACATTATGGAACATATAAAAGTGTTGCTCTATTTGAAAGGAATAAAACACGAACATCTGAAGATTACTCTTTATGAAACCTTAATTCACAATGGTTTTATTGTACAATTAAGTCTTCATGGCCATGAAAATTTAACAAGAGTAATTAATATTGTTATGATACTGCAAATCAATCTCAATTAGATCCAGTATATAGTTCAGTATAGGGTGTCAATTTACAGTTTATTTAATTAAAATTTAATTTCGTGAAAAGTTAATTAAATTTAAAATGAAATAAAAGAAGAGAATTAAATCATGTCTAATATATAAAGCTTCTTAACAAAACAAGAATTAGACTTGTCTTGAGATAATATTCAAATGGTAACTTGGATAACTTGGATTAGTTGAAATAAAACATAGATATTTTCTTTTTTATATTTAGGTTCGTCTTGATGGTATATCATTTGTAAGTTATACGTTTGAATTGAAACCGCAAGTATTTTTTATGTTGGAATGTATCCGCAAACTTGTTCAGACTTTTCATTGGTGTGTCTTTTTATAGCGAGGAACCCTAGTTGCGAAAAGCTGAGCTACTTGTGCGATACAGAACCAATATCTCCCGAGTAACCGATGTTTTTCGATAAACCAGTAAAAATAGTAACTTTTCTGTAGTACTGAACTCCTCTTAATGATGAGCTATCATTGGTTTCGTTAGTTACTGGCGGAACCCTTTTAGAGTGAACCATTTCTGGTGATACATTATAAATGATTTTGTTGATTTTTCACGGAACCCGCTTTTGGGCAGAACCTTCTTGGGGGTGTGGGTGCAGATGCGGAGCAGAATAAGACTAGCACCCGCACCCACACATCCCACCCAATAATAGCTAATGGAACCTTTTTTTAGTAGCATTATGTGTTTCTTCTGAAACACACGCCCAATTGCTTCAAAACAACTGAAACTGAGCACCGTTAATAATATGCCGATTAAATATACATAAGAAAAACTAGTGAAAATTCAACTAAAAGTAAACGAATGATGATTTCATTCTAAATGTTATTTTATGAAACATGATGTGAAAGGAGGGTTGAAGTATATAGGGTAAAATTTTCGCCCCCCCCCCCACAGACCGTTACAGAGAAACTAATTAATTAGTTAATAAGTTAATTTTTTTTCTCTGTAACGGCATGTGATGGTTTCTACAGACTCCATACATGATAATACAGACCATAACAGAGAAGCGTCACAGACTATCATTGACCGTGATAGACGGATTCCAGAAAAGGAGTTTCAACGTGCTTCACATTTTAATTCCACAGGGATTGGACTAACAGCTTTTACCTAAGATACTGTGACAACATCGTCACGCTGCTTTTATTGATCTATCAGTAACAATTGACGAACATTTCTTTAGAATTTCCTTAAATGCTGGATCGAGATAAATCGATAGATGATTGCGTACAACATTTGTTTCTGTTAATGTAACAGTATCAGTATATTGATCTACAGTTTGAATTACTATTTCTGATGGTGTATAAGTGTTAGTTGAAGAATGTTTAGTTGAAGTTAATTTCGATGATACATAAGTAGTATTGCATGAATCTTTACGTGAAGTTATATCTAATACAGAAAGCGTATTAAAAGATTGCACGCCGATGTAGACTTGTGTCCAGTAACATGTTGCCGTCGTTGGGAAAAGGCACTGATAAGAACAGATCATCACTTTAATCTAATTATTAATAATAAACGTTTACTAATTGAAGTGAATTATCCAAGGGGCTAAAAAGTTTTAAGATCATGTTGTCTGAGTGAGATTAGACTGCCAAATAACGAATTCAAAACACTTTCTATCTACTCTTCTTATCCATTCAATATCTTAAATGCCAAGAATCCGATAAGAAGAACAATTTCTGTTTATCTATTTTGTACAATATTAGTGTCTACTGCGTAGTAAGAAATGCAAATAAGTCCATTGTTTTTGAAGATATGTTACATTTCGAAGCCAATGAGAAAATTATGCTTAACTAGCTGGATGCTTTTTTTTGTTTATTATACATTTTTTCGATATGATCCATATTTTTCTGCCACAAATGTACAACATCAATAAGCAAAGTCAAATGAAAGCAAACTATGCCATCTAGTAACACAGAAAAGCATCGTAAAAAAGCATGTTTTATAAATTAACCAATATGGGCAGTACGCCGAATTCTAATCCATTTGTCAGTCATCGTTTTTGTGAACTCAGTTTTGTATACATCTGAGTATGGAATGGGTGTGGGTGTGGGTGTGATATAGGCAACCATGACGAGTTCCGATCTTGATTAAGGATCTCATCAGATGGCATTAAATCTATATGATTAGTTATAGAATCAAAAGGATTTATTCTAATTTATACTGCTATACATTGAAAAATTTTTACAAAAATCTATACATAATGATAAATTTAGTTCACAGTAGTGTATATAGGTCATATTATTATGGTATATGGTAGATTGAGAGTATCAAACAATGTTTCGTCCTTGTTCCCCGGGATTTTGACTAAAATTTTTCAAGAAGATCAAAATAAATGCGAGCTATTCTACACTATTCTACTGAAAAGTTTGTTGCTAAATGTATATTATTAAAAATTTCTGAGATCAAAAGAATTGTGTATCGTATTTTCACATTACAAGGTGTCGTATTAGGTTTGTCTACAATCTGTTAGTATATAAATCTTGAGGGTGTGGGTGTGTTTTTAGTAGCAACCATGACGCGTTTCGTCACTGCTAAAGGGCTCTTCAGATGGCTTGTTTTTTTATAACTGTTAGAATGATCCGAAAAACAGCAATAAATTTCTTAATCTAGATTGCAAGGTGGAATATTTCATGATTTAAAAGTGAATGAGAAAGAAATTACGTAATTTGCAGTTCATATTTATTTGGCTTTTGGAATTGTTTAAATATTCGAGGTGTTTGGGAATGAAGGATGTTCCGATAGTTGCTATTAGGGTGTGGGTGTGTTTAGAGTTCGTTTTTTTTGTGGACCTCACGTATATTTTTCGTGCAAAATAGGGAGCGTAAGTTTAAGGCGAAGTTTTTTAGCCTCTTCCCTCCCCTACTTTCCCCTTACAGACATTCACTATCACATATAGTTTTCGAACAAAATGGTGAGTGTAATTTTAAGTTGAGGTTTTTTCAGCCCCTCCCTCACCTCCTCTCGCCTTGCAGACATCGCCATTATAGGCACGTCACCATTACAAACACACACATTGTAAAAAATAAACGTCGAATTTAGGATAGGGTTTAGGAAATCAATAAACCCTTTAATAAACCCTTCAAAAGGGTTTATAGAAGGATATATAGAAGGGTTTAATATCTTACTGAACGATTTTAAATACCTTTCTAACGGCTTTCGGGAAACTAACTTTTAGCCAAGAATCATGTTCAGTTTGATGAGCCATTGAAGCAAATCTATTTGAGAAAAATTAAAAACATTATTTTTTTTTTAATAATAATTACCTATGATTTTGAATCTACTTTTTCACTAAAAAAATAAAAATAAGAATTATTTAAAGAAAAGTACACTTACTTGTAATTGCGATTTCGAATTTGGAACTAAAAACATAAAAATAAGAATTTTTTCAAGAAAAAATTATACTTACATTAGATTTTGAATTTGTTTTTCTACTAAAAGAATAAAGATGATACATATATAGAAAAAATTATACTTACGTTAGATTTTGCATTAAAAATTAACTAAAAGAAAAAAAAAGAATTCAAATACGAAAATTATACTTGACTGAAATTTTCACTTCTATATTTAACTAAAGCATTAAAAGCAATAATTCTAAGAAAAAATTATACCTACTTACGATTTTCAATTCCAAATAGAACTAAAAGGATAAAACAATAATCAAAATACAAAGATTTTATTGACCTAGAATTTTCAATGCGAAATGGAACTAAAACATTAAGAACAATAATTTTAATAAAGAAAATTATATTTACCAATGATTTTCAATTTTATTTTCTATCCAACTAAAAGACTGAAAAAAACAATAAGCATATGTAAAAAGTAATGCTTGAATTTGATCGGATCGCTTCGAAAAATTTAAATCAAAAGCGGCTGATTAAAAAAAATAATTTCACGCAATTTTTTAACTTATGGATGAAATTCTTCAAGATTTATGAATAAATACTTACATTTTTTTTATAGAAGCCTCACCTACATAGAACATAGTTTCATTTTGTTTTTCAGGCTGATCTAATTAATGAAGAATGATAATCTTTTAATGTGAGATTACAAACTATTGCCACATAAAGAGAGCTAAAGTTATTCTGTTTTTCAGTAATCTTTGTTTCCATCGTACGATTTCCTATCTAATCACAAAATTACTTGAAGAATAGTGTCATCAACCAGACAAAGTCAACACCATTTTGATATATATGTATGACTTGTCTGATTTCAATTTTTAGCGGAAAAAAACTCTTTTATGAAAGGGTACAATAATAAACCCTTTGAATACAAGGATCTAACAATAAGAATGCACCCTATTCCGCAATGTTGAACATTCCGGAACCAATTCCATCGAATTCCGGCGATTCCGCTGATCACTTGCAACACAATTCCGGAATTCCCGGAATCCCTACCTACCAATTCCATCTGATTTCCGGAATTCCGTTTATCCCTTTCAACTCAATTCCGGAATTCAGTGCACCCACACCCTACCTGACCTTTACTATGTATCTCGACATGTACCGAGAAATTGACCTGGTGGTCCAGAATTTTGATAATGAAAGCTAATTTTTTTCTGATCAATAATATTTTCTGAAGTGGATCAGTCGTTCGATGGTAAAAACTGAAAAAAAAAACTTTTCCAAAGCGGTGGCTGGGTTTCCATGGATTTACCCTCAATTGATATTACCATTGTCTACTTACGAAGGAGGGTCACCAACTTGGCAATCCCTTTTGCGTTGAAACTATTTACATTATGTCGCTCCCAACGAATTATGGACACACTGAAAATATTTTGGGCGGATAGCTTGTTATTACGAAAATTGTCCATCTTAAAGGTATGGTTTTTAGTGAGTACCTAGACTCCTCCTCAGGAACCTTGAAAAAATTGATTTTCGAATTTCGACTTAAAACTTTACATAGAAATATATCTCAACAAGAATAGTGTTTTGTGAATGTTTTGGTCATTGAATTTGTTTGTTTCATCAAATCTGCTACCCATGTCGCACACTTTTTGTCACTGTTAAGGGATCCCTGTGCCTTCCTGATGTTAGTAACGAATGAGTACCATAATGATGGAACTAACTTTATCATTGAAGAAATATTAGTATAAATAGAGGGAATATGTGCCAGGGAATGAGTATGCTCATGCAGATGAGTCAAGGAATAAACATATGACTGTAACAGTCACTACCGCCGGTATACCGAGGTACTCATAATAACCGGCGGTAGCGCTGATAAACTCCTGTCCCAGCTAAAAAGGCTTTCAGAAACCGTTTTTTGTCAAATCCCGATTTATTTCGGAAAAAGAATTCGAATTAATCGAAAACAAAACTATTTTAGAATATATTTTGCGAAATATTATTTTTATAGCGGCGTCTTTAATAAAATATTTATCTCATAAATGGGAATGATTTGAGACCTGTGGCTACTATACAGGCGGCTCAGGCACATTGAGATTAACGGTGTGCACCAAATTCAACACGATTCTGCCGGTTTTAACAACTTAAAAAACATTCAGCCGTTTCTATACTATACAAAAGGATGCATCACTTCCATGAAAAAGCGGCGGTATACCGGCGGCAGAGCGCACATTATACCGAACGGTGAACCGTCGGTACACCGCCGGTTTTTTTCCGGTTTGAATCACATGGGACCTTATTTAAAAGATGTAAAATAAAAATTTCATAATAGCTATGTGTAATGATAGGAATAGTAGAATGGTCTGAAACGGTCACGAAACACTATTCTTGTTAAGGTATATTTTTATGTAAATTTTCAAGTTGAACTTCGAAAATCAATTTTTTTCAAGGTTTCTGAGGGGAGTTCAGGCACTCGCTAATAACCATATCTTACAAATGGACTATTTTCGTAACAACAAGCTATCCATAAATCCTTGGGAGCTACATAATCCAAATAGTTTCAACGCAAAAGCGACTGAACAGTTGGTGGTCTTCCCTCGTTAGGAAAAGTCTACTCCACCTTTCTCTCTCTCTGAAATGTAAAAAGAAGCCTTTCATTTTTTATTGATTTTTTTCAATTAACATCTGTCTGATTCATTTTCTTTCCCTTCGAATTTCATTAAGCTGATTTTTCTTCGTTGTTAAAATACGGTTTGTATTGTATTTTTTTCTGCTTTCATTCATTTTATTACTTCGATTCGATCATATATCTTTCAACAAAAAGAAACTTAGTACTCATGATGATCGATCTTGATCTTCGTTCAGTTGAAGTCGATTTAAATGGTAGTCCAATCGTTAAAACCGAACCATCGGCTATTCAATTAGAAACAACTGATTATAGTAAATATTTACGTAAACTAGCTGGCGTTAATGTTTCATCGGTAAAGTGGACGATTATTTGTATTACTTTGGACTTGATTTATACAATGATTCTTTTGGGAATGAGCGCATCAAATCAATTATCTTGTCCGATAGAACCTCGAATACCAATTTATTTGATTGTATACAGTAGTGTTAGTCTAGTAAGTATTGCAATGAGCATTGTGGCTTGCATAATACATTATCAAAAATATGATCAAAGTTTAAATGGATTTTATTATGTTCATTGTTCGGCGATTATTATTATAACAATACAATTATTTAACTATATTTGGCTTATGATTGGTAGTATTTGGGTATTTCGTGTTTTTAAAGAAGTACAGTATACAGAAAAAAATCAACCAACTTATTGTCAACAGAGTATTTATCAATTTTCATTTATTGTAACTTTTTTGAATTATATTTTTTCTTTCACATGTTGCTATTATAAAATTTTACCATGGAAAGTTTAAGAAAAAAACAAGTTTTAATAAAATTTTCCTCATATTCTTCCGAACCAAATCGAATTTTTTTTTATCCTAGAAAATGAAGTACGAAATCTTAGGAAAGGTGTGCAGAACCTTTTGCTAATAGAAATCAAGTGCAAAAATTGTTGTTTTGTCAAGGCCATGCTGCCGTCGATAGGAAGCACATTCAAGTTTATGTACGCAAGAAAAACAAAAGCACACATTTATTTATAATTCATCAATATCAAAGAATAATATTAGAAGAATGTTATACAGATCTGTTGAAACACATGAATGATATCTATCTTTCATATTCAGAAAAAATTAGGATTGATTGGTATATAACTTCAACGCTAAGCGCCGTCAGGAAAAGTAAAGTGTTATTAATAATTAATTATTTACTATCACATTATACCTTATCCAAATGAACAACAAGAAGAAAAAAAAACGTGCCAAATTGTCATTAGAAAAACAAATATTGTTTTTCCTCATTATTCAGTCATAATCAAAATTGAATGAATCTAATATTCATATGAAAAGATATTAGAAAAGTACTAAACTTCAATTTGAATGGCAACCATTCAACTTTATCATGTAAAAAATTATGCATATAACTCGACAGTGCATTATTATTTCCATTGCTTAACTTAGATTTCAGAATAAGAATAAGTCAAGCGATCTATAAAAGATCTTTTCGTTGTCTCTCAAAGTACGACTATTAATTTAAATCGTTAATCTCAATGAAAATTATGGCTTGCAAGTCTTATAGTTAGATTGATCTGATTGTCTTGCTCAACATTCTACTGGCCACATCAGTATGAAACATCAGTAATTGATGATGATATCTTGGATAGTTAACTGACAGTTGTTTTGTATCATATTTTATGATTAATCTGAGAAAATAATCGAACCGAAATACCTGTTACAATACCATCATTAAGACAAAAGAAAGAATCCTTGTGATTACATAGTCTTGATTTTCTTCACCGAATAACCATCGAGCAGATTTTTCATTCGATTCTCATGCAGAAATTTGAGTAGAGAAGAAAAATGAATTAGACTTTGACTTCGAACAGAATAAGGTCAAACGACTCTTTACTCTTGCAATTTGTAGGGTAATACACATTCTAATGACAAGATCTGGTTTCCTAAATGTTAACTCCTGATATATCAGATGAGATTGCTGCATTTGAGAAGACAAATTCTAATGTTGCCGATGATTGTTGTTGTACTTCTGATACAAATTAAGTAATAAGAAAGAAAATGCACTTTCTATCAGATAGAAATGAATTCTTGAAAAGCTTCCTACAGCGACACTTAGCTGTTTTCATTTTATAATTACTCACGATATCAATCTGAGTTTTGATGAGAAAATCTGTTCTCAGAATCTACCCAAGATGCTTCAACGGGAGAGAAAGAGAGAGAGAGAGAGACACGCGTTGAAATATTCTCTTTTTTCTTAAAACTAATCTAATAAGAGAAAAGCAGTCAACACTATTCTTTCTTCATTCGTCAATAACTGCCAACATATGGGTAAACAATTATTAGCCTTTAATACTCAATAGAGAGGATATTTTAATCGATTGACTTAATCAAGTACTCCTTACAGTCGATTTTTGACTAAGAACGCTCAAATCATATGGAAATTTCAGTGCGATACTATGATGCTTCCATGAGATTATGCATCAGATAAGAGCTATCAAGAGAATTTTCTTTTTTATCATTTCAGACTGAAAAGCTGTTTTAAATCATTAGCTTTTGTTTGAACAATACAGATGCGTATTAGAAAATCTTGTCTAAACTTCAAAAGATAAAATAGGAACTTTTTTCTTACTACGGAAAAAAATAAGTATAGCATCAGCAGGGACGGCGCGAACGGGGGGGGGGGGGGGGGGGGGGCGCGGAAATTTCTACCNCCTATATTTTTGTTGCTTCGCGCCGTCCCTGAGCATCAGCATACTTTTAAGATGAAAATCCAGGAAATGGAAAGAATACACACGCTGCGAAGTAAGTTGAGAATTAGTCAATATTCCCATAATGCCAAGATCAAACGATCGAATGTTTCTTCTTTGAAAAACATTTGATTAGCCAGCTGCAATAAGAATATCTGCGTTTCTAATTAATTAGGTGTTATGTAAGTGTCCTCAAAAGTACTGCATTAGGTTTGTCATAGACATGAATAACCATTTGTGAGATCAATCTCAGCACATCGACTAGGCCCCCGACGCTTATAAATAATTTCAAATAGATATATCTACTTAGATTTTCTCTTGAGATTTGTAATCATGTGACTTAAATTCCGGCCTATGGGACCGAGTACGCGTCATCCAATTGCATGATTCTATTTCATAATTCAATTTATCTCACCCCTTCCTGAGGTCCTGTTTTTTTCACGCACAATACTCAAATAGAAAAAGAAAAGTTCTATTCATTAGAAATGATTCTATTGTAAGACAAGCGAACAACAACATAAAAAAAGAGACGAATTAATAACAGACAAGCATATAAACACCGCATGTTGTTCTCAAAAAGCCGAACGATTTTGCTTGCAAGATGAATGACATGTGGTTATTGTCTTGTCCATTTCTCTTTCTTTCTATTATACAAACTAATTTCTGACAAATTGTCTTGTCAAGTTAGGAAAAATCAATTAATCGATTCATAAGCGAAATCGTATGATATGTTACATCAAATACAAGAGAAAAAGAAAAGAAAACATTTTTCTTTCGAGTGGCAATCATAACGGAAATGCGCCAAAAAAAAATAGGAAAACGGAAAAGATTGTCTAATGAGAACAGCATACGTGTTCATATAATTTAATATATAATTAAGTCTTTATTGTCAACGATCAGTCGTTGTTCCATTATTATTATCATCATCATCATCATTATTATTATTATTATTATTTAGCAGTACTATTCATTTCCTTCCTTTTACGACACCATATGATACTTCTCTAGTTCTTCTATGTTTCCTCGTTAGTGATTGAAAATAAAAACCTCAATACTTCTTTGTTTGTTGAGAGAAAGAGAACGAGTTGTCTTTCTCATACGATTTAAAGGCTAAACTGTGCAACTATCTTGTATATATCAATAAATGTTCTACTTTATAGGGAACACGAGAGCTTTTGTTTTGTGTGTGTGTGTGTAAATGACATGAGAGTAATCGGGAAACTAAATAAAATGAACGAGCAAACACGCAAGAACTTTCTAATACTAAAAAATAGTGTTGCTTATTTTTTTCTTCGCTTCTTTCTACTCGTTTTTCTTTTCAATTTAGCGAGATGAACATAACTATTGTTTCTTAGTAAAGCCAACACACACACACACACATATATATATATATATATATATACAAGTGACTCCCGGCAGTAAAGCTTTTCCTACTTGCTTACGCGTGTGAATGAGTGACCGGTCGAAAAGAAGAGGAGAGAAGTAGAATAGAAACAAGGACGAGGAAGAGGGGAGGAGAGACAAGAAGAAAAGGATTAGTATCAGGCATTCCTTTGCTTTCAGTATTATGGCATTTTGGATATATGGATGTTGATGTATTGTTTTTTCTCTCTGATGTACATACGTTCTATGTTAATATTTTATATGTTTCTAACTAGCCCAATAGATAGCTGTCTGTCTTGAGGAAATCATTGCTTGCATGGCGTTCTTTTTCTCTCGTGTTGTCAATGGGTCGTGTCAGCATAGAAGAGAATACAATACTTTTTTTCCAGAGCATGCTATCTACCGTACGATTTTGCTAATGACTGTTGCTGAATTTTCTTTCTACTCTTTTTTCTCCGGGTTTCCTTTCTTTTTTTTCTTTTTTTATATTAAAATAAAATTTTCTTATGAATGATACAGACAAAAAGAAAAAGCATTGAAATTATCCATAACAGGTAGGTGGTCTGATAGAAATTCTGATTTAGCTGATTGACAGTTAGACAATCATTAATGATAAAGAACAATGAAAGACAAATGGTTGATCCTGAAAATATCTATGTCTATGCCTTGTTAGTACAACATATGTTGGCACCCATAGAGAGATATAAGGATAGCTTATTTCAGCCGTTGAACTCTTAAATCGGCCTTCAACATATGCAGACCGACATTTGCGATTTCTGGAGAGCTTCTCGATAGTCATTCAAAATGAACGAGTCAGTAGAGAGCTCAAAGAGAAGAAAAAAAATGAGTATTTATTCTATTGACTATTTCGTAAGCATACGATGACGAGCGGCGCATGAACAATCGCAATTTGTTGTATTCAGTTTATATATCAATTGTAATCGAAACATATGTTCCCTAGTGTCTCATGATAAGAAAGCATAATCGTCGTCTATCGCGTCATAAGCAACTAGAAGGATACATATGTCATATCGCCTGCAATAAAGAAGTTAGTTAAACAGTTTGCCTTTTTGTTTCTCCATATTGTTATAGTTTCATGCTTATGGTTATCTATGCCATTTATTACTTTGCTGTTGTCTTTTTCTCTTGTTAGTTCATATATATATAACAGATTGAGAATAGTTATATTTTTAACTACTTCAATGGAAATCATATTGAATTAATAGATATGTTCATGCGTGCGTATGCTTTTTTCTTATCAAAATAAATGTGCGTGTATATTTCAGTTACAGCTGTGCTAGGAACATCTTCATGTTTGCGCCATTTTTTATGTAATCGCCGGATGTGAGGAGTGATGCGTATGGATGTCTAAATGAATGTTTCTTATTCTATTCGCTTCATTCGTTCGTTCGTTCTATCTCTCAATGATGAGTCCCACTCTCAAGTAATGATAATGATGATGATGATGATGATGATGATGATGATGATGGTGGTGATGGTTGTAACAGGAACAGAGATGCCGTATATATAAACGAGAATCTCGTTTCTACAATATGATTTCTTTTTGATTAATGCAATGCGATAATAGAAGTGAGAGCGAAATGTAAAAAATATGAAGAGAAGATGCCATTATTTAAGTTTACATCTGATATCTATCAATAGAGAAAAAAAGAAATCTTTTCTATTGCGATAATTGAATAATATTTACTAACTACAAAGAATAAAACGGCGAGGTAGAATCATGATGATATTAAAAAAAGAACCATCAGCAATCGGTAGTCTTTTTCTTTCTTCTAGATCGAAACAATTTAGATTAATTCATAGGAAGACTATGCCCAATGATCATCAACAGTCATTCAAAATTCAATAGTATATATGGAATTAGTCAGAACACTTGCCGGTCTTTCTGTTTCCAGTATTCGACAATTTCGCGATGATGATTCCTATATCGATCGGCTCAATCATCGATATACAACAACATTATGCGTTGTCTTCGCTATTCTTGTTACTACTAAACAATACGCCGGTGAGATTGGCTATTATTTTTAAAAACGTAAAATTTCATTTTTGTTTTATAGGTGATCCAATTGATTGTTGGGTAGAAATTTTTGTTTTTTTTGTGAAATTTAAACTATTTCCTCTATTTATTTCTATTAGGTGCCAGCTCAATTTAAACCATCTTATGAAGCCTATACGGATAGCTATTGTTGGATTGCAAATACCTATTGTATGAAGAAGACAACAACATAATTTCGAAAAAAACTAATTTATCTTTTCTTTGATCTTTCAGATATTCCAATTGATGAAGAATTACCCGATGAAGAATCAGCACGAAGAAATAAAGACATTGTCAGCAGAAATAAATTTGATTTTTAAATTTTTTTGAATCTTTTTCTTTAGCTCTATTACCAATGGGTACCATTTATATTACTCTTTCAAGCTTTTCTATTCTATTTTCCTCGTATTGTATGGCGTACACTTAATGTTAAATCAGGCCTTGATTTAGTTAATCTGGTTGATGCAGCCGTTGTAAGATTTTTTGAAGAACATACGAAAAAGCGAATTCTATTGAAACAAATTTTTTTTTCTAGAAATACGAACAAGTTGAACAGTATGAATCACGAGATCGTATAATGAGTTATTTAATTATTAATATCGAACGATATATATCAGCACGTGCTCATTTAATTCGGCATCGTATTGACAAGCAATATTCTTGGGCTCGTCGATTTTTTCATTTATTTTTCTTTTGTTCAAATCGTCATTATGGAAATTATCTTGTTATCGTCTATTTTCTTGTTAAATTATTATGGCTTGTTAATGCTTTAGCACAATTATTTTTATTAAATACTATTTTGGGAAATGATTATTATTTATTTGGTTTTGAAGTTATTGAAAAATTATTTAAAAATCAACGTTGGACTGAAAATAGACATTTCCCTAAAGTGACATATTGGTATGTTTGATGGGTATATCAAGAAAAGCTTACTATAGATTTAACATAATCTCTAATGCTTTATGACCGCGAGAGAGAGATAGACAGAATATCTAAAATACAAAAATTAAATTTTCATATTAATGAAAAGTCATATGAGCTCAGCTTTAAAATTTTTTTTAAGCGCAGCGGGCCCTCCCCTTAGAATTTCATTCCCACTTAGACTGATCCATGTTGGCTGAAACTTTCCGGGATAAGTGACCTTTGTGAGAAACTCTTCCAGTAAAAATTTCAGCTTAATATGTCGAGCTACAATGGAGTTCCAGTTTATTGATGAGTCATATATATAGCTTCAGCAGAATTCCTAAAGCGTTGTCATTTAAAAAGCTACAGAGGTCTTGGTGGTTTCAAATTAAAGCCAACAACTATATGCAACTTTTACCCGAACAGAAACTTGAGATTTAATTCCATTCATTTTCTATGAGCATTTCAATAGATATAGGGTCAAAATAAGTCCAAAACGTCCATCCCACGACACAAGATTTTATTTTTCTCAATCCCAGAATAAAATATACAAAATTTGGTCAGATAAAAATTTACTCGCACTTAGAGGTGTAAAGCAGAAAAAATTGATTATACCTTAAAGCCTGCAGGAGAAGTTTCACTTTTTGTGACCAAAATTCATCTTTTGAGAAAAACGATAAGTAAGTAAAAAATTGTTTTTCATTGAAATTCAATAAAAATATGCTGAAAATGGATTATTTTACAATATAACTAGAAGAGTTGTCCTTACGGCAATTATTGAATGAGGCCAGTGAGTGCCATCTATAGTGTTTGAATACTGTTATTTTCGGAGGGAGGGGGTGGCGAACCCCCGCCCCTCAATTTTTCGTCTCCATTGTCTGATTTGATGGAGTACATTTTTTTACATATTTTGACGTTGTTTCAATATATCTGACCCGAGTTACAGCTCTCTAAAGACTTAGTTTTTGACTAAAAATTTGCCTCTGTGTGTATCTATTTATGGACTGATTTTGGGCATAAAGTAAAAGTTAAACAAACTTTTGTATACATGAATCGATAGAGAATTCTTCCCTCTATCTGACACATTCTCAACGAGACTGAAGTAAGAATCTTTTCATATCATTTGGTAGCGAATACGTAGCTGCAGTCAGCTTATTTTTACATTTCAATGGCTTTCTGTCATGTTTTCATAATTATAATTAAGATTTTAAATAGTTTCCTACATATAATTGGATAGAGCATTTCAAAATCTACAAAGTGACTCAAAAATCTTCTAGGAAAAAATATGTCTGGTGTTGTTCTTTAAGGACCCAATGTTTTGATATGTGAAATTCTATACAAAATCTTCGACAATTACTTAATTTCACTATCAGTAACTGTTTTCTATGCAAGATAAATATGATATTTGAAATCAGCATAAAAAACTAGTCTAGTGAGTATGGATTTCACAAAAGTAAAATTTTGAAAAAGATTCACCCGTTCTACCCACTGCTGACAATTATGATTAGTGGGGGAGAACAGGTCAATTTTTTCAGAAAAAAAAATATATATATATATTCTCAAAAAGGGAGAACTTTGGAGCATCTTTCTACGACAACAACTCAATTAGGATTTTTTCAAAAAATAGAGTTTTTAAAGGGGGTTCCCCTCTTAATTAGAAAAAAATTCTATAGAGTAAGAATATCGCCATCAGCGCTCTTCTACTTATCCCGTCACTTATCATAATTAACCTTTGCTAAAAGTCAAAGATTCTTATTAATGAAACAAGATTTTTCTTTTTACTTTTAGCGATTTTAAAATTCGAGAAATTGGCGTTAATCATTTTTATACAGTGCAATGTGTCTTAAGAATTAATTTATTTAATGAAGTTATCTTCATTATTCAATGGTTTTGGCTCATATCCATAAGCGCCGGTAGACTATTGAAATTTCGAGAAATATTCATTTTATTCTCTGTATTTTATTTGTTTTTAAGCAACCATTTATGATTTTCTACTTTGGTTATATAATTGCACAGTATCGCGTAAGCTAAAAACTTTCTTATCACACTCTAATCTTTTATAAGCTTATTCGAAATTTCATTCGCTCGTAAAACTATAAAGAGGTTTGGTTTATACATCGAAACGGTTAGAGTATAAATTATCTAAGAGAAAAATATTGCAATCTCGTTGATGATCGAAACAATTCGAATTGAAGATTAGTCTATGCATAGAGCTCTTGAAACTCGAAAAGGCTCTATCAGAGTTTTAATATCAAGCAACGGATTTGAACTTGAGTTATGCTAGCTTCATTTGACAAACACGAGATTTTTTGATCTGGTTATTGACGATATACAAATATGTTCATTTTTAGGTGAAAAAGTACGATTTATCAAACGTCATCTTGGAATCATGTCACCATTTAATCCTAAAGAAGAACGTCAAGAAGCACGTGACTTTGTTCTTCATTATTTAAAAGACGATGGTGTTCTCCTAACACGTTTACTTTCATTAAATAGTAGTGATCTCGTTGTAACAGAAATAATAAATCAATTATGGATTCGTTATAAAACTGTTAATCAACTTTATTCAACTGTTAATACTCAACGTCCTAATCCTAATATTCCAAATACCGAAATAATAAATAACGAAAATAATGTCAATACGAGTACATTAGGAACAGATATAAATTATGAAAATGCTAACACAAATAATCATCGACAACGATCGTCTCACATGCCATCACTATTATTATCGTCGACAAATAAAACTTATCATCATTATTCAAAATCTGAAAAATCAGAAAACAAATCATCTAAAGATACAGATGTTTAGTATGAAACAAATAAAAAGAGGACAAATCTATTTTGATCTGTGATACTCGTATTATATCAAAATTAAATATTAGAATCTCAGGAAGCATTATACTTTTGACCGATGCAATTTCCTTTGATACTAATCCAACATCGTCTCTATCGCATTTTTTCTTTCTTTTGGTTTAATTGTTTTTCTTTCTTCTTCTTTTCTTATATCTAATCTAGATGATATATGTTCTCCCCTTTGCCAAACAAGTCAATAAAACACAAAAAGCAATGCCAATTTTTGTTCATAGATGCAAAGTTAATGAAATGAATTTTGTTTTGTTCGGAACATTTTTATCTGTAAACTTTAAGAAAATGCTTCTCTTTCAAGATTGCATTGGTTAGTTAGATGCCGCTATTATTTGTACGAGACTCCCATAAAATTTAATATTCTATAACTGATATATCTCTTCATGACATTTACGTAAACGATCTCAGTTTAGATATGCATTGGGGACACTTCGTACAGATAAAGTTAGTTAACTGTACGTAATTGTTCTACTCTTGTCGAACAGTTTACAGATATGTGAATCATGAATTGTAGTGTTACATAATATAATCAACTAATAGCAGTTTCTTGTATTTATCAATGGGAGACTACATGAACAATAAATGACGCCTATAAACATGATTATGCTCGCGTGTATAACTTTCTCTACTTTGCATAATAACTCATGTAATAGATGTTCTAAAATTATTCAATTATACCTGGAGTCGGATAATTACTCTATGATTACGTTCTATCACAAAACTTTGAACTTCAATCCAGCTATACTTTAATCTGACACGGGGGCCATATTCGGTTAGATTTTTTGAAGAATTGTTAATACGTTTATTACTCTATCTTCGCGATAATCACGTTGTTAAAATAAACATAGTCAATGTTGATATTGTTTATCTATACATTCATTTTTTTGCCCACTTCACTTATTCTCTTGACATGAATAAGATAAAAACGAAGAAGAAGAAAATTTAGTTCATACATTTTTACTTTTTGAATCTTTTCTCATAGACATATTAAAGATTCGCAGTTAGTAAGAAAATCTTCTATCTACATATTTATATTTAGAATTCTCAAATAAAATGTCAATTCTAAGTCGAAATACATATTTATCTTGGAATAGAATTTTCCATAAAAAAAATGGAATCATAAATTCGAAATATCTACATATAACAAATCGTAGTGATATGAAAGATGCTCGTCGTGTTATAGTTAAACTTGGTACAGCACTAATAACACGCGAGAATGAAGATGGTCTTGCAATAGGACGTTTAGCATCAACAGTTGAACAAGTATCTCAATTGCAAAATGAAGGTCGACAAATGTTATTAGTGACGAGTGGTGCTGTTGCCTTTGGTCGACAAGTTCTTCGAAAAGAAGCCATGATGACAATGACAATGAGAAAATCTCTTTCACCAAAAGATATTCTTCAAAATAGTCGAGTAGCTATACAACGACAAGCGTGCGCGGCTTTCGGACAAAAAGGTCTTATGTCATTTTATGAACGCATGTTTCAACAATATAATATTGGCGTTGCACAAGTGCTTGTTACAAAAACTGATTTCTATAATGTTGATAGTCGAAAAAATTTGCAGGCTACACTTGATGAATTACTCAATTTAAATATTATACCTATTTTAAATACCAATGATGCAGTTGCACCATGCACAGATACTGATGCGGAAGTAACAGCAGCAAAAGATGATATTGTTATTAATGATAATGATTCATTAGCTGCTCGTTTAGCTGTTTTAATATCAGCTGATCTGTTATTAATAATGAGTGATGTTAATGGTTTATATACAGGGCCGCCGACGTCTGAAGGATCAAGATTATTACATACATTTTGTCCGAAACAAGATTCAAGATTGATTTCATTTGGAGCAAGATCAAAAGTTGGAACCGGAGGAATGGAATCAAAAGTAAAACTAAAAAATGCTTCTATTTTTCTGTCATCTAAAATAGTTCGGAAGCTTATCAGAACTGAAATCTGGATATTAAAAAGATCTTGAGATTTTTTTCGATTCATTTTTTTCCTTTGCCTAGGTAAAATGTGCATCGTGGGCACTTGATCATAATGTGGGTGTTGTCATAAGTAATGGTCAAAACGATAAAGCAATATTAAATATAATTGATGGGAAAAAAATTGGAACATTTTTTACTAATACTCCATCACAAGCGTTGCCAGTTGATGTTCAAGCTGTGAAAGGTTCGTTGCATTTCGATAGACGAAATTGACATAGAAAATTGATTATTAAAGCTCGTGATGGTAGTCGAGTTTTACAAAGGCTAACAACAGAACAACGCAAAACAATTATTAATAAAATGGCATCAAATTTAATTCAATACTCAAATGACATTCTTCAAGCAAATAAACATGATTTAGAAGATGCATCGAAAGAAGGTAATATATATATATATATATATAAGTTTTGTTTATAGAACAATAAGTTGTTTTGCTTCAGGTCTTAAAGTCTCATTACTTGATCGACTTGGTCTATCAGAAAAGAAATTAAAAACTTTATCCATTGGTCTTCAACAAATAGCAGACAAAGCTGATGTACTCGGTTCGTTTAGATTTATCCAACTGATTGATTCCTTTTAGGAAATACGTTATTACAAGAGTATTTCAATACTAAATCTCTTCGTTCTATGCTTGAGATAGATTATATTAGGCGATTTATTGAATATTTTCAGGACAAGTTGTTCGACAAACACGTTTAGCTGATGGAATCATGTTAAAACAAATTACAGCACCCATCGGTGTTCTTCTAGTCATATTTGAATCCCGACCAGATAGTTTACCACAAATAGCTGCTCTATCTATATGTTCCGGCAATGGTCTTCTATTGAAAGGGGGTTCAGAAGCAAAATATTCAAATGAAATATTAACGAAATTAATGCAAGATGCACTTGAACCATTTGCTCCTCGTGATACAATAGCTTTAGTAATTAAAATTTCAAATGCGTCTTTTTTTCATTAGTAAATTTTAAAAATGTTTATAATTAGATCAATACACGTGAACAAGTCGCTGATCTTCTTCAATTGGGAAAATATATCGATCTTGTTATTCCACGTGGTTCTAATGAACTTGTTCGTTCTGTACAAAAACAAAGTGTACAAATTCCTGTTCTCGGTCATGCCGAAGGTATATGTCATGTATTCATTGATAAAGATGCGGATTTACAGATGGCGTTACGTGTTGGTAAGAATTGAAATTCATGCTTGTTTGTTTTATAAAATATTTCTTTCATACGATAGTACGAGATTCGAAATGTGATTATCCAAGTGCTTGCAATGCTATGGAAACGCTACTTGTTCATAAGGATCTTATTCGGACATCATTTTTTGAATCATTGATTGAATTATTCCGCACTGAAAAGGTCAGCTAAAACTAGCCAATCCATTATTTGGCAACATGTAGTTTTGCCTTCATGCTTTCAGGTCAAAGTTTATTCGGGCCCACGTCTTTCTACATTACTTGCATTCCCACCACCGCCAGCAAATTCATTACGCATTGAATATGGAGATTTACAATGTTGCATTGAAGTAGTTGACGACGTCTATGATGCCATTGAGCATATAAATAAATTTGGTTCAAATCATACAGATTCGATTGTAACCGACAACCGTAACTATTCAATAATCGGCCAGCGAATGCAGGAGTTCTCCGTGAATTTTTATTTCTAGAAAATGCAGCCAACGATTTCATTAGTAATGTTGATAGTGCATGTGTTTTTCATAATGTTAGTACAAGATTTTCGGATGGTTATCGATTTGGTTTAGGTAAGAGAAAAAAAGTTTAGTTTAGAATTTTCTGAGTGAAAAATAATTCATTAAACAATAGGTGCTGAAGTTGGTATTAGTACTGGACGTATTCATGCTCGAGGTCCTGTTGGCGTTGAAGGCTTATTAACAACAAAATGGCTCGTTCAAGGTAACGGTGACATTGCAGCTGATTTCACCGAAGGGCGAAAGAAATTTCTTCATGAATCAATCGATCCTAAACAGCAACATTGATTTTGTTTTTCCGTTTTTCTTTTCCTTTGTATCTACTAGTTGAACTAAAATTGATCTTTCATTGAGAATATTGATATAAAATAATTCGATTAATAAAAAACACATTAGTGTATAGTGAACATGAAATTTTGCCACAATGAATTATTTAAGAGCCACATAACAAGTGTAACAGCTAGGAAACCAACAAAAACGTTCTAGTGATTCATATTCAAGTAGCAGGTCATCTATCATGAATCACAAGTTTTCATCATTTCTATTTACATTATGTACGACGATTGTACGTTTCTTAAGCCATTACATAAGCGATGTGATCCAGGAGCATTTGAGTGTCAATTTTGATCGCTTATAACACACATGAAATTCTTTTCATGCAATGTAAACAACTATTTGTATAGCTTTTTTTCATCGAAAAAGATATCGTCGACATCAGACGCCATTTTTACCCATTTAATACTTGTTATTGAAATAATGTTGTTTACCGGCCCGCAATAGCATGTACATATTTTTTATCTTGTAAAGGTGTGCACAAAACGGAAGTGCACGTTACAATTTGGTAAAGTGGAAAAAAAAGAAAAGAAATTTTTTATGGCAAACTCATATTTTCATATGCTACACATGGGCGGCGCAAGCTAAAGTTTCTAGGGGTAGCAATAAGTTTATTAAACCGATAATGTTTAATCAATTTTCTATGTGCCAAAGAAATAGTTTTGCATCAAATAGCAAACAATAAAAGCAAACCTTTTTACAGAAATTGCTAGAAAAATCGCTTACGGCTTCTACTAGAATATCTATGACTCCAGAATAATAAATTCTAAACATGTTAACTCTTTTTGCTGTTGTATAGATCTTTCATTAACGGTTTGAATGCACACGTGATAATAGAAAATTCGCTGCATATACCTCGCGAAGTAGATTTATTTTGAAAGAAGACTGAAAAATCTTAAGAAAATCAGAGTGAAAAAACCTATAATATACGATTCGATACATCTTTATGTCCTCTTTTAAACTGCGAAGACCACAGCTCTCTATCTTGTTCCAATGAAAAGTTACTCAAAAAGTACTCACTTGGTCTTTTTTAATATAATTAGTGCTACTGTCGCATTTTATAGAAAAAGAACAGTTCTTATGCAGGCTTTTTAATTTTGATATTAAGTGAAGATTGATCAAGTGCCGTAGAAAAAAAGAGCATTGTTTTCTCTATCACTATATGAAAAAAGAAAATTGCTTCAAGCTTTCTATACGGAAATACAGTATTGACAACACTACTTTTGGACTGTTCGTAGTACATCATAAAAAAATCGAATTGAATATAAAACAGTGGAAATTAATCAAGAGTTTCTTTGTATCAGGAAAGGAAGCGAAAAAATAGTCTTTGTTTCTCCAACCATGTAATGCAAACCGACATCAAACTTGACACAAATAAATGTCAGACATACATGATGAAAGTAGAGCCTCAGAAGAAAATAAAACAAGGCTCATCGTGTATAAGCGTTCTTCTAACAATTATCGAAATGTGTATTATTAGGGGTAGCAATAACTTTTTATTGCTACCCTTAAATTTCCATAGGGGTAGCAATTGATACCCCTCACATAGCTGGCGCGCCGCCTATGATGCTACATATATATATATATATATTATTAACAAATAGATAAAAACATGTATTTCAACTACATTGAAAATCGAAAAAAAAACTACAATTTAATGTTTCCGCAAAGATGAAATCTTTTTTTCATACTGAATACTCTGATTTCATTTGACACCGTTTACGAACAGCTTTTGGAGAACGCATTGCTGGAATTCTGACTATGAAAAATTTAATTATTTCAGTTTTGAAGTGACACGCTGAATATCGCTTTTGAGTTCAATCACAGTCGGATGTTTATTGGATAATGATGGAAAGTAGATGTTGGATGCTTTTTCATAATGATATAAAGCTTCTTTATATTTACTCATTGCCTCATATAATTGAGCGATGATTTTATGAATCGCAGCTATTTCTGGATGTTGAGGATGTAGTGATCTTTTTCGAATCTCAAGCGATCGTGTGTAATTTTCCATAGCACGTGGATATTGTCCAGCATGCTGAAAAACATCACCTATGCTACTGTAGGTTATAGCTACATCTGGATGATTAGCAGGCAAATATTTCTGTTGAATATTCAATGATCGTTGAAAATTATGAAATGCTTCTGAATATTGATTTTGATAATAGTACATACGGGCGATACCGTGATACAAAGAAGATACATCAGGATGATCCAAAGCATTTTCGCGTTTGTAGAAATCTCCTGATTGATTGTAAAATTTCATCGCTTTTTTATAATCCTTCTTTTCCAAATGAATATTTCCGATAGAACAATACAGACCAGCAATGTAAATATTATCAATAGATGGTGCCCGAAATTTCCTCTCTAACGCTGTTTCAAGCCATTTTAAACTGCGCGCGTAATCTTTTCTATCTTTATATAACATAGCAAGTGAGAAACACAAGTAAGGATACGAAGTATCATCGGTAGAACATCTTTCACGCAGACGGGAATATATTTTTTCTGCTTGATCATATTGTCCCATATAATAGAGTACATTGCCAACAGATTGCATACCCGCTTCGGCTTCCTCGCCAGCATAGTCTTTCTTTAAATGATAGAAAAGAGACTTCAAATCATTGTTATCATCTCCTGCTAATTCCATTTTAACTATCCAGATATTTTCAATATCATCTCTATGAATACTAACCAACCGAAATATACAACCAATCATAAATAATATTTCATTTTCGCTGGGAAAGTAACTGAGCGAACTGATATCAGCAAATGGCTTCGATTTCACTGCACGAGGATCAGCATCAATGATATATAATATTCGATGCAAATCGTTTGAAGCAGCTGATAATGTCGAAAACTTCATTGCTGTATCACGATTAGACGACGTCGAAAAGAATGAATTGATCGAGATATATTGACCGATCGATCGTTGAAGATTCCTTAATTCATCAGCCGACATGCGCTGGTAACGATAAACTTTTATCGGCTTTCGACATTGATTTTCTTTTATTAGCTCATAAATGTCACGAATTATAAAATGAAATAATAATAAACGGTCCGTATTTTGTATTCGCAATGCTTTGTTTAACATATTGAAGATAAATATATCACGTGTGTACCACCATAGAGCTTTTCTTGGCTTATAGTCATTGTCAAATTCACGAATGATACGTAACATCTGTTCATTGCCAGAATAGTCTTCTTTACAAGATTTAACGAATCTGTGTTTATCAGTTTCTAACGATGGCATTCGAACAAGAACATCAATTAATAATAGATTATGAATAAAACTACCATTAAGTTCAGTTGTTGATTTATCTGGATTACTGGCAGCATTGTAAATATTCATAGATATTGGGTCTTCTGTTTTTCCAAGATCTCTTTGATCTTCTTTGATTCGTTGAACGAGATCATCAAGTTGAACAACGATATGTTTTATCTGTAAATAAATTAATGAAGAATATTGATTTATCAAATGAAAGAAGAACTTTATACTTTAGGAAACTCTTTCGCCCAAGTTTTGTACTCCTTTTTACGTCTACAATAGATATAGACCGATGAGAGTTGTCGAAGTTCATGAATTTGAGGAATTAATTCTTTGCTTAATCGACCACTGATGATAAGAACAATCCGATCTTGTTCAGAACAGTTCTTAATATATTGTCGGCACTCTTGGGGATTTTCAAATAATTTAAGATAATTGATGATCGAACGAAGTCGCGTTTGGGCACGTTTGTTCTCTTCTGTTGCATTGACTTGTCCATCCAGCCATAGTAGAGAGAATGTTTCATAGTTCTCTGTTCTCGTCGAACTAGTTGTACTATTGGCTGTAGCCATGTGTTTATTAATATGAAAATATTTTTCAACAAAAATATGTTGATTTTGTTGTTTAATGAAGTATTCACGATGATATGACTGCCGTATGAATAAATATGTTTTGCTCCTAGTTTTATTGGGTTTTTTTCCATTTGTTTTTATCATAGATGCGATCATTTTTATTTTGTCACTAGAAGACTACCGATGCATGAAATACATACGTAAGCAAACATATATGCATAAATTGCTCACCAATAGAGCGTCTGTTTTTCAGTTATTTCATGTGATTCATCAACGAATGATGATGATGATTTGACAGCCAGTTGTGTCTTAATATAAAATTTTATCAGCCGATACAATATTATTTTTCCTATTCTTTCGCACTACCACAGAGGCCAACATATATCTATTAGACCTAATATTTGTTAATCAACTTCAAAAATGATTTCAATCATAATTACACTAACATTAGTATAAACATACGACAATTATGGTTATGATTTTCTATTATAATCAAGTGTATAATCTGGCATATTGATCTGTAATGAACCATTAATTCGTGTTGGATAATAGAATATTTCTACTGTTTTAGCTTGAAAGTTTAAGTACAGAAATAAATGTAATAGATAAAATTAAAATCTAGGACAACTTTAAATAGCCCATAGCTGGACAATTCAAGTCAAATAAAAATGTTAATTGAAAGTGGCCTGAAGAAAAAAAGACTCGTTCGATTATTTGTAAACAGAAACAATATTTTTGATGGTTCTCTATTAGTAGTGGAAAATAACGCGTCTTTACTGTATGCACACCGTACACTCTTTCGAGGTTTGTAGTGATTGACAACGAGCAACATTTTTCTGTAGCAAAATCTTTATTGGTCACATCGTCGCTAGTATACAATTAACAAGAGCAGATGACATCTGGGGAATTCTATTGGATAAGATGTATTTTACCTTTGAGATGAGACGAAATGAGTTACACAAATAAAAAAAAATCTCTTTTTTCTAGAAAGTTGTGTGTAAATATTGATAGAGGCGAAGAAAAAAACGAACTGGAAATGTTGACGGTCACATACAGCTAACATTATTCGAGTGACAGATAAGCATATTTCACACCATGGCTGAAATACTGATTTCAGTTGCACTTTTTCTCTTCATATATCTACTCAGCTATTACATCTATAAAACATATTTCTATGTCGCATCCATTAAACCAGCAAAATTAAAAAATAAACGTGTAATCATAACTGGAGCATCGCGTGGCATCGGCGAAGAATTAGCTTATGAGTATGCACGTTATAATTGTCGTATAGTATTAGCTGCACGTAGCATTGATATATTAAAGAATAAAGTCGCAGAGCAATGTCGTTCACTGGGTGCAGCTCAAGTTGAATGCGTCGAATTCGATGCATCAAAAGAACAAGCATGCATTGAACTTATTAAGCAAACAGTAAAATATTATCAAGGTATTGATATCCTTGTACTTAATCATACTGCAGCAATTTATGAACCATTTTTCGACAGTGATATTAAAACTAATATAGAAAATATGAAAAATCTTATGAATGTAAATTTTTTTGGATATTTCAATACGAGTAAGAAAATTCAATTTACATGACCACAGGTTTATTTCGTGTATGCATTTAGCAATGGCGGCGCTTCCGTATTTAGATGGCAGCGGAACTGACGGGCAACCGTCTCAAATTATTGCTGTATCCTCATTAGCTGGCACTTGTCCATTTCCTCAAACGACTATTTATGGTAAACATTGGAAAATTTGGAATTTACGAACAAAATATCTTTCTCTTGAATTTAGGTACAACTAAACATGCAGTTCAAGGTTTCTTTTTGAATCTTTCTCGTGAACTTCGTATATGTGAAGCATATCAAAATCGTGTTACAACTACTGTAGCCATGCTTGGATTAATTGGCACTGACGAGGCACTTAAAAAAACCAACAAAAATATTCATTGTTTAGCTGCTGATGTTCGTAAAACTGCTCAAGCAATTATAGCTGCTGGTATTTACGGGCAAACTCGTTTGTTTTATCCATATGTTTTTGGAATCGTTCCACCGCTCTATCAGATATTTTCTTCTATATTTGAATTTTTCGGTCGTATATGCAGTTGATTATCTTAATTGGTCAACAATCAAGTAGCGTCATTTGAAAGAGGCGTGCAGAAATAATACCATTTTTATTTATGTAATAGGATACATGTCATTAAGAATAAAAAAATCTTACAATAACTTCAATTTTTAGTATGTTATTCGTAAAATGCTATTTGTTTTTGTCAAAACGAGTTCTGTATCCGATACATTTTTCTAAGATGAATTTGGGACCCATTGCCCTTTGCTCTAACATCAAAGTATTGTTGTTTTTATATGAGGATACTTGATTCTTTTTTGCAACTGACAAATCTATGAGTACCATGTTCGATCGACTAATTTCTGACGATTGTGGGTGGTATTATGATCAGATTGCTTTATCGACGATTGACATTTTTCGCCTATTTTACAAATCCTCAATAATTTTATTACCAGTAATACATTATCTATCAAATTGAATAATTATTGAAAACAACATATCGCACAAAAGATCAATATCGAGTTCAATTCACTTTTATAGGCATCTAAATTTCATGTGGACGCCTAGCGAATTAAATATTGGCAAAAGACTCAAATGTAGAGGTCAATGAAATAAACTAACGCCAAGAGAAATCGTTTTAATAAACATCGTTCATTCGAAGAAACAAGGATAGACACTAGAAATCAAGCCGGTTCATTTATAACTTATTTCATTTTTTGATCACGATTGTATCAACCTATTTTTTTCCTTATTGAATCAGCTACCTACATATCGGTGATTACCTCGTTTCTTTACCCTACACCACGTATATGAGGTATACGCATGGATAATTCAGATTTTTGTTTTGTTTATTATTCTTGTGTACACCTTATTCGTAATACTAATATTTTTTGCGTCGAACGAAAAAAACGTTTCTAAGTGTCGGAATTTCTTGCAGAAAGGGATGTCACCTCTTGATGTGTCAAAGTCTTACTAATCTGCAATATCAAATGTATGAATTGCTCGGACATTTCTTATTTTCTATCCATCTAAAATAATATACGATAACGGTGAATCCATAATCGATTTTATTTTACAGAAAACAGTGTCAAACTGAAGTAGAAAATAATAACTGTTAATAGAGAATTCGTTTCTAACCTATTGAAAAATATAACTTACGAAAGAGAATCCCTATTTATGCCTGTACAATATAAATCTTCCTTTTTCAGTCAATCACTGATTTACAAATCTAATTGAATCCTACACTTTAATGACTCATAGGTAGGAAGTTTCGCCAAATCAAAGAAAGCGAATATTTATTTTGCAACAAATAATAGTTCATTAAGAAAAATCACGCAAACTTACTTGCAAGACCGAAAAACTGGCCAACGTTTTCGTCTCAATGGCGACCAAGAAACATCTTATATGCCTGAAAAAGAATGTCTACGGCAAGATTTCACTCAATGCGTTAAGTATACACCATCACATTTACCAGAAAAAGTTGATCTTCGTCCATGGATGACCGAGATCGAAAATCAATCAAGCATCAGTAGTTGGTGAGCAGAATATATTCATATTTATTTAAAAAAACATCATATTCAATGGATTTATTGAGCACTGCTATTTCTGTTCCCGAAAATATTTGTTCTTTTCAGCACGGCAAACGCCATGGCTGGAGCTTATGAATACTTGAACTACAAATCAACTGGTAATCAAATTGATGTTAGTCGTCTTTTCATCTACTACAACAGCCGTCTTAAGGGTCTGAAGCAAAATCAAAAACTCGCCGATACAGGTTCTGCCATTCAGTATGCAGTTGAAAGCTTGGAAGAGTCAGGTGTGTGCCTTGAATCACTGTGGCCATATGATATTAAAAAGGTCAATGCTAAACCTATCCAACAATGTTATAGCGAAGCCGAAGAATATACGATTACTGAAGCACTCCAAGTCCATATTGATATAAATGAAATGAAATCTTGTCTTGCTCAAGGATTTCCTATAATTGTCAGTCTCAATTTGTACAAGTCCTTCGACAAAGCCAAAGCAAAGGGTAAGGTTCCAATGCCCAAAGCGAACGAAACTTCCCGTGACAGTCATGGCAGGTAAGACTCGTATTTTTATCGTAATTTCGCTTATACTAATTTTTTTACAACGGACAATCAATTGTTATTTTTCTTATTATAGGCATGCTGTTCTCTTATCTGGCTATAGTAACTCATCAAAAGCATTCATTGTAAGAAATTCGTGGGGCAAAGGTTGGGTAAGCTGTATGGTGCCTATGTATACGTTGCATTCATTGTATATTTTTTAAATTCTCTCTTAGGGTGACAAGGGTTATTGTTATGTGCCCTATGATTATATGGGAAATAAGAAATTATGTAATATTGCATGGACGATAAAAAAATTGGCGGTGGATGAAATGGGAGAAGATGTATGGGTTGATGAAGACGATATCAATTATTTAGATGAAGAAGACGAGGATGATGATGATGATGATGATGCTGATATTGAAAATATAGTAGAAGAAGAAGAAGATGATGATAATGATGGTGAAGAAGAAGAAGAAGAAGAAGAAGAAGAAGAAGAAGAGTAGATTCAGACAACGAAGAAAACATACTAGTTTTAATTATTATCTATTTTTTATTGCTATAATATTTGAAAAAATCAATGAGTTTTCTGACATTTTAATTACTAACTATTCAATAAATACAAATGCAAGCGACAATATTTACCCAGGTCGAACATTACGATGACCTGATACGATTGTAAAGGGCCACATACGGCAACGTATACTGCCGTGTTATAACGTTTCGGACCGTAAATCGCCGTAATTTGACGTTTTGGCATGCACCGTATGACGGCCGTATTTCGCCGTGTCGTAAACGGTTACTAACGACCGTAATACGGTGCATACCAAACGGCCGTGCACGACACAAGTTGAGTGACCTGGGTATATGATACAGAAAATCGTATAGCGGTGTGAGTGCATAAGGATGAATCGTTGATATATTTTTGCTTGCATCTATTTTACGTTGAGTAGAGAAAAACAACTGAGACTTGATGAAGTTGACAAAGATTAATTCCATTGAATAATGATAATTACTTGAGAGCCTTGATGCCGAAAAAGTGATTAATGCAGAAACTCTTCTGTTGATTTTGCTTTACTCTATTGAAATCTATAGATAATTTCGTTGGCTGCAAAGATATAGAAAAAACAAGCGATTCACGTAATGGCCATCCAGCATTCTGTTGTGTGATAGTAGTGTGCCGAATGAGTGGAAATAGTGAAACTAGGATCTGCGATCGTATCTAAGAATCAATTGCAGAAGATGAAGGCACTTCAGTCTTGATTTATTATGTTTGAAGTATCCTTTTTATCACTCACAAAAACAAAAATGAATATCAAGACAACAGTGAAATATTAAAATGATATTCAGGAAGATTAGAACCATCAATTACACCGGTTTTGGCACGCGATCCCTTTTATATGAAGCTGTGAATAACAAATCGCTTGTACTTGTTTTCTGGTTGTCATAGCTGGTACTAATCTATGCATTTCGGGTATTGATGCACAAAAACCTGCACGAAGATCGGCCCTTCCAGTACAGGTTTTTTGACATTGCGCTTTTGCCGCAGCACCAACAGTCACACCGATCATTGCTAGAAGCACTACGAGCTACCATATCAAACGATGAATAGATGAAATCATGTTTATTTTGAATAATTTCTCTCTTCAGGAAAAAGATAGTAGTTACTTCGCTACTATTGCTCTTAGCATAGGCAGCGGAACGTTTCTAATTTAGGGGAGGCTCAAAATGTTTTTGAAAAACAATGACAGAAAGTCGACATTAGAGGGAGAAAACAGAATTTTAAATTTCTTGGTTATAACCTTCATTCAAAACATTTTCTTCACTGACTCATTTGCACACCTTCACAGCAATCGAGAATTCTACTACACTATCAAAATTTTTATTTCATTATCAACATAAGCATCAAAAATCTTAAACCTTGACTAAAGCAAATAAAAAATTCATAAGTACAAAAACTATTATTCACGTTCAAAAAAGACTTTTCTACTCTGATTTTTTGCAATAAAATCAGAATGATTACTGTTCGAGTCTAACTGATCTAATTTTTCTTTATGAACATGAGGGATAAGCACATGATTAAAGCGCTGTTGTATCATTGCCAGGTTTGCCGAGCACGGGGCTAGTCCCCCAAAAATTGAAAAATATGCGAAAATTTATTGCGAAAATTTTGAATTCTTTCTGCCAAATTTTAAAAATTTCGTAAGAAATTCTCGCGAAAACCCGACCTTTAAGCATTTTCCCCCATTTTTCTGAAAAAAAAAGAAATAAAACCACTTTTTTTCAACAAAATATCGCAGAAAGTCGAAAAATTCACCATTATTTCCTCAGTTACTGTCTAAAAGCGAGACGAGATTTTCTGTCAAAATTTTCAGATTTTCTGCGAAATTTTTAGCCCACACTACTTGTCAAAAACAATCGACAACCCTGGTCATTGTTGATCTTAGATAACGCCGTTCACTATTCCCCTTCATCTTCATAGAGGAGGCGCTAGCATTAATAAATGAAAATATTTCAAAAACATGCAACATATATATCCTCGGACTGAACTGAACATTACTTCGGAGAAAAAATAGCATCGATTTTCTAACCGCTTTCACTTATCAAATATAGAATTACGATGACATCAGGATTTTTTTCAAATAACTGAGCCTCACCTAGCCTAGTGGTTCCACCGCCTATGACTCTTAGGCATATTCATTCACAGGGATTAAATGTTTGATTATTATGGCGATCTTCATTGAAGGTATTAGACGCTGGCTTAATTTAGAGAATCATAGGTTAAGTGGGATTTGGTGTGGAGGAAAGATTTTTCTTTACTCGCATAACATAAAGCCCTTCTGCATTAACTTGGAAGATTTGTGACAATCATCGGCGCCTTGAAATACGCTTTGATATTAGAATGATGGTATCGGTTTCTATTTTCTCATACCTAAAATCTCATCTACATCCTCAAATAAATGCAGCGAGACCTCATGTTTTTGATTATGATAGACGTTCAGTTGTGGCAATATTTTAAAACTTTTTCTTTCTCAAGAGATGAAGTCTGATAAAAATTTTTATTTACGATTTTTCATTTCTTCTCCAGTCATCTATCAAGACAACCTTTTCAAAGTTGACAATACATAATAATATCAGCTTTTTTTCTTCTTCTGTATTTTCGTTCGAAATTCTTGCGGCATCTATGATTAGTAGTTTTTCCTTATTGTATATATTCAAAAAATCTATTCACTATGATTAAACATGTGTTCTTTCAGATTTTTAAATGCGCGTCAAATTTATTTTTCAATTTCGATATGATTACTTGTAGCGATTCATCTACAGATGCCAAAACTGTGGCACAATGAAAATAAAAGAAACTTAGTTGAAAGATTTATTTTCTAGTACTGCTATTATTTTTGATAAAAAATATAAAACGATCGTAACGTTCAGAAATGTCCTATTCATTCTATTAATAACTTCGTTATTACAGCATAGACAACAAGACAAAGAACTGGCTTAGGTCATGTCGTCGCCTTTAATATTTCTTTCGATGTACAAAAGCTGATTGTTTCTTGTTTTGTTTTATATTATTCGTACGAATACTTACAATATCATAATTAAAAGCATCAGTCTTGCATAATATCTATATTTCAAAATCTATAAATTGATTTGTCGAGGATTAATGTTGAATGCAATTGATCCTACAAGATGCAGGATGCATAAAATTAATATTCATTTTCCACAGAAATAAATTCAAATTAGTATATTTGTTTTAAAGCGAGTGTGGAGAAATAATCAATTTAAAAACAAGGATCGGAGCACACATTGTTTTTCCTCATCTAGATTGAGATGAAGAAAAAAGAAAAAGCAATCACTTTTTAGTTTTCTTTTTTGATTGAATTGACCAAAAAAAAAACAGTCGATGATATTTCACATTAAAAAGGTATGAATTGATGCTAGACGTTTCAAATGTAGATTCATTACGGTTATCATAAACTTCTTGTGAGAAAAATTCCGAAATTATATTTCATTAGTCTCATTTCAGAAATGCATGGCCAACAACCAATGTCATTTAATTATCCAAATCCTTCAAGAATAATGTCAGGAACAAGTTTTCAACATCCCGAACAGAAGCAAACGGTGTTTAGTCATGGACAATCGAATCAAGCAATGAGCGTGCCTTCACAATATCATGATCACGCCGTATTTCACAGTAATTCACTTAAAAACAATCGTATTGCGCCTCAGCCATCAAATTTGAATTCGCATGCTCCACGAAATAATTGTATGTGATCGAAGTTAGATTTTCTTTAATTGAATTCAATTTTTTTCTCTAAAAATAAGCTTTTCGAACTGTATCAGAGATGCAATCAACACGAACAGTTGCTCCATCATCACAAATGGACATGAATCATTCACGCCTGGATACAAACTATCGCTATCATCCAAACCAATCATATGCGCCACAAAATCTTCATACCAGTAAAATTCATTGCTTTTTCTTCGTGAAAAATATTAAAACGAATTTCTTTTTCTCTAAAGATGCGCACACGGACGATGACTTTCAGCAAAATGATAAACAGGTTGAGCTAGATTTTTTTTCTTCTGATTAAATCTTAATAATTAGTTTCGTTTTAGGATTCATGTTGGTCGAAACCCTTATGTTACGGCTTAACACGTTTAACAGGCGGAATTCTATTTGGAACGATGATAGTGCTTGGCTCTGCAGCCATTAGTGGGTTTCTAGCTTCCCTCATTTTGTATATCACGGGTAAGTCCAATCATATATTTTCTTCATATTTTATTTTTTTTTAATTAATTAAACTAAATTTAGATCCGACTACAAACCCACAATGGAAAGTATTAGGCATAACTGTTAGTGTTGTAATGTTAGTAACGGTAATTGCAACACTCTGCTTATTCATTTATTGCTATAAGAAAGGTCGCGTTGACGCTAATGGCGATAAAAATAATTCATTCATGCCGGAATATATTCAAGATCATGAATTCGGAAAAATCAATAATTATGTTAGATCGAATTACACGTCACCAGTACCATATGAAACGATACACAATAGTTCATCACTGTCAGCAAACAGTGATGTTATTCACGTTACAGATAAACAAACGAATACTGAAACAACCATGTCTCCGCTACGCATCAGAGATATTCAATGTGGTGTGTGGCCAGCACAGAATGCATACGGAGGGGTATCTAATCGTCCATTGAAGAGACGAAGAATGACGGATCAATTTGTACAAACAGCGCTCGATAAAATGGATCAATTATTTTCACTACGAAATCATAATTCAATTAATATTGCGCCAAGAAACAACATTGGACCATCAAAACATTATGATGATCAGCATCATCGTCGACACAATAAAGAGCAATATCCAAACAGTTTTACTGAACCAAAAATACGCCATGAACCTGACGAAAACACTATGGAAAAATCAAAAGGATGGGGAGTAAAACAAGATGCTGAATTTTCTGAACTACCTACACACGCTGATAATCATGCTGCTCGTGGGAAGAAGACAAAAAGATTTAACCACGTTACTATTAAACGTATAGCAGCAGCTGACAAACCTGATTTTGCCTAAAGCCGTTTCCATATGATTGACTTTAAAAAGAATTATATTTCTTTTTATGAGATTTTTATTGAATAATAAGAAAATCATTTCTTCAAACACAAAAAATAGCAATGCGACGACTCTGATTCTTATAAATATTTCGGCTTCAGAGATTTAATCAGTTTGCTCGGTTTATTCATTTTTTTTACTTTAGTTTAAAAAAAACCTCAATAAACTTTTGTCTTAATAGCTGGCTGCATGCGAAATGTCTTTATCGAAATTCGAAGGTGCACTTTTTTAGCTATTTTACTATAGCAGATAGAAGTTTTTCAACATGTTTTGAATAAAATTTTCATCGTAATAAGTCAACATTAACTTTCAGCATATCATTAAAAAGATTTCCATCATTTTCAGTTTGCATAAACTTAGTTTCATATTCAACCTTCATCTAAGTCAATGTGATATTCAGTGCAGAATGTAAGAAATCTCATATGTAACGAATCAAACATCTAGACAGGTCAATACTTTACATGGCCATCAAATACTTTGTAAAGTTTCTCTGAGTATCCTGTATTTGAATAAAACAATTTAAGAAGTCATTGTCGTAGCTCAAAAAAATTCTATGAGAGGTGAAATATTATGGACTGGCTTCAACCGCATACCGTCATCAGGCCAGAGCACTAGAGCTGTTCTGGTTGGTCGCTCAATAATTTTCTAATACTCATCTACGTATATATCATTTTACACCATTACGAAGAAGAAAAACGGAAACAAGATAGACCGGTACAGATTTCATCTTCGATTCAGTCCTTAGAATACAAGTAAACACGCTCATCGTGAGAAAATAGATCGTCGAAATACACCTTATATCCAAGTCTCGGTTTAAATGAATTCTATTCTTTCTTGTAGATTTTTTAATTCTTGTTTATGTAACACGTTGACCAGCTTTTAGTCATTTTTTTTCATGTTTTAAAGCAGATGGCTACTAGAAAAATAAACAAACGCATTCATAAGACCGATTTGAAAGAATAACACATTCATTTACATTATATCACATGACAGAAGTAACCATTACGAGTCGGAAAAAAAGAGACGTTTTTCATAATGATCGTCAATCGCATTTTTGTTTTTGATTCAGCGAGTCGCATCGTTAACACGTCTAGATGAATCACAAATAATTATTACTATGACTCATTGTAAACAAATGTACTATCTGTTTATCTGTACATTTCAACTGTCTATCATCTGCCGCCAAGACAGAACAGCGATCACCTATACGATAAAAACGATAGAAGAAGCTTCATTAAAAGGTAATATTAGTGTTGGCTGATGATACAATATACGAAGTCGAATAAATACAACGATAACGACAGCAGATTTTTACCAAAATATTTGATTTCAATAGTGCTATTGATCAAAATATGACTGCTGCCAAGGCAAAAGCCACCGGAAAACGCAAGAAAAATTTGAAAACTTTTTCTCTTCTTTGGCTTGATACTCAAGGCAATACAACAGACGAGAACAAAAGTGCCCAAAAACAACTGCGTACAATCATCAATCATCTTGAAACATATCATGGTCCCGACGATTGTAGAAAATATATATCAAGTCTTGTTCTGAACAAGATCGAATTGTTCTTATGATCAGTGGTCGATTAAGCAAAAAATTAGTTCCTAGGATTCATGATCTTCGACAACTCTCCTCTGTTTGTATCTATTGCTGGGATACAAAGGCATGCAAACGCTGGGCTAAAGAGTATTCTAAAGTATGAAATATTCTTCTCTTTTGCTTTTTTTTGAGAAATTATTTAATTTTCTTTATTCACTTCTTCGAAGATAAAACGCGTTCACAATCAACTCGATAGTCTCATTCTGCAAATTAAAGCAGACCAAAAAGATCGAGGAAAAGTGAAAGAACCAATGTCGATAAATATTTATAATGCTGGCAGCAATGCGGATAAATCAACAACAGAACTTAATGGTAATTTTATTCATTCTCTATTATTGATCGACGTTCTCATCAGATTACCATCCAATAAAACAGACCAACAGAAGCTCGTTGAATTTTGTAAAGATGAATATGCTGATAACGAACCTCAACTAGAAATTATTCGTGGTTTTGAACGTAGTTATCAATCTAGAAAAGCTCTATGGTGGTATACGCGTAACACATTTGTATACAAGATGTTAAATAAAGCATTGCGAATACAAAATACTGAACTCCTATCATTATTTCGTTTCGTAATTCGTGACATACGTCAGCTACTAGAAAAAAATCAATGTCAAGAACCTATTAAAGTGTATCGATATCAAACAATATCAACTCAAGAATTGGTTAATCTTGAAAAATCGATCGGTCAATACATCTCGATTAATTCATTCTTTTCTACTGCGTCTAATCGTGAAGTAGCAATGAATTCTTTTTTCTCAACTCGACCGCTGTCAGGGATTTACATGGAATATTATTTCTCATTAAAGCAGATCCTAGGGCTGTGAAATCAAAACCATTCGCTGATATCCACTCGCTCAGCTATTTTAGTAATGAATTGGAAGTATTATTTATGATTGGATCTATATTTTCGTTTGGTTAGCATGCATGAAAAATGATACTGACAAAATCTGGAACATTAAAATGGAATTAGCAGGTGATGATGACAATGATTCGGAAAGTCTGTTCAATCGTCTGAAGAAAGATTATGGCGGTGGTGAGAAAGAAGTTGGTCGTCGATCACTTGGTGATGTACTACAATTTATGGGGGGAAAATGATGAAGCAGAGAAAATATATTCGGATCTACGAGAATGTTATTCTTCCGATGATGCTGCGTTTTCAAACTTGTGTTTTTCACTTGGCATGGTGTATAAAGATAGAAAACGTTATGACCACTGGCTTGCATTGTTCGTTTGGAAATATTTCTTTTGAAAAGAAGGACTATAAAGAAGCAATGAAATGCTACAAACTCGGAAATATTACAGATCATCTAAACATGGCTTCGTTGCACCATGGCGTCGTTCATATTTATTGTGCTCAAAAGCAGTGCGCAGATGCTTTCAGGAATTTTCAACGATCCATGACTATTCAAGGGAGATATTTACCTGCTAATCATTCAGATATGGCTTTAAATCATAGTGGGCTAGGTGATGTTTATCGTGGTGATGGTCAGTATCAACGTACCATGGAATGTTATGTAAAAGCATTCGAAATTCGGAAGAAGTCACTTCCTCCGCAACATCAAGACATCGCTTCGCGTCATAGAGCCATTGGCCAGCTATTTGAGGACATGACTAAATGAAGCAAAGCATTAGAAGAATATCGAGAGGCATATGGCATCTATCGTCAGTCATCATTGAAATATCAAAATTTAGCTGAAATCAAAAATGATATGCAACGTGTATCTTCAAAATTGAAATAATTCAATATTTAATACCGAGAGATGCCTACTATGGTACTTTAATATATTCTACAATAAATATCCATGAGCGGAATCAAATAATATTTAAAAAAACTGTTGAGTAGTTGTACAAGATTTGAATTTTTCATTGTCAAAATTACTACTATCATAAAATAAATCACCTACTGCTCTTTGTGTCTGATTTAACGAAAGGCATCGAGCTTCGTAATTGCTTGAAGATAAAGCATTTCTGTATACATTCAAACACAAGACGTAAATCAATACGATAATTCATCATCATAAAACTCGAAATATTGTTTTTCACAATTATCTATAGATACCTAAGTGAATGTTCTCAAGAAGACAATAGCACGATTGTATTGAGGTAAGAAGAACAAATCAATTGATGGTGGTACTATTTGTTTTTCAATGTATTCCATTCGAAGCATTGCCGTTAAAGTATTTTCAAAGCAGAATATCGAATACTTACGAAATGCACGATTAATTATTTTACGAGTTCCTTCAAATGTTTCAGTAGAAAAATAAAATTTGAATCAACTAGGTGCATGCAGTTTGTTTTAATATTAGACCTATCTTTGAGCATTCTAAATTCATGAATGCACATTCACGATCAGTATCAGCTTTAGTTCAATATATTTTCATTATCAGAAAGAAATCATCGGTGACTATTGTACGAAAGGAATCTTACTGGAGAAAAAAAATATTTAGACAAAACTTACACTTTTTGAATCAATAAAAATAAAGTAGCTTAGAATGTTTCATTTCGGAATGAAAGATCGATTGAGACATTATGCGGTAGAGAATTATCAAGTTGTTTTGGTGGAGTAATAGTAGATACTTGCATAATTTGATTAGTCTGTAATAATGCATTCGAACGAACTGATTTCATCGTACAACATGTTTGAGTTTCACATGAATTATTTTCACAACGAAGTAAACAATCGCCAGTTAGTTTCGATAGAGTATCGACGTCTCGAGTCGGAAAGGATGTTAGTGGATCATCAGCATCGTGTTCATATTGCATGGTGACCGAGTGAATGCCAATTGAATGAAAAAAGTTTTTAACTTTTCCTGCAACCGACATATAATTGGTTAAATTTCTTCTATGTAAATGAGCACTTGCTATAATTTTTTCGTTGGTAAGCCGCCAAATGTGTAATTCATGGATACTATTAATTTCAGGAACCGCTTTTAATAGTTGAGCTTTAATTTTATGAATTTCGAGGTCTTTAGGTATTGTTTGAAGTAAAATCGAAGCTGTATCACGAAAAAGCGGAAGAGCCGACAGGCTGATTATAATAACGATAATTACTGATAAAGTCGGATCAATATAAACTGTCCAATGATTCTTATCGTCTTGCTCATGTGGAACAAATTTGATTATTAAAGCACTTATTATAACAACAATCGAGCCCAGAGCATCAGCTAACACATGTAAAAACACTCCGTGCATATTCATCGATGCTTTCTTTTTTGGTTTATTTTCTTTTTCATCAGGTTTTGCCGTCTTGATTCCATTGTTTGTATCCGATTGGCTTTCATCTGATTCGTTAGAGCATTCGGCGATAATCTAAATTTACCAATGAAATAAATCTAAATTAAATTTTAAATATTACCTCTTGCAATGCTCGTGTGCTATGCCTTTCTAAGCGACTCTCACTATCATGAAGAATTTCCGGTTGACTATGTATACTCGAGTTTTTACCTCTGGTCTCACCATGCGAATGACCTCCATGTGTATGCCCGTGAAAACCTTGAAACAATAATAAGCCTATAATATTGATTCCCAAGCCAATCCCGCCAACAATAAGTAATAGATTAACATTTTCGATGGGCTCAGGTTCAACAAATCGTTTGATAGCATCGAATATAATCGTTAAACAAAGGGCGAGAAGAAAAACAGTATTTATATTTGCACCCACAACTTCGGCGCGCACCCATCCATATGTGTTGACCTCGGTTTGACGCTTAACAAATCGAACGGCAATTATTCCGATGACAAGCGATATTATATCAGATAACATATGAAATGCATCCGCAACAAGCGCAACTGACTTTGTTATATTGCCAACAACAAGTTCGACAACGAAGAATGCCGATGTTAAACAAATCATTACTAATAAGCGAAACGTTTTCGTTCGAAATAAATGACATTTACCATGATGATGGTGGTGATGGTCGTGATGGTTGTGATGATCATGACTATGGTCTGATTCTGAAGACGACATTTGGAAATATCTAACAGGAGTTCTATTGAAACAAAAAATAAATACTATTGAAAGAGCACCCCCGACATATGAAATCCACATCGATAAATCATTTTTATGTCACTCTTTACATATGGGGGTGCTCACAAAATTCATCTGAGAAAGAAAACGAGATTTAATATGTTTTCGTCATTGTTTTTTCTATTAGTAGTATATTATTTTCTTAGTAAAACATGATTGTTTAACTTCTATAGATATCTATATTCGCATTGTCATGATTAAAGAAAGCTCATAAGTTCGCATTGTCATGATTAAAGAAAGCTCATAAGTTCGCATCGGGCAACTTTGCCTGTCTTATTAATTCAATTGACAAGCAGGCAAGAAAAAGGAATGAAAAAACACCCTTGCATTTCTTACCATAAAATGTTATCTATCAATAGATCACTTGGATAGAGTGCAAAAGTAAAACATGACGCATTAAATCATAGATAAATAATTAAAAGACGCTTTGTGATAATAGATTTATGGTCTTGTTTTCACCTTCAGTAGATTATTTATCTTATGCGATTCATTGTATAGCTTAGTAAGAGATTACAAGAGTACTTCCCATAAATTATTTTGCTCTACGCATAATCCTTTTTCTATTGCGTATCGACAATAATTTATTTTCGTTCCGTGTTGTCTATATTGATAACGGTACAGCGAACAGTAATATTGCACTTAAACGTACCATATAATCATTTCGTTTTCGATCATCAATTTAGAACGATGTTGTAAAGAGTTTGTTTCATCACTTGATTGATTAACCGTAGAGAACCGAGTCAGTTTAGAGACAAAAACAAGACAACATCTCTTGTTACTGTAATCTAAATGTGCAGTAAATGTTTACCTATATAATCAAATGTCAGTTCTCCAAAGGTCAAAATAGTTTATTCATTTACAAGCGTTGAGGGTATCCATGCTCATATTTACAAAAACGAATAAGTTTTGCTTGCTAAACTTGATATGTTACCAATGCTTTCAAAACAAATAGAATTTAAGAAAAACATTCAATTGACGTGCATTAAAACACACGTAAAAGATTCAAGAAATCTCTTGAGTACTTCGGTGAATTTGGGTATTTATTCCAAGACCAAAGAAAAATGTTAAATTTGATTTCGAAAGTGTGTGTAGCTATGTGTGTTATTAATCTCTGCAGCAGACTTTGTTCTCTCATTTTTTTTTCAAAATTTTGATCGTTATAATGACCTAACGTTCGCAGGGAAATGGCAGACATATGTGATATAATTCTTGCTAAATGATCGTGCGTTGAATCTTCCAAAAACCAAAGTGAATGAGCGTGAAGAGTGAAAATAAATTAATCGAGTACAAACAACACCAATTTATGAATCAAAGTTTTCCTTATCTCGCATGTAAAAAGATTATTGTTAAAATTTGAAAACTGTTGTTAAGCCGCTTCATGATCAGGAATGACAAAAATTTCACGTAAAAAAGCAGAGAACTCGAACATGTGAACTCAAATAATAAACTATCAGCTTTCACCATCTTTAGTCACTACGAAGTTGCAGGATCATTGTTGTGGTTGTCGTCATCACAACTGAAATTCAAATGGAAAGCGCGATCACAATAGGATACAATTACGAAAAACATCTTTTGTTAAGTAAAAAAGTTGTAATGCTTTTAGATTTACATAGAGTTGAATGAGATTTGCATGTTTTTTTCTATGTCACTTACTGTACCCTGAAGTTTGAATGTCTTTTGTTCGTTTTATTTTTTCTCTTTCGTTCTGTTGCTGCTAATGGATGGTGATGTGTGGTACAACATACACCTTAAATCGATCGTGATTACCAAGACTGAGATTGAAAAATAATGAAAACAAGAAGAAATACAAAATCTAGTCCCGTTATCACAGTTCCACCGGAAAACTATCGTGTCTATTCTATTCGTTGGCTTCAATTGATTATATATACATTGGCTACATTTTGCAACGGTATTTTCCTTAGTACATTTTCTCCAATCGAATCACAAGCAACCTCATTTTTTTCGATTTCTACAACTCAAAATACTGTGCTCGTGGTGCTCTCTCTTTTTCTCTACGCTCCCGGTACTTTACTGTCAATATGGGCCATTCAACGATTCTCTATGCGGACAGTGATGATTATAGGATCTCTGATGAATTTAGGAGCATGGATTCGTCTTTTTTCTCTCATTGAACCCAGTCAAGGCTACGCAGCACTTGTGCTTGGCCAAATTCTACCTGGGCTTTCGGCACCTATTTTTTTCAATGCAGCTGCTCAATTTTCAACTCGTTGGTTTGCACGCGGACAGCGTGATATTATTACAGCCGTATGTTCCATGGCCAATCCATTGGGTTTTGCTTTTGGATTTCTCTTTCCATCGCTTATCATCACTAGCAGTTCATCTTCTCAACAGTTTTTAATCGTTTTTGCAGTGGAGGCCAGTTTTAGTACGGTGGTCGCGTTAATAGTAATTATCGGCTATCAATCAAACCCACCAACGCCTCCATCAGCTTCCGATGAACAACAGGCGAGCGATTTCAAACGAGACTTCCCTCGTCTCTTAAAAAATGGCCATTATCTCGTTCTCCTGCTTGCTTTCGGTATCGGTTTTGGCTTTTTCAATGCATTGATCTCACTTCTCTACGAACTTATACAACCAAGTGGCTATTCAAGTTCAGATGCAGGCCTATTCGGTGCCATTATAATTTTGTCTGGTCTTGTGAGCGCTGCTATGGTTGGTGTGATTATGGATTGTACACATGCCTATCTTACCATACTTAAAGTATTGATTTTAGGCGCTTGTTGCTCAGTTGTTTATTTCATTGTGATTCTTCGGCCATCTATGCTTTACCCATTGGGTCTCTCCTTTGCACTGATGGGTTTCTTCCTATTACCACTTCTACCAATTGTATTCGAATGTGCCATTGAGTGTACCTATCCAATATCTGCTGCATGGTCAATCGGGTTACTGTTGTGTGTTGGCAATGTTCTTGGTGGTGTGTTCAGTTTCGTTCTCAACAAACTTATCCAACAAGCTCCAAACTACACATCAGGTGTTATATTTACGCCCGCCTCTATATTCATACTTTGTGCGACGATTTGTAGCACACTAATATTACTTTTCTATCATGGACCCTACTTAAGACTCAAAGCTGAAACTGAAAATGTTACTGTCCGTCATTAAGCAGCAAAATAGTTGAGTATACGCGCGCGGATATAGTTGCCGGTGCTTTTACTTTTGTAATTTTTTTAAGATATAATTATGATTGTAAATATCGGACTACAGTGTGAGTGAATTTGCTTGTGGTGAATGGATTCACAATGGATATATATACATGTATTTATGTCGCTTTCTCTTTTGTTTTTGATTGTAATTTGTTTTCAATGAAAATACTGATTTTTATCGACACTGATATTGATCTTTGTTCATTGAAGCAACATTTCTGTAGGTTTACTCGATATTCATATTTTGTCGAATTGATCAAGACTTTGAAGTTCGAACCGATTTTCAAGTCTGTGTTTATCAGAATCGAGTGAGAATATATCTCTTAGTGATGGAGAATTTGGCATAGATTTTAATGGTACCTTCTTCGTTAGATAAAAACGCATTGGAAATTAATTGTTTGGCAACTCTTGTGCTGCTTTCAAAATCATAGAACGTGATTCGAAATTTTGTTTTTGAATCTAAAAGCAATATTTTGCTTGTTTACCTTATCATTTTATGCTTGAATAATGTAAGGAAAGCTTTTAGCGAAGAAAATTGAGATTTTATTCTATTAGAAGCACCAATCCTATGAATCATTCAATACTTCTCATTCTAAAAATATTCAGTAAATGATTCTTTTCTTTTGGAAAAAAATAACATATCAATGAAATCTGCATCTTTTAACATCAAAAGCATGACTTTAAATCTCAATTGAAAAAATAGTCCATCAAATATCGACTATTCAATCTGAGCTAGGTGTCATTTAAATTCAATGCGAACAAGACAACGAGAAAAAACAAAGCATTGACTGTAGATGGCAAATATGCCAATAGAGTACAACTAAAAGGTCCTTATGCTCCAAAAATTGCAAACATATGATTCGTTTTGAAAACAATTGCGATAGTTTGCATGAATCAAATGCACAAAAATCTGAGAATAAGATCGTCATTAGGGGATGTGTCGGACTATTACATAACTAGAAGAAATTTATAATCCAATGAACATAATCGAAAGCAAATTGCAGAAAAACAAATCGCTGAAACGAAAAACAAACTTTTGAAATTCTTGCTATTCTGTTGCTTTAAACAAAAAAGAAATAATGACTATTATTTGTTGTTCTTGATTTGCTTCATCGTAAAGATTTGATCAATCACAAAAAATGTTTGTTAAAATAAAAGCAAATTGTGAAACCGGTAAAATTATATTTATGAGATCACAAGTGATACAGCTTTTAGAAAAAAATTCAAAAAATATTTCTTTTTCTTGTTAGAAATGTCTCTTATTTTTGTAATGCATCTGAGACTTTGGGTCAGAATGTTCTTCCGATATATTTTCACGTGAGATATCAGCTTCTAATATTTGTATGATTAGTTTATTAGTATAGCGACTTATTACTCAATATAAATTTCCAGTGATAGGTACACTGTTGAATAAATTGCAACTATGCGTTAGCCGGAAAACGTAAAGAATTTAGTAGAAACAAGAAAAAAAAATATATATATGTCGGAGTTGACTCTGAAATTCAGTTGCCTTTAAAAGGCAACTAGTTGTGTTTAAAACTGTGAAGTCAACTAGGATGGAGCTAGTTGACTCTTCAATTTTAGAGACAACTAGTTGAGATTAAAATCAACTGGATGGAGCTAGTTGACTTGAGGGTGTCGGTGCGTGTGGGGTGTGGGCGTAGGTAAGACTAAAAACCATATCCAGACCCACACCCACACACCCATCTATTGAATAAAATGTTATTTATCGCATCAGTGACAACTTCATGATTATACATTTTAAAGTCGACTAGCTCCATCCTAGTTGATTTCACGATTTTAAACATAACTAGTTACCTTTTAAAGGCAACTGCATTTTAGAGTCAACTCCGGCATATATATGTAGACTTAAAATTTTTCAAACGTTCGTCACATCTACCTTATGCTTATTTTTGTTAAAATCTGCTCGAATATTAATGCATATTAAAAGAATAATAGACTTGATGACATGAAGACATTTGCTGTGACCATCGTATTATATTTATATGGTTTCGTGCGCCATATGAAGGTTCATTAATGAAAATAATAATTAGTTTATTGAATTTAAATAATCCTAAAGCATTCTTTCAACATAGTAGCACTCGTAATCAATCAGATTTTGACAATCGAGTGATCTCTTCAATATTAAAGAAGTTCGTTTTTGAAATCTTTGCTTATTCAAATTTTACAACTGTAATAAATATATTTAACAGGAAATCAATAGAAACTGACCGTCAAGAAAATGCATTATTCTTTTTCAAAAATCTTAGATAGGAAATCCACAATCATCTATCACGTTCTTTACAGGCATATGCCAATTCTTTCGATTGACTATAGCAAGATTAGTTATTAAAATGTTAAATAAATATTTTCCTTAAAATTATTATTCACATAGGAACGTATGTTATCAAAATATTTTTTGTTTTCGCTTGATAATGTTGATATACTTGTTAGATTTTGTCAAACATAACATAAAATAAATCTTATTTATTTTCAAACAATAAGTCATTCATATATATATATATATTCGTAGCACGCATAATACTTCAAAGTAAATTCGTTTGTTTTATCGAACACGTCATCAACGTCATTGTTCACGTGTTTTTGAACGTTAGAACAATTGTTCGATAGTGGCGAGACATTATTTCAAGAGTCTCTCGTTCTCAATATATGTATATACCGTTTGTTCTTGTAAATTAAAAGCACTGTTCTTTAAATATAATGATCAGTTGATCTTATGACTAAAAAATAAATAGAATTGCTTGTTTTTTTATTAATAGTTTTCAAACAAACTTTATTGTTTTTCAAGGTTGAAATGAAATTGATAGTTTTCATCTTATAATTTCATTTCATGCTTAAAGATACAATTTATATTTATTTTATATTAAACAAAATCTAGAAAAGAACAGACGAAAAAAAAAGTATTGATTCAAGTATGTAACAAAAAAAAATTAATAATCAATTCTTTTTTTCTTATATTCATATTGATAAAGAATAGAACAAGAAAAAGACATTTATATATATATATATGTATACTTTTTAGTCTAATTTTCAATTTTTTTCATTATTATGAGCATAAAATAAAAGAGAGAGAGAGAGAGAGAGAGAGAGATACAACATCAAAAAAACCACATGCATACACTTGAACTATCAAGTGTTTTACCTTTTGTGGTTGACGGTATATTGAAATCGAAACGCATTCTTTTTTTTTATTACAACGAGGCAAGTAAATGAAAGCAGACAATCAAATTAATTTATATAATTTATGACATCAAATATAGATTAGATTTGACTGAAAATAAAAAGACATGTATATTTGATATTTGGTGAAACCTAAATAAGAATTGAACCATCATTTTTGTATGGCATTGAATAATGCTGATTATGAAAGGAGTACATCGAAATTAACGATAATGAACAATGAAATACGAAAGAAAATAGAAAGTTCAATGTTGGTCTTCTGTCTTCGTTCGTTTCTTTTGCATTTATATATATATATATATAATAAGCATACATTTCATCTTGTCTTATGACGAAGCCAAATCATGAACATATTGTTTTGATCTTACACTACATACTACTATATACCGCATGCATCTATCTTGAAAGTCAATTTTTTTTTGATTTTTTTTCAATTAATTCTATATCAGTAACAAGAGAATGAAATAAAAAAAAAGTTTTTTTTTCATTGATACACCTTGAATCCGAATTTTAATAGCAAACAAAGAAAAATGTGATTAAACAAGAGTTTTTTTCTTCTTCTTCTTCTTCTTCTTCTTCTTCTTTCCCGTCTATTGTTCTTTTTCACATACGAATGTTATATATGTATTTATGAAAAAAAAAGAAAATTTTTCTGCTCTATTTCTGTATTTTTCAAGATTGATAATTCATTAAAATATATGGCCAGTCCAACTCGAATAGTTCCATCACCAACTGCTTCTCGTATAGCAACTATTATTCCAAATACAACTGTTATTAGTCCTCGATCAGTTTCCACTCGTAGTCAATTGGAAGAAAGTATCAGTACACTTCAAAGTAAGATATGTATATCAAAAATGTGTTTTGTTCTTTCTTCGATGTAAAACAGTAAAACAAGAGAGAAGAAGTCAGGAACGTTCTGTGGCTGATTAGAGATAGTAATCAACAGATGCGCGCATCTGTTCGCTTTAAAACAATGAAATTAAAAGAAAACCTTGTAGTCATTTCGAGTTTTTTTTCACTTTCATTGGTAAGAAAATAATGATCAAGAAAAAATTAAGAAAAGTTTGTTGTAATCAGCCCGGATCATGCCATTGTCTTATTAGACAAACATCACTGAATGGAAGTATTATTTCGACTTCATTTCAAACAGGTTTACAAACGCAAATAGAAGACAAATTTTTATTGATATTTATTCTATTCAATTAGATGAACAAGAACGAGTTCAAAAGAAAACATTTACCAAATGGGTTAATATTTATTTATCATTACATGAACCAGCGTACTACATTAACGATCTATTCGAAGATTTTCAAGATGGAACAAAACTTGTTGCTCTGCTTGAAGTTCTTTCAGGACAAACATTGGTTCGTAAAAATCGGAAACATAATTCAATGCCATGTTGTTGTTTCTGTTGTTGTTGTTGTTGATTTTTAGCCAATAGAACGAGGAAAAAAACGTGCTCATTGTCTTAGCAATGTCGACAATGCATTAAAATATCTTGAAAGTCGAAAGGTAATCGATATCAAAAAGAAAAAAAACTAAGGTTTACATAACTCAATTTATAATTATTTCAAGATCAAACTAGTCAATATACGTCCAATTGATATAGTCGATGGAAAACCAATGATGATTTTGGGTTTAATATGGATGTTAATTTTATGTTACCAGGTATATTTAAAAAAAAAGTTCTCAAATAAAATTTTTGTCTTGTAAAGGAAGCCTCTCAATCCATAAGTCGCTTTCGAGGCGAGACAATACGCATGATGTAAAAACTAAATTAGTTACGAATACCTTGGAAACACTTGAAATCTGTAGCGTATTGCGCTGCTAAGATACTTCGTATAAAATGAATAGTTTCGTCTTTTCAAGGAAGATAATTTTCGCATAGCGAACATCATGAATACGAGAGATTTCAAATAGTGTTGTTCGAATTTTATAATAGAAGTTAGAGACAAGATCCTAAAATTTTAACATAGCAATGATTTGGAAGCACGAAATTGCTGAAAAACGTTTTTGATAAGCATCGATATTTGTAAAAAAAAAGAAAAAAAAAGGAAATTGAACCTTACTGAATAAATAAAGTCAAAGAATAAAACGATTTAAGTTTCATATTACACTGAATAAAAGAATGAAGTATTTAGAGTATATCCTCACGCTTTAAAGCGTTGAATATCGTTTGTCGTGATGTAAGAAATTTGACAACGAATAAAATAAATCCAAATCAGTAAGTTTGAGCCAAAGATAAATTTTAATTATTGAAAAAGAACGAAAAAACAAACTTATATTTGATTGTGTACAATGCATGTCCTTCAAATTATTGCTCTCGAGCGATTTCGTTGTACTTAAAATATATCTTAGACATACTTGAAAGTTGATATTGATTTGATCTATTTTCTTTGAAATTTAGTTGATACTTCTTTTTTGAAGATGTTTTTATTGATATTTTTTAATCTTAGATTGAAGATTCAAGCATGTTTGATGAAAATTCAAAAGATAATCGTAGTAAAGCAAAAGAAGCTCTCCTCGGATGGGTTCGAAAGAAAACATCAGGGTATGTTATTGTGAATTTTAAGCTTCACTATTGAGTTCTGTTGGACTTTTGGAAAAAACATTTATCTTGACTATAAAAAGAATGATAATTTAGATATTATTCATCCTCTGACGAGCTTCGGTAAGCCTTGTATGAGACTGTATTCTTATCTCTTCTCGGTTGTCTTCTTTGGAATAGTTTCGCTAATGAGAATAGATCTTGAAATTTTATTGTTTTTAATTTCTTAGACAAATTGATGGTTTGGACGTGCGAGATTTTACATCGAGTTGGCGTGATGGTCTTGCTTTTAATGCATTAATTCATGCAATTAGGCCTGATTTGGTCGATCTACGTCGTGTTACCCGAATGGATATTCGAGAAAGATTAGAAAATGCATTTACTGTTGCTGAACAACAACTTGGTGTACCACGTTTAATTGATGCGGAAGGTTTGTTAGACTCTCGAATGCTTATTTAATCAACCATTCAGTTTTTTTTCTGGAATTCTGAAGCATCTGAAAATTTAAAAAAATCTGTGCGTGAGAATAAATTCATAAGTAACATATTCTTAGCAGTAAAAACTAATACGCTCATGCAAAGCATTCAGAATTTTCAATAGTTTTCGTTTTTCAATGCTACAGGTCGATGTCTATGAATAGCTAAAAATAGGTTACGGAATTTGTAAGATTTCCTAATAAAAGTTCACAGTTTTCAGTCAAGTATGTCACTTGCTTTTCGAGAAACGATAGAAATCTAATTATAGTTTATTTTCTTCCTTGTTCATACTAAACTATTTTACAATCTGCATGATCTACTATCTTTCGTCGTTAGAAAAATATGTTCTGCAGACATAACAGCAACAAATAGTCCTACAGCAAACACATAATCTTACGATTGATATAAGAAATTATTTCTTCTTTTGTATAAAATGTTGTTAATAGTAATATCAGGAGAAATGAATGCATTCACAGAATGATTGATTGATTTCTTCATTTTTATTAAAAATTTACTTCCCAGAAGAAATAGCCGATTGTCAAACGTTTGCATCACCTGTAAACGTATTTGAACCGTAAGAATATTTTTTCCTGTTTGAACACGTTGTCGTTACTACTAAACTTCTTGCCATGTGAAGTATTTAATGATTGATTTTAATCGACCAATCAAAACTGACCCGAACTTTCATACCAACTAATAATCAATACTTGGAAAAAAGAACTCATTTTTAAAAGTGCATTTACCTACCTATAGAAATCAAAGTTCATTTTCATATTTGAGTACTGAATTTTTCGGCAAAGCTTCAAGTTAAATAGCACGCGAATCTAATTTGAGAACATGTGTAGTTTTGCCGGCGCATATAGAAATCTTTTTCTGTAAGACTAATCAAATGCGATTTCTAAGAGTAGTCTTTACAGAGACGATCATCTCCCATTTCAAAGCCGTTTATTAAATAAAATTTTTCCGTTTGTCATTCATAGATGTTGATGTAAATAAACCAGACGAAAAATCTATAATGACCTATGTTGCTCAATTCTCTCGTCGATTTCCTGACTTGGTATGTTTATCGATTTCTTTGTCCATTAAACTGTTTCTTTTTGTATTCAATTAGCCATTCGGATCTGTGAACAAAGAACACGGAGAATTTCTCCGTTGGATTGCCGATATTCGACAACGCTTAGCGATCGTTGTTGATGCACCTATTCAAGACATTATAGCTGAATATAAAGTAAATATTCATTTTTTTCTCGTTAATCAACCAAAAAGTGTAAAAAAGAGCGAATCGATATTATAGTAAAAGTAAACAAAACGATACAAACATTTCTTTCTTCTCATATTTATATAGGAGTATGTAAAACTACTAAAGCAATTTATTGAAAAGCAAAAGCAGTGGAAAGTATTCGAACGTAAAGAATCTAAATCTCCACATTTTCCCGGTGAAAAATTAAAAGAATTAAGAGACGCCTTTGATGATATCACAATAAGGTAAAAACGAAGAACGTCGACCGAATTTATATTTATTTTTCGATTTAAAGAATGAATCGATGGAGATGTAAATTAGATTCAAGTCTTCCAGGTGAACTAGGTCGAATAGCTGACTGGATTAATACAGCCGAACAAGTTTTAGCACGACCACTTGGTTTTGATCGATTAAAATCATCGCCGGAAGAGAACATTCAACGTTTCAATCAACTTAATCAAGAACATGCGGTAAATAGTTTATTATTATTATTGATTCACATAAGATGTAATCGACTTTTATTTTATAGGCGATTTTTAACAATAAAGAATCTATTCTACACTCATTTCAATGTCATAAACGTGATGCATCGGTTATTAATAAACAAATTTCGCTTGAACATTTAACGAATCTAAACGAACGTCTCGATATAATTATGAATGCTAGTGAAGAACGTGGACGATTTTTAGACTTCGAAGAATTACATTGGAAAGTACAAAAATTTTTCGAACAATTAGAATATTTCATTATGGAATTAAATAAAAAACAAGGCGATAGTCATCATACCGAACGATTGTATGATGAATTTAAAGTATGACAAAAAATTATTTTCTTAGACTTTCGGAATAAAAATATAAAATAAATTTCATTTTAGAGAAAAATTTATGAAGAAAAACTTCCGAATTGTATTGAAAGTTTATTACCTGAATTGACTCGACGATCACAAAGTTATACTCAATTGGGAAAAAAAGGTTGTGCTTTTTTCGTCTGTTAGTTTTGATTAATTTAAAATACCTTTTTTTTTCTATTTTTTTTTAAAAGATGATCATGTCGCAAGAGAATTTCATGTCTATTGCGAAAATATTCGTAAAACTCTGAAAAGTTTCAATGTGGATCTTAAAGCTAAAGAGCATATGCTGCAAGAAACAATTAGTGGTTGGAAAGTCTATCATAACTTATACGCTTCATTAGAAAATTGGTTAAACGAAGGCGAACATGTTCTTCGGCGATCATCAGAAGAAAAACTTGTAAGTATTAATAGTAAGGTTTCAAATAACAGAAGGCACACAAACATTTGCTATTCTTTACGTTTGTTATGATTTCGATAAAACTAAATTTTTAATCTTATCATAATAACAGGGATAAACGTTTTCGTAGTTGACACCATACATGAGGCAATCTCTTCTATATGCATATCATTGTCAAGAGAGAGAAAATTCTGCAAATAGATAAAAAGCTTATTCGACCTTGAAATAAATCAGTCGGTATATAATAGATTCGTGTAGACCCATTTCGAGAAAATTCAATCAGCTAATATGACATCGAGCTTTTCTTCCAATTAACATAAATTCATATAGAACGCTGCGATAGATTTATAACAGTAGTTCTGTCTAACTTTATGCTTGAAAATTTTTGACACCTGTAGATTAATATTGAACAAGTTAGGATGTTTTAATAAACGAGCATTAATATATGCAGCAAGCCTACAGTGACGTTCAAGGATCGTTCGGACAAGTTTAGATATCATCTCTGTTGAGAATAGCTGAAGACAAAAATGGTTACACTCCTGCCGAGAACATAATTTCTGGAAAAATATGAATACTATTTAAATTCCTGTCTCAAATGATATGATCGATTCCTACTTTGAATATTTTAACATAGTGCCATGTTTTCCGACCCTCTGCAGAAGAGCCCATCGAGTAGAACTCAACCCCGCTTTTGTCTTCAAAAATCTTGAACTCGGACGGACTTCCACTGTCAAGACTATTTTCATCAGGATACACGCCTATGGTATTTCCATATTATAAAGCGTCTGAACAAGACTGATTTTTTCCGAATTTCATGTATTTAAATATATACAATACAATTTGTTATCATCTTAATAGGAATTCTTCTCAAATGTGGAACATTGGGCTCAAATTCATGACGAATTACGTTTGGCTATTGAACGTTTACTGTCTGTATGTGATGATGAAAATAGTGTCGTACTACATAATAAATTGTTATTTATCAATCGTCGATGGAAAGAAGTCATTGAGTCAGTGCACCAATTTAAACACGATGAATCGATAAAGAAAAAACGCGATGAATTCTATGCTGGCCGTGCTAAACTATTAGATACATTAGATAGGATAGAACGCGAGATGCAAGATTATTTACCATGTACAATGAAAACGCTTAAAGAACAAGAAAATCGTCTTTATGTAAGAATGAAATCGAGAAAAAAAAATAAAACAATTCTATTTTTTCCTGCTTAGGATGCTCAAGCGGAATTAGATGTGTTCAATCAAACAGTTCAAGTACTTTCGAAATTAAGCCAAACCATAGCACGTGAAAGTGGCGAAGCAAATGCAACGGCTGAAATGAATTCTCTTTTACAAATTTGCTTTGATAAATTACAACATGTTCAGGAATATTTACCGTTGACATTGAAACGGAATAAAATTATGCTTGGGCATTTACAGAAATTCGATGATGGTATACAAAAATGTCAACAATGGTTAAATGAAGCTAAACAATTATTTTCTCGGTATTCGATTCAAGTTCCTGTTAAACGTATTGAAGATTTTCTTGAACAACATCGAGTACGTAATCGTTCGTATTGATTTTTATTTCGTATAGGTTTTTGTTTTCTGTAGAATTTCTTTGCTGATATGAGTTATTATCAATCGTTAATCGAAAGTAAATCTAAATTAATCGGTACTATGAAAAAATCGAATGAAAATTTCATTCCATTAAATTTCTTACCCGTCGATGAACAATATAAACAATTAGCAGACACGTTTGAAGTATGTTTATAGAAATTTTCTTTTTCGAATAAAATTGTTTTTCTCCTAATTATTTGTAGCAAATTTGTCATCAAACGTCGTATTGGGAAAAGGAATTTACTCTACATTCTCAACTGTGGAAAGGTTTTCATCAACGTTTAAAACGTCTGGAAGAATGGATCGATCAAGCACAAGAAATAGTCAACGAGAAACATGAAGATTCTGCTTATCTTATACAGAAACATAAGAATTTCTTTCAAATGGTTGACGATGAAATTCTTCATGGCTTTATTAAATCTGGCCAAGAGCTTTTACATATTCGTGATCAAACCGAACAAAAAGATATTCAATTTCTTATGGATTCGCTTGAATCCAAATGGAATACGATTATATGTTTCGCTCCAATACGTCTTCTACGTTTACAATATGAACGTGTCGAATGCATCGTTGTCAAAGAATTGAAGCAAGCCGAAGATGAACTCAACGATGAACTTCGTCTATTAGAACGCCAATTAGATACTGTAGATATTTTACGACGCCATAATGAACATTTTCAATTGAATAATTTTCATCCGACGATAGAAACACATCTTAGAAATTTGCATTCCTATGCGAATGATATACGTTCGAAAGATAAAGATACGACACATGAAAATGAACAAATTGATCAGCGTACAGCAAAATTAAATGATTATTGGGCACGTATGCAAGCAAAAATTGATAATGTCAGAAGAAAACTTCAAACAATACCGAAAAAATGGCAAGAATTTGAGGAGAAGTGCGTTGTACATAACAAAAATAAAACATGAATCAATGAGATTTTGTTTTAGATTTCATCTTGTCGAAACTTGGATGGCAACTATGGAACGATCGATGAGTGATACAATGAATACGGAAGTTTCATTTGATCAATATAAATTAATTGTTAATAAATTTAAGGTTTGTCCATATTCAATAGCGAATGTATCACTATGATCGTCTTTTGAAATCTATACAAATAGTTGAAATTAGAGTTCGATGAAAAGAATTCATCACGCAAGGATTATCCTATTAGATTTTCCCTTTTTCTTTAGTTACCCTGAGGTTACCACGATATTTGTAGATCGTTACAGATATCCATAAGTGAGAGTTTTATATAAAAAAAAAGCTTGCAGCGTTGCTTTTAAAAGAGGCTAAAATGTGGAACCCACGACTTCTGTTCCGTGATACGACTGGTTACATCGCTACTATGTAATAATAGTAGTTTGTTATATTTTTCAGCTTTCGTTGTGATAATTGCGAACAGCAAAATGTGGCAATCTGAGAGCTAATTATAGATTCTTTTCGAATTCGTTGTTATTAAGGATGTTTCGTGGATTACAGCAATCTTGAAGTGTTAATATATCCAGGCCAATAGAGGGCGCAAAAAGCTTGATTTCAAGGTATTTGTTAATTAGAATATTCTGAATAAAATATAAGCATTAAAAGATCCCGATGACTTTAATATGTAGGTTAATGACCTAGAGATTCCTATCATGAATTTTATTATAATTCAAAATCTTCCTATCGCTAATCACCAGGATTTGAATGTAACTTCAATCATGAACGTGTTTGTTTGTCTTCTATTTTAGAATGACGTTCAACAGATCGATACAATAGCGTACGACGTGAAAACATTATCTACACTCTTAGATGAATTAATCGAAGAACGAGCAACGAGTGAACCAGCTCGTTATCGTCAACGTCTCGACGCACTTATCACACGTTATAAACAATTACTAAGTGCTATTGATGAAACTTCGCAACGCTGCACCATCATTATTCCAGCTAAGATGATTCATGAAAATAGTCTACAATTAAATGCATCATTGATCAATATTTCCAATGCACCAATTAATTTTCGTGATCTATCCGACGTTCGTACGACTGTCCAAGGTCAAATAAGAGTTTGTGATGTACTAGATGGATTTTCGCATCAAGTCAACGAACTTGTTACACGAGGAAATGAACTAATGAGACAACCAATGGTACCGAAATATGTTCAACAAGATGTACAAGGTGTACAAAAATTATACAATGAGAAAGTTCAATCAGCACGAGATTACTTAGAAAAACTTAAAGTAATACAAAAAGGAAATTAAATATCCAGTTTTTATTTTTGTTTGTTCGTAGCGTTTACTTGAATTCTGGGAACGTTTCGATGCGAATACACGTCGATATCAACAACAAACTGAACGGTTAAATACTGAATTAGCACAACTACGAGGAAATCTACATACGATAACATCATTTCAACATGAAATTGAAAATTGCAAAGTAATTTTTATTCTTGATTTTCATTTCGTATTTTCATTGATATATAATTCTTCAAGTATCTTCGATCTTCGTATGTTGATTTGAAATTAATTCTCGATGAAAATGCTCAATATCTTCAATCGATGACATCAAATAATTTATTACCCTATGAAATATTACAAAAACTTAAAATCGAATACGATAATATGATTGAAGAGCTAAATGAAAAATTAAGATTAATCGACGAAATTTTACAGGACTTAATTGCTGATAATACACGATGGATACGTTTTAATGATGAATCAAAACGTTTGGATACGTTATTCAGAGAAATTGGTTCGATGTTTGATGCTAAAATGTTTGGCGAACGGCCACTGGAAGAAAAACAGCAGATCTTAGAGGTAAAAAAATCATCAAATTTTGAGTTCGATTCACTAAACGACATTTAAACATAATCAAACCATACGCTCGTTATAGTCTTGTAGGTAAACTAAAACTTATTGTTTCTGCCATTGTAATATTTTCGTTTGCTTCAATGTCGTAAAGGTAGACTCAGAAAATACTGGATTTTAATTAAACTAAACAGCAAAAAACGCCGACTATGATAAATCTATTAATAACAGATAATCAGAGGATTATGAATATTTGTCAATTACCTTCGTCTTTGAGAGTTTGACAGGTTAACCGTAAGAAGGGTGTCAGATTTTTGAAGCTATTGATCAATAGTGAGAGTTTCACTTGTGCTCCAAAGGAGAATAACTCCATTGACCTAACAATATTCCCAGTATTAACGACGCATAAGCTCAACTCAAAACCAATCAAATGACTATTATTAACAAGGGGAAAAGGCGGATTTGGGATTTTTAGGATTTTCAAAATCCCATAATCCAAACCATGAATGATGGAATTTCCATTTGAATTTTTTCCATATGTAGGTCTTATGATCCTTAGAATATTCTAAAATTTTCAGCGCAAACAGATGTTTCCTTCTCAAGATAGTGAATGCGCAAGAAATGCTCATTTCACGGCACGATTAGAAAATCCAGTGTTTTTGAAAATTCAATATTTTAAGAAGGAAACATTTATTCGAGTTGAAACTTTTAGGATCTTCTATGACCCATGAAATCTACATATGGGGAAGAATTTCAGATCGCAACTACGTCATTAACAGGGGAGATGCGTTTCGATTTGGGGATTTTTTCGGATTTAAAATCCCAATAATCCTCCGTTTTCCCCTTGATTATTAGTCACTATTATATAAATTTTCAAGTACTATCTTAAAATCTGTAATGTGGATATTTATTTTAGCGTCTACGTAGTGAACTCGGTGAACATTTACATTCTTTATCAATATTATATTCCGATGGTTCGAACCTTGAATCACTTCGTACTCGACCAAAAGATTTACAGAATGCGTTAAGTCGTTTAGCGCAATTACGCGCATTAGCTGAGGCGGCATCGGGAAAAGTAAATCGAGAAGAAGAGCAAGTAGCCGAATGTCGAACACATGTTCAAACAACACATCGTTATATTCAACAATTTCAACCATGGGTTGATTCGGCAGAATACTATCTTACTAAGCGTCTTGATCAAAGCGGAGCGTTAAATTTAACTGAAGCTAAACAATTACATGATAAACATAAAGTAAAAAAAAAGCAAAGAACTTTTTTTTTCGTAGTTAAAATTTTTTAATTTCAAAGGAATTTCTTGAAGAACGTCGCCGTATGGCTTTAATTCATACGAATTTAGTCGAAGAAGAACGTAATGTCGCCGATCAATATGAATTAAAAGCTTTGATTAAATCTTTATCATTACGATGGCTTGAAGTCGTACGAAAGTCCGATGAATTAACACCACGATACGACAAACAATATTCGTCATGGCTATTATTTGAATCCGAATTAAATTCATTTCGTGATCAAATACTAGAAGAACTTGAACGACGAGTTAATTCTATGGTTACAATTGATGTCAACAAACTGATAGATCTCGCACGAATCAACGCTCTACTTAATGAACTTCGAGTATGAAAAAAAAAGTTCTTAGCTTTTTTCTCCGAAAGATTTGATTTTCAGGCATTAGATGAAAATATTCATAATCATACATCCAATTATAATCGTTTTAATAAACAATTAAGTGATCTACGACAATATACGTCAACTGAAGGTCAACGAATCCTTCATGAAGAACAAATGAGTGTTGAAACTCGATGGAATCAAATTAATCGGCTTACATCTGATAAAGTAAAGCATAAAATAGTCTATCAAACGTTTTGAAATATCTTTTTAATTTCTAGCTTCGTGAAACTGAACGATTGTATGAATCTCGTAAATCATTTCATAATCGTTTTGAAGTATTCGAACGAACTGCTCGTGAAATTGTGGAACAAATTGAGGGTAGCGGACAGATTCAAACCAGCACATGGAATCAAACATTTCTGCGATTACAACAAACTCAAAAGCAATTAGAAACAATTCAACCGTTGATTTCAACTATTGGAAAAGAACTAATTAATTTTGAACTCTCCGGTCTTTCGAAAGCAGATTCACAAACTATACAAAATGCATTTGATGCTCATCGGCAACGAATAAATACGTAAGTAGAGACAATATTTGAGATCAATTTCATGGCGAAAGAATAAAACGCTCTTTTTTTAGTATTGAAATAATCTTACAAAAACGTCTTAATCTATTACAACGCTATGAAGAACATATAAATTGTTCGATGGAAATTCGAAAAAAATTACAAAAGATTAATGATGAAATTCAACAACGACAGCAAATGAAACTGACCGATATTGATTTAATGCGAACTGAATTCGACCGTCATACAAATGATTTACGTTCGATTCAATCTGAAAGTAGTCTTCTTGATCGTTTGATGGAAGAAAGTAATACAACTCTTACGGATTCAACAACAAATAGAAATATCTTCTTTCTTGTTGAATATCGAACTATTCAAAATCTTGTGGACTCAATCGATAATAAAGTAGGCGATGTTGTTCCACCAAATCTTCATACATAAATAACCGGCAATGGGCGCATTTTAAGTCCTGATTTTCAATCATTTAGTGCGTTGCTATTTTAAAAAAATAAATGAGGAAGCATCGGATTCGCATTCGATTGTTACGTGTACTGCAAAAACTCAGTCGATTAATATACGTTTTGAATAATTCTGAGAGAAAAATTTTTTTTTAAAATCCCTGTACTCCCCCTCAGGGATGGTCTGGTCAATAATGACAATTTTTTCGGTAAACCAATCATTTCTTGACGGATCCCTCTCATCTTCGAACTCGACTGAGATATTGATGAGAGCATTCTGTGTACAAAATTTCAAGACAATTGGATGAGACTTTCAAGAGTTATCGCGTTAACGGCCGGACACACTGACCAAATCTAGAGTGTACTCACTCTTTGAGTACAAAAAAACAAATTCTTCCACAAGATGCACTGTGATCAGCTTTCGCAGCATCGAAATTTGATTCTTCAAAATGCAACAACGAGTAAAAATGGGTTCTTATAAACCGTAGTAGATTCTAGTTTTTTAATACTGCGCATTAAATGATTGACAATTTTGATGCAAAACGCGATGTTTCTATCTCAGTTTTTCCTTTATACCGAATTAATTATTAAACACGCATTCTTCAGACAGGAACATTTCTTTTATAGTTATTTCAACGTCGTGTACAAGCTCAAGAATTGGAACGATTATTAGATGATTTTGGTCAAGCTCATACTAATTTACTTCATCGGATCAATGCACTTAGTACTAATCTTCGAACAGCTCGTCTTATTGGCTATTCTACTCGTGATATCGAAGATATAATGTCTATCGTTAAGGTATTCGAATATGTTTTGAGAAAGAACCTAACAAGAGAATATCATTTTTTTAAACTTATTTTGTTCGATTCCTCTTTGTCCTTTGCATGTGTACATATAACTCTTGGTATGATTTCACACATATAGATTCAATGAGATTAGAAAAGCACTCCTATATCTGACTTTATTGGTTTGTTAAAACTTCGATTTACGTGCATATATCCTACTAACTGATTCTGTGTGCTCCGCTATATTCTTGCGATTCAGCTTTCTGCTTAGCTTTGATTTAATAGAGCTTTTAGAACTTAAATTTATTGATGTTGAAATGTGAATAATGATCAATCACGTTAATACAACTTTAATAACAAAAACAACTTGCTATTGGTTTAATGGTACAAAAGAATTCGAACAGTTTATTCCAATACGGAAATTCTTCTAAGTGGCAGAAAACAATCGGAAGTAAGTGTTATCATAGTTTATTTAAGATAGCACTCTGTTTTTAACCAATTTTCCTTCTAAAAACTGCCCAAGAGATTGTAGGACGCGAAAAATGTCGCTGATATCCAACAATGAACTAATTAGAGAAGGACTGTGACAGAATGTATCTTGGAATAGATAGAAGAAAATCATATCCCTATGATTAGCAAGACTGGCTGCAATATTTTTCACATTTTAGTCCCACTAACATTTTTGTTAATCTTAGACATGCACTAGTTGAAATCGTACTGATATCCAGAAGGATTAAAAGTCCTATCGCCAAGTAGTTTGCTCATCCAATGACTAGACGAGCTGACTATTCAAGTAGAATGATATTATTGCATATCGAGAAAATTGAATTTCTCTCCTGAAATCATTTTTCAACATGCCAACAGAACCGAACAAAATCCATGCGAATGAACTTTTTGTTTTCATAGATTTGCAATCAGAATTCATTTCTAGTTGAACTGCACTGTCGTAAACGAAAATTTTAAAATAGAAAATCTACATCATTTCTTAAATTCTATTCGCACCGTTTTTATTTTAGAAAAATGATAAATCAGCTATAAAGAAAATATATTTATTGTTACTTAAAATTAATCGTATGTAAAAATGCCAGATGGATCTTATGCTTGCTTTTAAAATTACATTTATACTAATCACATGCTTATGCATATATCTAATAATTATTTGCACATTGTACACATGATAAATGGGCAAAGAGCAATGCTTTGAGACGAGACGATTATTTTCAAAAAATAAAGAATAAAATAATTCAGCTATTTTCATCTTAAAACACTTTCCAAATTTAGACTCTCAACCGAGAGATTCAAAATGAAGGTACTAATCTAAATTTACTACGTACGAAATATAAAACTTTCTCATCGGATTTATCGAGCCAAGAACGACAACAAGCAGAAATCGCGATGACTAAAATTCAAGTAAATTATTTTCTTCCATTAACACATAAAATAAAATAGTAACAATATTATTCCAGGTCGAATTAGAACAAGTAAAAGAGCAAGCTGAAAAACGTTATGAACGATTGAATACTTTAATTCAACAACGCCAAGAATTAGATCAAACCTATGATCGATTTATGATTTGGTACAAGGATAAACAACGTTTAATACCTACTGATACAACAATACCATTAAAAACAATCGAAGTTGAACGATTATTAAAAAAATATACTGTATAAATAAATAAATATCGTTTCCTATAGAGAAATTCTCATGAATTCTGTTTTCTAGGATGCATTAAATGAAACAAAAAGTCAACGAATTACACTTGAGAACATTCTAAAACTGAATGAAAGTGTTAAACAAGGTTATTACTATGAAGATAAAATAGAATATAATCTGCATACACATGGTTTGTATTAAACAAGAAAAGCAATTTCAGCCTCTTTTGTTTATGATATTTTTTTTGATAGAATTGGCTTATAAACTAAATCATTTAGAAGAAGCACTAAATGATCGCTTGCGACAATTAAATGTAGCAAATGAACAACGACTTGAAATCGATCGAATTATGACGAAACTGAACGAATCGATTAAAACAACAGAGCAACAAATTAAAGATCCGTTTGCGAATGATCTTCAACAACCGACTAATGTTCTGAAAGATAAATCGAAAACTATGCAAGTAAGAAAATAGTTCACTTAAGTACTAATGGAAATAAATTTGAATTTACTATGTTTCATACTGTGAAACTTTTGCTAGAAGGTTCACCTCAGAGGCATCTCTCTTTAGGAAATAATGTCGATCAATCGAATTTTTTCTAAAGATAAAATCTGTCTTAGGGGTAAATAGGAAACATGAGCTTGGTTTGCATCAAAGTAAAAGAAAAATATACAAATATGAGGATGAAGTCGTCGCCCGTTTTAGCCAGTACTAGCTTCAATTGAGAAAACTTGATTCTAGAGCTCTGCAGGGTGCACGTAACCTGGCAGGACAGGGCAGGGCCAGGTTATGGAATTTTTACAGGGCAGATTACATGTTGTTCATATCGTAACCTGTTAATCTTATATTAATTTTGAACAACCGACATTTCCGGTATCTTTTCAAAAAAATTGTGCATGAAGAAAGATGAATTTACCGAGACTAAAGCACTCATAATATAAAAAATGATCGACTATGATAGATTGCAGCTAGTTTTGTTTATTTGATATTTTTCTATTAGAAATCTTGAAGAAATTAAGCGTTGTTTTTATTCGATTCAAATTTGAAGTACATATAATTAAATGTATTATAAATACTGATAGGAAATTTTGGATATTCCTGTATCTTAAAAATAGCAGGGCAGGGCAGATTACAGGTTATAGAAATCCTGCATCCTGCAGCCCTCTACTTAATTCTAAAACGTCTCGAGATATAACTTTTCTCTACTTTTCATATGACAATTGATTGTCGCTCCTAGGACAAGGGATATTTCTTCTTCGGTAAAGGCCAAGATTTTTGAACCCACTCGGATCCTAGTCGGGGACTTTAATGTTCATCCATTCGACGACATCAAACGAAAATTTCTATTTAGTCTTTACTTCAAGCAACAAGAGAACGTATGAATGAATTTGAAGAGTTAACACGCATTCATAATTTGGTCGCATCGACATTAAACGATTCCGAACGAATAACATTGAACGAAAAATATACTCTTCTGAAAGAAAAATACAGTCGTTTGTTAGATAGTTTAACTCAACGTATTGCTTCGCTCGATGAAGCTATTCGTAAGTTGAATAACTAAATAAAATTCTGCATCTATATTGTTATTTTTCATCAGGCGAACGAACTGAATTCGAACACGAAAATGATCAGTTTCAAATATTTTATCAAAAATTACAAAATGAATTTGCAAAAGAAAAACAACAAAAATTAACCGATATGAATTATCCATCGAATGAACGACGTTTAGAACAATATAAAAAACTGTTAAAACATCTTGATGAAACAATGAATCATTTTAAAGAATTAACGCGTATACAACGTTTATTAACCAATAAAGGCCATCGCATTGATTTTCGTAGTGCTGGTGAATTAAATGCAAATTTAAAAACGCTCGAAGGGCAAATTCATAATGAAATCGAACGTATCGAAAGAGCTTTACAAACAGAAAATGAATTTTATAATATCGACAGAGAACTTGATTCATATTTACATATTTCTGCTGAACAATTGAAATCATCTCAACATCATCAAGATAAAGATGCTGCTTTTCAGGTTTTACTTTTACGTTTAATTTCAATTTGAAAGAAAAATAATAATAATTCGGTTTTAGACCATCGCTAATCGTTTACAACAAAGTGAACATGAATTAAATAAATCGATTCAGCTTAGTGAACGTCTTGTTAACGATCTTCCTCGTTCGAAATATGAACAATTGAAACGAACTATTGAAAATCGTCATGAGCGTCTGCAGGCATTGAAGAAAACTTGCGAAAAAGCACGCGGCGAACATGAACATATGATTAAAACACAAAATAAATTAAACGAGGATTTAATAACAATTATTGATTGGTTTAGAAAAGTGATTCAAGATTTAAATCAGCCATTTGAACTTAATTTATCGCTCAATAATGTTGCTGATCTTCAAGATTCAGTGAATGTAAATTTTAAATGTTTAATTAGTGATAAAAAATTCATCTTTTTATTTTTGTTCTTAGCAACTTGACGCATCAGTTGATCAACGTTTGATTCGAATTGACCAAGCTCTTCATGATGAACCGAATCTTGTCAATTCAAATGATGTAGAAATTCGGCAACGATTGAAAATTCTCGAAGAACTTAAACATCAAGTTAAAGTAAGTTATTGATTTGACGAGATTAGAACTATTGATTTCTTTTCATAGGCTCTTCTTAATAAGCAACGCATTATTCTTAATGATATTCATCAAGGTATTACGCATTATATTAAACTTACTACGGATGTTAAAGCAGTTATTTGGTATGATGAAATTCGATTTGGTTAAATAATTCGTTTGTTTTGACGGGGTTTTAGTGATGCCGATTTTAAATTAGCGCCGTTTTTCGATGGCTACGATCGAAAGCGTCTTGATGAGCATGAAAAAGAGCTAAATGTACGTATTTTATTTCATAGAACTAGAGATCTTGTTGTGCGGAAACGTTTTAGACGATTTTATTTAGAACAGTGAAGTCTAGAGATTCGGATTCGAAGGATTCTAAGCTGTTACGCTTTGCTCGATTTGTCGTATCTTTAGAAGACACGCATACAACCTTCGAATGGCTTGATAGCACCAAGAAATGTTCAGTAGCGCGGCCTCCTTGGGACTAAAGTGTGAAAGTTACCTATATCCTCTCGACTTACTTCAAGTGATACAAAATATCTCGAGTGAAAAATCGACTTTATTTTTCAAAAAACTATAATTAGAACATAACCTATTTGCTTATGTCTGTAATGAAAAGAAGGAAGAACTAACAGCCTAATTAATCTAACTCTTGGTGAGCAAAATTATGAACACACTAATCTCTCTTTTAAACTTAACCTCTTCATTTTCTTATAAACTATATGTGAGTGCCATAAAAGTTGTTACGGCAATTCCAGCGAGAGATTAATGAAACTCCTTTCTAGAGACTGTCTGTGGGGAAATGGTACCGCATTTCTACCCCATAAACATCAACGCTTCTTTTTTTTTAATTTTCTTTTTTCTTCAGTTTCTCGAAACACTTTGTGCTGAACAAAAGCATCGTCTAATTGAAGCACATAAAGTAGCAGAAACATTTCGGTTACATTTACGAGCTAATGCTAGAGAAATATGTGATAGTCAACTTAAAAATTTCGAACAAACAATTGAAGATCTTGGTAAGCAAGCGAACCTATTTTTATCTTAACTAAAAACAAGCGAAAAATTTCTCTGTAGAAATTCGAATCCGTCAACGTCGTAAAGAAGTTGAAGAAATTCGTCAAAAATCCGATCGATTCAATTCAAGTATGGTTGATATACAATCGAGCACAAATCGTCTATTAGATCTCATTGAAAAATCGCCTGATGTAAAATCAACTATTTCTGTAAAAATGAATCTCTTTCTAATGATGGATTCTTTTAGCATGCCGAAAATTTGCTTACCGATATGGATTCGACGTTCACGGCCTTACAATATCTCGGACGAGATCTCAAGAAGTCCTTAGATGTATCAAGTTCAACAGAAATCGATCGTGAATTAAAAGATATTGCAAGTTCAGTTGAAACTGTTCGCGACAGTCTTGACCGCGCAAGAAGAAACCAAGAAGTAAAGCTTTTATTTTCATAAACAATAAAAATAAATCAAATTTTCCCTTAGGAAAACGAATCAGTTCGTGATCGAATTGAACGAACATTAAACAACATAAAATCATTTCTAAATAGAAAACGACAAGAAATACGTCAAGTTATTGATACTGGTTATACAAATGTCGATGTCGTACGACGAACGGTTGAAATGAAAAATTTTATGCGAGATCTTGAATTAGAAAATGCACATATATCGGAAATCAAAGAGTGTCTTTCTGTTCTACTGGAGAAAAAATGTGATCCGAAAATCATTACTGTCTTAGAAAATCAACATCAAGAAGTTTCCAACGATCTTCAATCGTAATTAATAATGATCTCATTACAAAAAATTTCTCATTCGAATTCAACTTTCTATTTTAGTTTACAAAATGAAATAGTAAATATCCTGGAAAATTTCGATCGGCAAGTGCAAGAACAAGAAAGACTACGACAAAATGCTCGAATCATATTATCAATTATTCAACGTACGAAAATACAATTAATTGAATTATATCCAACGGTGACTGACGAAGCAAATAGAAAACTTGAAGTTCGTTTTATTCACTTTGTCTTTTAATAATTGCATTTTATCTGTTTTGTTTTTAAGATTATCGATGAGGATTTATCGAAAAATTTTCAACTATTTGATCAATCATTAGATGATTATAAAAATACCTATGGAAATATATCGGATGATTTAGAAAAAATTATTATTCGAGTTTACGAAGAAATCGACGATATTAAACTTCGTATTAATGAGAAAAAAGCTCAATTAAATGATTTAAATTTATTACGAGATGAATATGAAAGTTCGATTGAAAACATTACAAAAGTTTTATTAGTCATTGAAGCAAAAACTCAAAAAACGAATATTGCATTAAATTTAGATGCATTAAAAGTAAAGGAAAAAGAAAATATTAAGAATCAAAATTTCTTTTTATTGTTTGATTTTTTTTAGGATTTAACAGTCGAAATGCAAGCACATCGCCCATCGATCGATCGTGTACAGCTACTTTCATCAACATTAATATCGCATTTAATAGATTCGCATGAACGTGAACATATTCGACGTCGTCTAAATGAAATCGTACGTCAATGGACAGAAATCGAACAAATTTTAATTAATGAAGAAGAAGATATAGTAGAAATGAATCATATTCTATTAGAATATAGAAATAGTTATGCATTATGTGAACATTGGTTGAAACAAGCAAAAGAATTAATTTATGAATTAACAAATGCTAAAACTATTGAAACTCTCAATCAACTTATGCCAAAAGCTCGAACCGTTTTAACTGAATATCAATCGAATCTTCAACATTTAGACCGATTGAAAAATAAACTTATACGAATTGTTCAAACCAGTCAAATGCCCGAAGCAACTTTGAAGGTATTGAGATTCGAAAATTTATCAGCGCGAATTTTTAGAGGCAACCTTGTAAATAGCATTATCTTACGGCGTTTTTATTTTGCGAATAATCGGGTGTGGATCTGGCTTTTCGTCTTCTTTCGACTCCCAGAACATTTTGGATGCGACTGATTTGTGCCTTGCGAAGAACCTCAGTAGTAGAGCCCATTGCGTTCGAGTACAAAATTTCAGATGGATAAATCTGGTTCCAGTTTCGGCTTCCCAGAAAGTAGTAGTCAATAGATAACTGAAATTCTTGATATTTTGATTTCATGCAGATATTGTTAGAGAAACCTGTACGGTCTAGAATTCTCATCCGAAGAGGATCACACTGTTGCCCTGAATACCCTGCAATACTCGTTCTATGAAGAGTTAAATGAATGCATATAGATAAAATTTATATTTTTAGTTAAATGAACTCGATCGTCTTCTGGCAGATTTAATAGTGCATCATGAAAAACTTGATCAATGCCTTAATTTAAGTTATAAAGTTCATTTTCAATTAAGCGAATTTAGTAAACAACAAGTTTTCTATGAACAATGTATTAACAATATTCAAAGAACGGTGGAAACAGTATTTGAAGAAAAACTGACCATCGACGAAAAATTACAATGTTTAAATGATATCAAATTTGAATTAGATAAACGTAAACAAATACTTAATAATTCAACAAATGATTATCCGGAAATTGATCAATTAATAATAAAATCTATACAGAAACTAGTCGACCAAATTGAAAAAATCAAAGCAACTATCAATCAAAAACAAGAGGTAGAAAAAACGCAAAAATTTGTTTTTATTAATAATTTTGTTTTTACCAAAAAAAAAGGAATATGAACAGCAAAATCGACAACACAAAGATTTTCGTGATGGCATTGAAATGCTATTTGAATGGATTAAACAAAGTTATTCTTATGAATCATTAAATGATAAACGTGATTTAGAATCTCTTGAACGAGAATTAAAAAAAATAAATGACAAACAACAACACATTATTGATAAATCAAAAGAGATCGATGCACTTGCACGAGCTATTAATAAGTTAGATAAAAACAAAAAAAAATTATGTTTATTAAAATCTATTATGTTTAGTTCGAAATTACCAAATGATACTTTACAAAAATTACGCCAAGAAATCGATCATTTAGTGGAGCGTTTTACTGAATCAAACAATGAACTTGAAACAAGAAGTATATTCATTAAAAAAACCATGCGAGTAAGAAAATACATAACAATATTGCATGTTATCACGCTTAAAAAATTCAAACTGCGCCCAATTAGAGCTGAGGGAAACAATCATTTCGAGTTCGATAACTACAGCAATCAATAGGAACAGACGTACTTGATACAAAATGATGTTTTCTCACGTAAACTATATTGGCATAAGCCAGTTTATGTTCTACGAATATTTCACAATAGCCAGAACGTTAAAATCCAACGAAGAAAGCTTCCGTAGCCAATGGAGCAATTTCTAAGCGAAACTCTACATTTCAAAATCGAGTGAAAATTTTGCATCTCTATGGTAAATTACAAGTTGGAAGCTCACTATGATTTTCCTTAGTATCATGTTTAACTCATTAGAGATCCTTATCTAAGAAATTCCTAAATATAGATGCATGAAAAATCACTTAACCTGTAGGATGTCGATGAACACCAACGCAAACAACGTAGATATCAAGAATCACTAGATAAACTTTCGTCACTAGTAGAGCATGATCTACAAATACCAGGCAGAGTAAGAATCTAAATCAAATATCTAAATAGTACAAAACAAACTGATTTCTTTAGTCTGTGGAAGATGCGCTAAGTTCTCTTGGCGAACATGTGTTGAAAACCGAAGAATATGAACGACGCAAGCGTCAATATGAACGCGAATGGCATTTGTATATAGAAGAAATATATTTATTACAAGAAAAGCTAAACAAATTAAAAGAACGAAAAGGAAATTTTTATGATTCACTCGAAGAACAACTTAGTTTTATACGAGTAATTTTAAATTTAAATTTTTCTTGAATATTCATTTTTCCAAATAGAATCAACTTCAAGAATTAAATCGATATCAAGATGAATTAACAAATTTAAAAAAGCACGGACAAAACATTTGTCTCGACAATGGAAATATAATTGCATTGCCTTCTGAAATTCATCAATTGCAATCCATAATCAATTTGCTTAAACAACAGGTTGATAAATCTGTTTTTCTCGAAATTCTTCACAAGCATAAACGCTTTTTTTTTAGTTTGACCAACGTCGTGAAGTTTTAATCGAAAATCAACGTAATCGCGATATGTATTTAAATGAATGCAAATTGTATGAACATTCGTATAATTTGTCCATGGAGCGTTTGAGTCGTTCGATAACATTTCCATCGACAGTCGATGAATTCAATCATCAATTGAATGAACATAAACTTTCCAATGAACAAATCGATGAAAAACGTCGCCGGCTGAATTTTCTATTCGATAAACTTGATCGCGAAACACGCTCACGATATTCAAAACAATATTATGATTTAGAGAAGCGTTCGAATGATCTGCAAGATAAAATGATTCAACAGACAATACGTTTAGAATATTTTCTGCGTACGTGGAAAGAATATCAACTAAGATTTCGTGATATTTATCAACAATTGCGTTATATTGAAGAACAATTGCCATCAAATAAACATTTAGTTTTGTTCCAACAGATACAAACAACGTTTCTTCTTTATAAAGTTTGAATTTGTTTTTGTATTAAAATTCATAATGCGGACTTTTATTTTTATAGGATTTAAAACAACGTTTGATTTTAATCGAGCCGGAATTGTTGCATTTAAATGATGAAATACAAACATTTTCGAGACAATTAAATATTATTTCATTACAAATTGATATTCAAAACGTTAACGAGAATTTTATTCGAGTTTCAACTGATATCAAAGAAAAATTTCAATGGTAAAATTAACACTTAAATTATAAATTCTCACTGTTTTATTGTTTTAGTCATAAAACTGCTACAGTTCTTGCTAATGATATAAGGCGTAATTTATCGATTCTTGAAGATACATTAGGACAATGTTCAATTGAATCACAAGCACAATACGACGGTGATATTGCTCAATTGAAAATTCAACTAGAAAAAATGATGGTATGCTTAGATATTCGTGTGTTTTGTTTTTGTTCATATTTTAAAATCAAATTTTAGGATGTCGAAAAACGTCTTGAAAATATTGCCGATGTTTATTCGAATACGGCAACATTTATAAAACGTTTAAAAACTTTTAATCTTTATGAGTTACAATCCATAGAAAGTAATCTGGAAAGTTTTCATCATAAATGGACTTCTCTTAAAGTAACAATAAAATTTTTGTAAATTCTATTCGAGTTAATGTTTTGTTCGATTCTCTAGGCAGATATTTTACGAAATGAAAATATTCTTCATCAAAATATAACAAGTCGTTTACCATCGAGACAAGCTTCCAAGGAAATGTCTGTCTTCATCGATACAATCAAACGTTTATTAGACGATGATCATGGCGCACCAATTAATAATAAAGAAACTTTACAAAAACTAATCAAAAGATATCGAGTAAATAAAAAAAACATCATAGTACTTATCTGCATCTTAGCCGTAATATATATATTCAGAGCTCGCGCAAAGTTAGTACAACTGAGGGCTTAGACAGCAATCAAATCTAGTTATCGATAGAGAAATCGGTCAATCTTAACACAAAAATTGACTTTCCATACAAAAAATAATTAAATACGCATATTTTTCATTCTGTTCATATTTAAACGTGGCTCTGAGCAAAAATTTTAATTTCCAGTAGAAAGGCGAGGGTTCGTAAAAAGTATTCAAACTAAGACCCGGAGTTCTCTAGTTCTCAGCCTATTCAGATGCGATTTCCTAATTGAAAACAGTCCTCTGTAAGTCTAAGATTACTCATTCGGACATTATTTTCTTGTTAAATAGGACATGCGCGTTGATGTTCTCAATCATCAAAGAACAATTGATTTTCTTAATGAATCACTACAACAAGAAGCAAATGTAGATTTAACAAGTATTGATCATATGGAAAATATTAAAAAACTAAATATTGATTGGATTAGAATAAAATCATTAATTTCAGCTCGAATTGAAGTAAATATAAATATAATTGAGGGAATTTTCGTATTATTCTTCTTTTTTTTTCAACATTGAAATAGACATTAGAACAGCTAAATGAACAATTTAATGAATTCGATCAAACTGTACGTACACTATCTGATTGGGTTCAAGAACAAACATCTGACCTTGAATTTATGCGTGCGAGAAGTTTGGAAGCCGGTGTTAAAGATAATATTCGGCGATGCAATGTAAATAATTTTCTGTTTCTAATCCCTTTCATTGTTTTTTTTTCTGATTTTAATTTCAACAGGAAATTGAATTTCAATTAGCATCAAAACAACAAGTTCTCACATCTTTAAAATCGTTCAGTGGTCGAATGATATCAAATGCATCAACATTTCGCATCATTGATCAAGATGGTACACTGCAAAATCTACGTCATATGCTCGATCAATTATTCCCATCGATTGAACAGTTGAAATTAAAATCAAAATCAATTTTAACCGATTGGCAAGAATACAATCGTGTTTTACTTCAAATGGATAAGATTCTACTGGAAGCTGAAGCTGAAATCGATCGGATTGAAATTAGTGCAATGAATGTCGAAACATATGAAATGAGTACAAGAAAAGCACAAGTATTGCATCGTTTGTTTTGTTCTCTAAACCTAGACGAACTATATTGATTCTATACTGCTAATCAGGGAAGAAGATAGATCATTCATTTTCCTTGAAATAGTAAAACTTGTTTTAATAAATATTATGAGTTGGTCCACAATAGAGTCGACTTCTTTACCAAAAGCCTCTCAGAAAATTTCATATGTGAAGAAAATGATGAATATTTTTTAAGATTATTGAAATCGTTAAAAAAATTGATTTTTCTTAGGAATATTTACAATCTATGGAATCACATCGACATGATTTCGATCAAATTATAGTTCATGATCGTCATTTATCCGGCCAGTGCGATGGGCAAACATCATCGAAAATCAACGAAATAACTGCTCGTATTGAACAACGTTGGATAAAAGTTCAACATCGTCTACACGAAATAATAAAACCATCGCGAGAAGTTGTCGATAATTGGAGACAATTCAATACTTTGTATGTTCATTTACTTGATCGACTTGGAGAACTCGAAGGACGATGGTATACAATTCAACAAGAAAAATTCACCGCCGATATCGATTCGCTTTTTGAAAAAGCTAAAGTAATTATTTACCCTCAAACTTAGACATTTAATCGTTTGTCTCTATATTAAGGACTTTCAACAACGTCTCGAACAACTTGATCTCGAAGTGTTAAAACTCCATGAGTATACAAAAAAATTAACTCATCCTTTACCACCCATAGCCGCCAAAAAGATCGACACTCAATATTCTGTTATCAAAAATCAACATGCAGAATTAGAAAATCTTCAAAAGAAACTTCTAATTGATTGCAATGAATTAAAATATCATGAAAAAGTCTACTTAGATTATTTTCATGAACTTAATCAGATAATTCATCAAGTTCAAACAACACTTAAAACGCAAAAATTAACTGATGAATATGAAACAGTCAATTTAAAACAAGTTCAAGAACTGGATACTCTTCTAGAATCAAAACGTATTCTTATCGAACGTTTAAATTCCAATGAATTTAATTTATATATAAAACGAAAGAAAAATTTTCAAGAACTTCTCATTGAATATTCCAATTGTATTGATTCAGTTAAAAAACGTTTAAAACAAATTGAATTAAACGAATATAACAAATTAAATTTTGAAAAACGCTGTCAAAAATGGAATGCTTACATTCAAGCTATTGAACAAAATCTATCTGTTGTACAAGAAAATATTCACACAAATTATCATGGTCTAGTTGAAATCGATAAAAATTTATCAACTACAATTGATGATTTTAGTCAACGACAACAAGAATTAGTCAATTTAATCAACGAAGGAAAAGATGTGATCGAAAATAAACATATTTTTATCAAACTTGAGCAACGTTGGAAAAATATTATGAATACTATGTTGAATAAACAAAAAGAAATTAAAGAATTAATTAAACTTTGGTTAGCATATCAAAATTATATAGAAAGTATGGATTGTTTTTTTTTGTTAAGAAAAGTTGCCTTTAACTTTTTTGTTTTGTTTAGGTTATCATCGTTTATTGAAAGATAAATGCGACGCTGAACAGAAAGAATTACAAGCGGCAACTATTAATATAATTAATCAAATGAAACAAGGCTCCTTGAAAACAAATGTGGATAATGATGAATTAAGAAGTTTATTGGAAAAAATCTATGATATCAATAGAACTTTAATTAGAAATTCAGATGCGAAAGCACAGGTTATTTTAGAAAAAGAATTAAATGATTTACAAAAATCGATTCATCAAGTGGATTCGACTATTAAACAAAAACGGGAAACACTTTATACGGTAAGATTTTTTTATTGAAGTTTAAAATATGAAATTGGATAGTAGGATTTCTACAAAAGTCTTATCAAATCAAATAAATGCATTACCATGTATTTTTCCTTTTCGAGATTTAGTTAATTTAATAATATACTTTCGAAAGTGACTAGCGATCGATACATAAATGGATCATCATCGATCGCTGAATGATTGCTTCGATAATATGACATGAAGTCCTGCCAGTTGAAATTCAATGGTCATTTATTGTTAGAATCGACAATTTGCTACTGACCTGATAGAGTTTACCTTTATTAGTCGTTAAGAATGATATTTCACTGTCCATTGCCAACGACCGAAGAGAAAATTATTTGTTAGTCGTTTTCGACAGACTGATTTATATATATGGTATACGCTAACAATGAACAAGTATAGATTATAGACGAGAAGGACAGCGAATTTAACTTATCCCGATAGCAACTCAAAAAACAAATTTCGTTATCTATAAACATCTTTTTCATTCTACGTTTTTCTTTTCAAAATTTTTCTACTTTTCCTCCACCAGTTTTTCTTCGACACTTTTATTAATTATACTTTTTCATTTCGACATTTTTCATTCGACTTTTTTCTTTTCCGCCAATTCGATATCGGTCGCTGTTCAATTTTTCGTATTAAAATGATTATAACTCTTGATTAGTGATGTACAGAACCATCTCCATCGATACTCTCAGTTCTGATCGAATTATTCAGTAAATAAAATCTAACTCAATAATTCTCTTTTTATAGAATCGAAAAACTCCTCGCAAAGAGACGGTAATCTGTAGTAGAAAAAAAGAATGTTGCATGGATAGAAGAAAAATGCAATGCCAACACAAAATTATTTACAATTATTTATTTTAGTTTATACATGCAATATATTTTATTAATTACACATGCAGATTGACGCATGATTATTGATTTTACGCCTCTCCCCCTCTTCTAAATGCATGACTCTTTCTCTTGCTGATTTGCTTATTTGACTCTTATTTGTAGAATCGAAGGAGTTACCGTTCTAAGAGGGGCGACAATCTAATTTTGTTCATATGTTTAGTTACTTCTTCGATACAATGAACTTGATCGAATATTGGATGAATTAAGTACTATAGTAAAATCTATACGTTCACTTCAACAGCAATCAACAGAAGATTTTGATCAGTTTCTTATTCAATGCCAAGTAACTTGAAGTTTTATTAATGAAAACAAAATAACTATTAAATAAATTTTATTCAGAATAAAAATCGTGAACTTACACAACATAGAACTGAATTACAACGAGCACGACAAGCCATTACAGAAGTAAATTAATGTTTAATAATCGATTTGTATTTATTAGAAAAAAAAATTGTTTTAAAAGATATCTCCTGAACTGCATCCGGAAGATTCACGTCAATTGATACAAAAACTAAAGTAAGTCTTTATCTCGTCGAGCTTAGGGTTTTTTTTTGAAAATATCCTTTACTCAAACGCATAACATTTATCTTGTGCTACGAAGGACTAGGGCTACATTCTCGTTCGAACTTAAAAGTATCGGAAGATTATGCATTCAATATATATATATCGATGTTAGTCGTTTCGGTTGATAAAATAGTTGATTATTATGACTCGAGCAGATTAAATAGCAGTAGAAAATGAAGACAGTGGCATTTTATTGAGCTTTAAAAAAATCAATCGAACAATCGACTTCCAACTCATTTTCTCAAATAAGATCTATGCCATCCCTTCACCTTCCGGAGTTCGTATTTCCATTGGTTTATTATTTAGTTTACTTGAAATTCAATGGACCGATGCCGAACGTAGCTTAGCAACGTTAATTGATACTCTTGCAAAACGACGAACAGAGTATCAAGATTTTGAAAATAAATTTCTTCGATTTGTTCAATGGTATGAACATTTTCTTAATAATGAAATTAGCCAACGGCTGGATGGTTTAACCATTGAATCAACACTTGAAATCTTGAAAAATGAAATAAAAAATATCGTAACAGAGCGACGAAAATATGCTAATGAATTATTAATTCAAGGACGTCTTTTACAATCACAAACACATGATCCAGCACAATTACAAATCCTCAGACAAAAGGTTGAACAATTAGAACAAATGATTGAAACAGTAGAACAACAGATTGGGAAAAGGTTTGATTTTTCTTTCGATTGAAAATCATTTCCTATTTGTTTTCGCATCGAATAGAATTAAAAAAGCGGAGAATACTTCTAAAATGTTTCATGATTTTGAACAAGGCTTCGAAAATCTTTGTTCATGGATGGATACAATCGAAATTAATTTACAACGAGCGTCAGCAATACAAAGTTCAAATGATTTTCATGCTCATCAACAACCCATTTCTGTAAAAGACGACAGTGCTTTTTTTATTGAAACGCTAAAAAATGATTTATTTTAAATTTTAGGCAATTGAGATGGATATCGAAAGTCACAGTACCACTTTGAATAGTCTTCTTGCTCTCGGTCATAATTTATTAAGTGAAACTGAAATGTCTCCGCGAAGTCTCGAATCACTATCGCGTACAGTTAAAACATTAGAACAACGTTGGGGATTATTAAAAGAATTAATAATGAAACGAAAATCAGAGTAAGTGTTTCTAACGGACGGAAAAGAAGTTTTGCATTCATTTTACTTTTCCTGTAATACCAACAAGATATGAAATTTGAAGAGGATTTCCAATCTAATTCTAGGCCAATCGTTAATATTTCTATTTAGATCTGATAGTATTCATGTTACATGGAGAAATCTTGATGAATCTATAAGTCGTGCATCAAAAATGATAAGTGATCATGAACGTTTTCTAGCAGAAGTTAAACGAACAAGTGGCGAAGGTTTACAAGGTATTCGAAATGAATACAAAAGTCTTGAGGTTTGATTTCCTATTATTCGTTTTGTATGTCTTTAGTTTTAATTTTATTTTTCAGAGTGTTAAAAAAACATTAGTTGATGACGATAAACAAATCCAACAAATAAACAAGAATTATTCTGATATTCTTCATCGATATTCAATATCGGATTCGAGTGATGATATGCGTATAAGAATAAAAGATCTTAATAATCGTTGGGAAATCTTAAATGGAACATTTAGTGAAACAATAAAAAATGTATTTATAATAAATTTCTATTTTTATTAACTAGAATTTTTGTTTCTTTTAGCTGAAATATATGCTAAGTGTACACGGTGATTTTCAATTAACACACGATTCATTAGTTCTTTGGTTAACTGATCTCGATGTACTTTTAACTAATCTTGAACATTTATCTGAAGCATCGACCAATGAAAAAATTCGACAATTAGATGTAAGAAAGAAAATTTTAATCTAGAAAATATAAAACCGGTTTTTGTTTTTCTTACAGGATATGGATCGTGAAATTCACGAAAAACAAACTAAAATTGAATATGTACAAACATGTGCTAATTATTTACTTAGTAAAACTGTTGACGCTCGAGGTTTAACTATCAATATGAATCAGCTAACGAAATTTTGTCAACAATTAAGAGCTTTAACAAAACGCATCATAAAATTAAAAAAAAATTTAATGAATGTAACTGATGTAAGAACATGAGTCTCTTCTTTATTTTACATGCTACAAGAGGAGGATCGGTTTTCATTAGGAAATTTGAAAAAAAAAAGTTTTTCAAGAAGGCACTGTAAAATATCATCATCATCATTTTATGTCCACTAAAAGGCCTTTAATGGCAATGATTGTCCGTCTTCGGCTTGCTGTAGTGTGTTTATAGCATAACTAAAAGATATGATGTACTTTCTATTTTCAGCATAATGTGGATTACACAAGCTCTGCACGTTCCTCTCCTCTTCGATTTGCTTCATCACCTACTCGTAAACGTGTAGCTTCGCCGTCACCACCAAGTATGTAGAAAAACTCTTCGCGACTCTTTTAAAATTCAAATTTTGAAATCAAAGGATCACGATCACCAAATCGTTATCTTCGTTCACGAGATCGTTTTATTCGTCCAATGGATAAAATCGACTTAGGCGATAATCGTCAACATGCAGATAAACTATTGGCTGATTTCGAAGATATTCTTCTTCAAATCAATGCAGATTTCCATTCGAAAGAAGAAAATCTTCATACTCCAACACCAACTGGTGTTCAAATTGAANTTAAAAAAAAATTTAATGAATGTAACTGATGTAAGAACATGAGTCTCTTCTTTATTTTACATGCTACAAGAGGAGGATCGGTTTTCATTAGGAAATTTGAAAAAAAAAACGTTTTTCAAGAAGGCACTGTAAAATATCATCATCATCATTTTATGTCCACTAAAAGGCCTTTAATGGCAATGATTGTCCGTCTTCGGCTTGCTGTAGTGTGTTTATAGCATAACTAAAATATATGATGTACTTTCTATTTTCAGCATAATGTGGATTACACAAGCTCTGCACGTTCCTCTCCTCTTCGATTTGCTTCATCACCTACTCGTAAGCGTGTAGCTTCGCCGTCGCCACCAAGTATGTAGAAAAACTCTTCGTGACTCTTTTAAAATTCAAATTTTGAAATCAAAGGGTCACGATCACCAAATCGTTATCTTCGTTCACGAGATCGTTTTATTCGTCCAATGGATAAAATCGACTTAGGCGATAATCGTCAACGTGCAGATAAACTATTGGCTGATTTCGAAGATATTCTTCTTCAAATCAATGCAGATTTCCATTCGAAAGAAGAAAATCTTCATACTCCAACACCAACTGGTGTTCAAATTGAAAATCTACCAACCGATTTTACTTACGTAAGAATCTTTAATTTAAATAATTAATCAAGAAGAATCTGATTATTTAGAATCGAATTTTAACATCTATTCGACGAAAAATCGATACACTAAATCAATTCATTCATCAAATAAAACAAGAATTAGGTGCATATGTTATTCAAGACTTTAATAACGATCCAATGGTTGTCGGTAAGATTTGGTTGAGAAATTAATTTCCATGACTCAATCCTTTATATTTCAATAGATATTATGAATAAATGGAGTCATATACAAAGCTTAACTAACGAAAAAGATGATCAATTAAATCAAAATCGGCAACGGTGGAAACTGTTCAAACGACAATTAGAAAATCTTGAACTATTGTCGGAACAATTTACAAGCTCAGAACACTCATGTTAGTACTAAAAACAATTTTAATATGAAACACAATGTGTGAGGAAACAATCGCTCATTAATGTGGATATTCTCATGGGTAGAGAAAAGAGCTACCCCTGAACTAACTCAACCTTAAGTTCGCACCTCTCGAGTTCCCTTTGAAATGCATAGAGTAGAAAACTAAACCCACTCGTCCCAAATTCTCTAGTGCTTCGTCAGAGAATGTTAATAAACAGCATTTTTTGATTATTATTTAGTATCAAGATCAATGCATTCAAAAGCTGATGTGAAAGAACGATTAGGTAAAAATACTAGAGAGACTATGACTAATTTACAATAAAAGTTAATTTTTGTTTAAGACGAAATTGAAGTACTGTTACGATCCACAATCGAGTTATCCCATGAATTCAATGATAATTCAAATATATGGATACTTTTTGAACATCGTCTTCAATTAATTAAAGATAAATTTCAATATTCACACACCCGATCAAGCAGTCCAACTCGAGAATCAAAAGTATTTCATCCTATAAATCTTGTTTTTCTCAATTATCTATGCATTCTTATTCTGCAATAGATAAATTCAGATACAAAAAATGAACTATTAGAAATAAATTCACAAGTAGATCATCTTGAAACTTTAGCACATTCCTTAGAACCCATTGATAATAATGAAATGAATCAAAATATAAATCGTACAAAACTACATCACTTCATTCGTATTCATGATGATCTTGAAATTCTTAATGAACGTTTAATTAATATAAATAAAAATTCATTATCAATTGTATCAAGTGATCAAATGCGTCAAATAAATGATATGAAATTAATATTTGACCGTTTAAATTCTATTAAACGTATCGTAAAACTTCATCTTGATCAATTAGAAAAATTATTAGCAAGAAATGAAATAAATCTTTCACAAATGAGATCATCGAACAATAACTTTCAGGTAAGAAAGAAAAATAAACATACAATCATTCATTTTCTTTTATTTTTAGCGTCTGTACCAATGATGAAAATATTGTTTTTGGTATCGAACAACGAGGAACATATTCATTTTCTTCAATGTCAATTAGATTTTTTTGTCTTTATCAAAAACTTTTTGCTAGATTTTAAAAGTTTTCTTCTTAATTATACCATGGCGTCAATCTTTTGTTCTTTATTATTCTCTCTCCCATAGTTTCAATATACCATTTAATTTTTTCGTCTTGCATGCGCATGATTTTTTTCTTCTTTGTAAAAACAAGTATAAAATAGTTTTTGAATGAATAAATGTTAAACTGATTTAATTCTATTCTTTAGCGGGGTGGGTGTGGGTGTGCACACAAGCTATGCTCTTTTCAACACTTATTTTTTGACGATGAATCAATTCTTATGTTCATGAATTCGGCTGTTGAGAAATAACTGGAAAATATTCGATCACACTTGTTCGGATATTAGTGGCGGCTGCTACCTCTCAGTGAAACAATATTCATAATAGTTTTGACACTAAAGAAAAATATAAGAAATTACGATTTAATACATGAGATTCATTTTATTGCTTAGTAGTAGCATTTTAACTTCTTTCAATTGGAAAAAATTAAGAAAGTTTTTCTTTTTTCCCGTTTTCAAAAATAGTCTCGCCTGCTAATAGTTCTTCGCGTCGCTCCTGCATATGCTGTACTGTAAGACTTTACGAATCTGATCGATCAGCAGCAACAGCAACTCTATTTTAAACTAATCACAGCCTTGAAAACCACAACATTTCCTTAAATACCATTAAAGTTGCGAGGGACATCTCTGGCACATACAAAATAAGATTTCAACCAGTTGATGAATTCATTGACTAGAATAAAATAATAGAAACAATAGCTCTTGTTCTGCTCACTTTCACGACTACGATACTCAGATCTTATTCAAACGAGGATAATTATATTGTTTATCCTACATTGACAGAGTCAAGAGCGTTAAGAACTTAATTACTACAGGCCAGTTGAATAATAAATAACAAAAATGGGTTCTAATAATTTCAGTCATGATAGCGTTTTTATTAAAAAGCTTAATCGTGAATAGCAGCGATGATTAGTTCACACAAAAACGTTATATTATGTCTATTTATTTGTTCATACGACTGTATGCTTTATTGATAAAAGCATTTTCAGCTACGACAACATAACGTATGCTAAATGTGGACCTCCACTGGCATAAACTTTGAAATAAAATGATATTATATAATAATGCCCAATGATCGTTGAAAACGATTGAATCAGATAATCGTAATTGCTACATTTATCTACGTAGTAGTGCGATCCTGTTTGACAAGAACTCATCGTTAGTTGGCCATAATTAGTGCTAGACCTACAACAGTTAGCATCTGTAGCATAATATTGTGTCCAACCGGCGAAGTTACCCGTCGAAAATTCACCATTAACAAGTATATTTAAAATAATTATGAGCAGGTCCGCTATTGCCTGTCAGGACAAAATGACAGAGTTACTGAACTACCGGTAGCAGTGAAACCATATGTATAAAGTGTGTAAGTTGTTGGGTCAGCGCTGGAAGTAAAGGTAAATACGGCTTCTATTATACTTGAACTTGTACATAATGGTACTATACGCAGTAAAATAAAATTATAATTGTATCAATCAATACTAGATACTAATATTTAATGCTCACTGTGTGTTGCTGTTATTGTTGTTGTTGTCGAAGCTAAAAGTATCGGTCATTATGCAACATGATTAGGATACATTTCTCTTGTTTACTTTACTCTACGAAGTTTTGACAAAGCTGCAATAGATTCTTATTTTCATACTGATTTTCAGAGAGTCAAAGTTGTACTAAGCTGTATAATTTTCAATATCTTTTATATCATTCTGACAAAAACTGCCATTAACTTTAGAAGCAGCACAATAGTCGAGATTCTGTGAACTTATATGAATCATTATAGAATGCAATCTTTCATGAGTTGTGTTGTTTATTTTGAAAATCGTATATACGTTTCATCACAATTCATAATTCAGATCATCTTCTACGAGAATATCATCTTTAAATTTCAGCATTTACGTTGATGCTGCTAAATTGAAAGAAATCTGAGGCAGCCAATAAATATTCTGTCAGGGCATTTTAATTAGGGGTAGCACCTTACGAGAATTTAATATTAAGTGTTAAATGTTAAATAAAGGTGTGGGTGTGTGAATGTGTATAAGTCACATATCCACATAAACCCCTAGTCGAACATCTTGTAAGTAAGATCTTGGCCAAGATCTTGGGTACAGATAAGTGAACAGATCTTGAAAATTTAGGTACAAGATAATACGATTATCTTGTACCAAGATTTTGGATGACGCATTCTGAAAATATGTTTGGATATTTTTTCAATTTATTTTTATTGTAATTATTCCTGTTCCGAATAACTCAAGCAAGTCAGATGTTGGGATCTGACTGGCTTTAAGTTGATCTGATACCGGTCAGATCAATTTAGGATGATCCTCTCTCGATCATCGATCGAGATCAGCATTCTCTTGAATAATCAATAATCGAGAAATCGTTTAGAAAAAAAATTATTTTGAAAAATTATGTTTCGTATGTTCAATCGTGTTGCTTATATTCAGCTCTGTATGTATAAAAAAAGACGGTGAATGACTAGATAGCCTATGTAAATACACTAATGATGTCGCTTTCTGTTTTACTCAAGATCTTGTGAGAAGATAATGGTAAAACGATATCTTTTCCATGATCTTGCCAAGATCTTAGGTACAGATTTATCTGATACAACCAAGATATGTACATACGATTTATCTTTTTAAGATCTTCATAAGATCTTACTTACCGATCCCAACATTTCCAGATCTTGCTTACAAGATGTTTCACTAGGGCACCCCTTACAATATTAAATCAAACAAAACAATCATCTTTATTGAAAGATTTGAGACCAAAGAAGCAGACTATAATTCACCTTCTTAAATGCAAACTCTGAGTATGCCAATTACGCAATTATTCACACTTCACGAATGCGCAATGACCATATAAAATATAGTGAGCAGTACCAAACAACATGGTATATTCATCTATCTCAGTTGCTGATCCAAATTAAAAAACGACACATCAAAATCATCAAGAGCGAAATTCAAATTCCGAAAAAACAGCAAAACCAACCAGTGGAAATAGCTTTTCAAAAAAAGAAAGTTTCAGTTGTCATAGTTGCATAGTTACCGATAACTGCTAATACTTTTTCTGTTTTTGTTCATAATAAAACTAAGCAAGGTCGAAGCGCGTTGTAGTTTGCTCGACTCGCACCCTTCTTGGACTTTATTCTCATTCATGATGACAATTTTTTTCCCACGGAAAACCCCACCTGGCTCTCCTTCCAACACAGATCTCAAGATTTTTAATCTGCGCTACAGTTAACAAAGTAGAAGGCTCATGTGGGTATGAGACGTAAGGCAAAGGGCATTTCACAAGACTTATAAACGCTTACGCGGTATGTCACCTTAAGTTAGTCGTTTGCTATGCCTATGATTTTCTTTTCTCGCTTCATTAAGGAAGAAGAATAGTAAAATATTGAAACTATTGAAGTGACTGAATTTCTTTTGTTCTATTTGTCTTCATTATTCTCGTTTTGCTTCTTCTTCTTCTTCTTCTTCTTCGATCATGAGAAAAATGTGAATAATTTTTTCATTACCAGAACAAAAAAAACGAAATTTTTAGCTGTAACGAAAGAAAGAGTTGAATAGGCCATCAGAGAAGTGTTTACTTTTCATCAAGGGGGAACAAACTGATTTCGTGATTTCTGATTTCCAAAATCAAAATGTGATTGCATTTGATTTCAGTGATTGCCACCGCTTCCATGGGAATAGGGATGCACCCTCCAGTCGCGACTCAATCACTGAACATCAGTTCGAATGGGAACCAAGAACCACTGAATGTTCCTTTGATTAATCTAGAGTGAATTCGACAATCAGTATTTTTATTTGACAACACTAAAATTAAGTGAAACAATGATATCAGTCTACAAATTATTGTTATACGATCGAACTCATTTTATCGTTCTAGCACAATTTTTTCTTCGATCACTGCTATTTATGAGCCAGTCCACATAATCCACGACGGATTCACACAGAAGCGGTTCAATCGAGGTCGTTATATTTCGCTCCATTAAAGATATGTTGTAAAGGGAAGAATTCTAAGAATTTTGACGCACACTGTTTTAAAAAATATTAATCACTTGATTTTTTTATGAGGATTGTACGAAAAGCCCTAACATTCATCATATCCAGACATGGGGTTCTATTGGAGTCCTATCTCAAGAACAACTCAATTAATTGAGCTGAAATGTTTCAGAGACATATATTTCGGTGACTCCTATTTACCAAAATAATTTTGTTTCAAAATATTGAATTGTTGGGATTTTCTGAATTACTCAATATATGAAAAAAGAAACATTTTTGGTAACTTGCGTAATTCAAACCTTTTTGGAATTATATATTGATTTGAAAGTTTCATTATGGAAAGAGCACTGAAAGGTGTACCGCTCCTAAAAATTTCAGCTGTCTGCATTATTGCGTTTGACCAGAACAGTCCTCTGAAAAATGGGTTTTTGACAATTATGGGAGTTTTCAGAAAAAGCTATCTCCCAAGAAATGGATCTCCTTGGAAGCTGATATATAGAAAATAGAAGTACTCTTACTAGGTTACAACCCTGCGAAAAAATTAGCGTGACATCGCAAAGAATGATCCTAGGAGACTTATCAAAATATACCAAAAAATGGTCCCTTTCCTATAGGAACTGTACCCAGGTTAGCTTAGAAATTGCTCGAAGAGTTGTATTACATAAGATAAATTTTACTTAGTTAAAATCAGCATATGATCCTCTGTTTCCTTCCTTAAAAGTATTCTTTGAAAAAAAAAGAAAATTGTTGTAGAAAAATTCCCGTACTCCCCTCCAGGTCTCTTCAGATCAATTTACATTAGTTGAGCCTCCCCTACTCTCCTAGGACAATTTTTCGCAGGATTTTATTTTTTTTAAACAATATTCTTATAGAATGTAATAGAGGATCATACGCTAATTTTAACTAACGAGGGAACCGCCGAAGTGATTCAAAGCTTTTAAACTGATATTTTACCGATAAATAGAGTTCAATGAAGCTAGACAAAGACCAAAAGGACAAGGACCGATGGGCCTTCTTTCTCGAGTTATGATGATTTTTCTGGGTTTACCACCTATGATACGGTATTCATCGAAAAATCAAATTAAGGAGTTTTGACCTGAATTTTCGCGCGCATGCAGGCATTAGTCTCGAAGTTTCAGCCAAAACGAATGCACTGTTCTGGAAATAATAAGTTTTCAAGAAAAGTCAATTCTTTAGGTTTGTATACAACATACTATTGTTGTCTTGAGATTAAAATATCTCGACAACGGCACTTTTTGTTGACTGAAACTTCGAGGCTAATATATAAATCACAAGATCTGTATGGGCGCGAAAATTCAGGTCGAAACTCCTTAATTTGACTTTTCGGTGAATATCGTATAATAGGTGGTAAACCCAGTAAAATCATCATAACTCGAGAAGGAAGACCCATCGGCTCTTGTCCTTTTGGACTTTGCCTAGTCTCATTGGACTCTACTTATTGGCAAAATCTCAGTTTAAAAGCTTTGAATCACTTCGGGTGGTTTCCTCGTAAGTAGAATTTATCTTATATAATACAACTCTTCAAGCAATTTTTAAGCGAACCTGGGCACAGTTCCTATAGGAAAGGGCCCATTTTTTGGTAAATAGGAGTCACCGAAATATGTCTCTGAAACATTTCAGCTCAATTAATTGAGTTGTTCTTGAGATAGGACTCCAATAGGACCCCATGTCTGGATATGGTGAATGTTAGGACTTTTCGTACCATCCTCATAAAAAAATCAAGTGATTAATATTTTTTAAAACAGTGTGCGTCAAAATTCTTAGAATTCTTCCCTTTACAACATATCTTTAATTGAGCGGAATATGACAACCTCGATTGAACCGCTTCTGTGTGAATCCGCCGTGGACTATGTGGACTGGCTCATAAATAGAAAAATTATGATTTCAATTGATTTTATGTGATGTCGAGTGATTTCGGTGATTTCGTGTGATTTCCAGTGATTTCGTGTGATTTCATTTGATTTCAACGTGACTTCAGAGATTGAAATCAATTTGTTCTCCCTTGCATTGATAGCTATACTTTTATACGTATGATGGCTAGTTCTTTATGATTAAATTGAAATGTTTTTTTTTTCTATTGTGTTTTTCTTCTTTTCTGTTGTTGCTTCGTATTGCCTCATACTTTCTGATTGTGCTGACTAAATTGCACGTTGTTAGCCGTGAGTTGCACAACAAGTACTCAATACTTGTGAAGCAGCCTATATAAAAGGCATTGATCGATGCGATACGATACCCATAAATACAGTGTATTGAAACAATAAAATGGATCGTTCTGCAATCTCATCAATTTTACTCGAACTCAATCTGAATGAAGATTGTGTCGCTAATATTTATAACTATGGTTCATGGGTATATGGCACGAATTCACCTACATCCGATCGAGACCTTATGATTGTAACTCGATCATCTCAGAAGCAACCACTAACATTCGATGATGATTTTGAGTATTTTCATCAATTTGAATTACATAAATTATGGAATCAATATGACGTATGTGTGCATACCGTTGAAAATTTTGAAAAATTACTAGAAAAAAATTATTTACTTGCCGTTGAATGTATATTTTTACCTGATGAATTCAAAATCAAAGAAGAAATTGATTTTCGTCCGATTTACCGTGAAAAATTTTATAATACAAATCGATTGAAACAAGTTGCATTTTACGAAAATCTTACAGCTATGAATATGTATAATCAAGATGATCAATCAATTTATAAAAACCGTAGTTCAAGATCAAGCGGATCGAATCAATCAAACAATGATTATTTATTCAAAAATTTATTTCACGGATTTCGATATTTAGATTTTGCTGAACAACTAATTCAAACACGTTCAATACATGATTTTAAACGTGTATCCCATATATTTAGTGAAATGAAAGATATACGTTGTGATCCAACAATTGATTCAAATATGCAACAGTAACTATTTCTTTTTTAAAAACCCGACAAATCATTTTTGCTAACCATATGTTCTTTTTTTCTATTCAGAGTGCTCGACTATATTACCAATCTAAGTGCTGACTACAAAACAAAATTAGATGTACTTGTACCAACAAATGTTGTAAAAGGTACATTCGAAGCACATGTCACCTTTGATTGTTCACATCACACCGAACAAGCCATTGAAAAACTTCAAAAAGCATGTGAAGATACAAAATATAAAATAATATTTATTAATTTGGACACTGGTAAAACCAAGAATAAATCGCAACAATTAATGACATCATCATATCATTGTGGTGAATATCCATCCATTGTCAAAAGTATTGAAGAAGAAGTTTACAAACATTTTCAAGATTTTAATGTTATCCGAATTAAAATTGAATCATTGGCATCCAATGAAGGTGTACCACAAACAAACGCTGATAAAAAGTTATTCTGGGATGAAGAGACAAATTATTTTGAATTCCATTATAGAGTTTTAGTAAAAAATGATTTGAAAGAACAAAGATTAAATGCACTTCAAACTATATGTAAATCAAATCGTAACTTTAATTTGCATGTATCCCATAATGCATTTAAGCATACAGATGAAAACGATTTTCATTATATGGTTACAATGCGTTTATTTGATGTTGGCCGAGAAAAAGCATTTGAACAAAACGACGAAGTTATAAAATATTTGACAGCAAAGAACTTTCCACCATTAAAAGTAGTTCGTGAATTTATTGTGTATGATACACATATTGAACTTGATAAAGAATGGACATAGTCATTTACCATTTTGCTAATTATTACTTATGGCTTAAATTCTCAGAATGCTCTTTTTATATATATATATATACGTGAAATAAAACTGTTTTCCATTTTTGTTAATATTCAATTTTAACTATTGCACAATGCATATTGATGGTTTAATCTATTCATAGGATAATTCATTTGATTTAAAGTGGAGAAAACTATCGACAGAATGTCATTTAGTAAAGATACTAAGGCAGAGAATGAATATCTAAGTTACTCTATATGTACTATATTCTTCTTACATTCAACGTAGGAATTGGCCACAACGATTAAACATATGGAAAGTAATGAATCGGCTAGTTTACAAGCAATATCATCACGTGTAAATCTATATTCTATTTATTTTTCAATGATTTGTTTTGAAAGTTTTGCCAAATACATACAAAGAATGTTGTCATACGTTTGCATTATGAGTAATTACAAAGCATGGCTAGTAATGTAAGAATATCGTATAGACCAAATTGATTGTTTATTTAACAGGGTCAATCATTATTATGCTTCATTTGTCTATATTCTTTTCAACTTGAGTATTTGCTTGAAATGTTTTTTTTTTAATATCCATTTTTTGATATACTGTATTGAAGACAGATCTAATGGATTTCACGATGATGGATCATATAACAGAAAAATAAAATTTGTCATTGAATTTCTACCAGACTATTCAAAGTATTGATGTATCCGATGAATGGAAGTATTTCCATAGCTTAAAAAGCATTCGTTTCTTATTGTATCTCTGCGTATAAAAAATTTACGTGAGTCAAATATTCGAGTGGAACTATATAAATGTCAAATTTGTCGAAGCCTAGTGAGAGAATATCCAACGAACATTGGTGATAGTCTAAGTTGACGTAATTAAATTAATTGTAATCATGTCATTTTATGAACTGGGCAAGAATGCATGGCAATGTGTGCTCTTTTGTTCTCTATTATAGTTTTCGTTGGAAATTTTGCCGACACGTAAATATGCTATCAAGTGAAGCTTCAAATTATTTTCCACAGTTCATATCCACACAAGTGTCCGTGTTTGCGTGGGGGAAAGAAATATTTCGTTTTGCACATATTATGAGTAGTAATATATTTTTCAATCAATGTCGAGCCAACTCGAAGGCGCGTACAATACTCTTTAAATACAAATTTTTAACGATCTTTCTCTAGTTTCATCAATCAATTATATACGTAAGCATAAAATTAATTTATCACTTCGCTTGCTCTTCCTCGCGTATATATGTTTGATGATGATGATACATTATTGAGTGTGCTTCTTTTAACATAAAGAAAGTAGATAAATAGCTTGGTAAAATTTTAATAAAGTCAACATTTTAAAGGAAAAAGTCACATAGAAACTGGAGGAGAAGCAAAGTGAATTGTAACGTTTATAGTCTGCTATTGACACCTTTGCGCGTACAACAATCTACGCATAACAACAAAGTGAACGAGAGAGAGAGAGAGAGAGAAGAGATTAAAAAATAGATATTAATGTACGAAACTAATTTCATATATTTAAGCTTTCAAAAATATACTAGTGGCACTAACATCAACTCAAATTACCGAAATCGTTGTTATCTTTAACGAATACTACCGATCTACTTTCGTTGCTGTCACAAAACTGAAAAATGTAATTAATTAATAGATCCATATTGTATATTTATCTGAATGAAAAAGAACTAATTTTTGTTAAACATCGATTTTTGTTTCTTCTATTTAATTAAATCAGTCTAACTAAACAAGAATGAAAAATAGATATTCTTTTATCCAAATACAAACAATAAATATTAGTCATATCCTCGCGTCAGTTGAATAACAAACAGGTATGATAATACATTATTGAAAAACAAACATTCTTTTTCAATACATTCCTATTGACGAGAAACATCTACGATTACAACTGTGAACGGTAATGGTAAATACATCGAGGCGCAATTAAGATCGAAATTCGAACACTACAGTCAGATGTTATCATTTAATATTTTTTTCATAATTAAGATATAATATCACGGCTAATTAGTGTAATAGACTTTCACGACAGCGACGATTTTTATTGATATGAGATGGTATAAATCATGTTTGGTTGCTCGTTCTCATAACATCAATCATTAAAATGTACAAAATCAACCATTGATATTTCATACATATACAAAGAGAAAACTCTTCTTTTTACTTTTATTCAATATAATTTCGTAGTATAGAGGGGTATCTCTTTTTTTTTAACAAGTCTACTCCATAAAAAGGAAACTGTAAAAAACTACGTTACTAACTGTTGCACATTACTCGATATGGCTTTTTTTTGCTTTCTTGCTCAAGTGTATTCATGGAAGAGACATGGTTGACTTTCTGATTTCAATCTATCAACCAATTCGTCAGTCGTTATGGCAAGAAAAAGAGAATCTCACAAAAAAAGCCGGCAGAGAAAAATGCATCAAGCGTTTGCTGTTCTTTTCCTTTGATTTTATTTCCTCTTTTATTACATGAGGAAAAAACAGACTGTTTCACACCGACAGCTTTTTATGCATCAGTGGTTTATTCGTTACTAATGAAGATACACTACTTTTAAAATGCAGACGTTCTCTTGTTTTCGTGTTTTCGTTTTCATTCATTCCCATGTCTTCAATAATGCACGAAATAAATAGTCAGAAAATAAATTAAAAGCAAGACCATCGAATAGTCATTCTGCATCAATGGAATATACAAACACAAAATCAATACAACCCTCTGATGAACTTACGGTTCAGAATTTTTTTTTGATTTGGCTCGACGGATATATTGATCATGTTGATGACAAGGACTGCATGAATACCATGAAAAAACTGAAGAAAGTAATAAACAAGGTTAGAACATTCAGAGATATTGAAGAATGTGTCAAATTTATCGAAAACATCAAAGGCGAGAAAATATTTCTCATCTCTTCGGGTGTATTAGGCCAAAAAATAGTTCCTATCATACACAATAGAGCACAGATCCACAGTATTTATATCTTTTGTCAAAATGATGCATTGCATAAAATGTGGGCCCGAAAATGGTCAAAAATCAAAGGTGTATTTGGACATATTACACCCATCTGTAAAGATCTTAAACAAATAATGGATAAACGACAGCAAAATATGGTCTCAATTAGTTTTCTCACAAACGATCATAAGAACATTATGAAAGATCTCAACAGATTGAATGCATCGTTTATGTACAATCAGACAATAAAAGAGATTCTCTTAAGTATTCATTATGAGGAACGCTATTTCAACGATTTTATTGCGTACTGTCGTCGATTTTTCGGTAATAATCCTATTGAAATTCAAAATCTCAGTCAATTTGAACAAGAATACCACCAGCATCCTCCAATTTGGTGGTATACTCATCCTGGTTTTCTTTCTTCAATGATGAATCAACCTTCACATATGATGAAACTAGATCTTGTTATTCGCATGGGATTTTTCATTCGTGATCTTCACAATAATATCGCACAACTTTATGCACACCAGCAGGCTGTATTCAAAACGATGGGATCATTTACTGTCTATCGAGGACAAAATTTCTCACAGGCAGAATTCGATGAAGTAACCAAAATGAAAGGTGGCTTTTTATCGTTTAATAATTTTTTATTAACCGATAAGAATTATCAAGCATCTCTCCATTTTATACAGGATAGTATACAAACTTCGCTTGGTGTTGGCGTTTTATTTATTATAAAAATTGATCCCACTACTCCGTCTACGCCATTTGCTAATATTTCTGATATTAGTTATATTAAGCAGGACGAAATTCTCTTTTCCATGAATCCTATATTTCGTATTGGTCAGATCAAACCAATAAATAATAATCGACTATGGCAAGTAAATCTCACACTCACAAGCTATAGTGATTCAGAATTACATCGTCTAACTGAACAGATCCGAATAGAAGCCTATCCTCGTCTGAAAGGTTGGGATCGATTAGGAATGTTATTAATTAAATTTGAACAGTTCAACAAAGCTCAAGAACTCTACGATATATTGATTGATCAAGCAAAAACTGATTCGGAAAAAGCAGATGTTTATCACATGCTCGGATGGGTGAAAGATGGTCAAGGCAAATATGCTAATGCTCTTGACTATTATAAACAATCCATCGAAATTAAACAAAATATTCTCTTTCCGATTATTGTCGATTTGGCGTCGTCTTACGAGAACGCTGGCACAGTACATGAGAAACTGTCTGACTATTCGACTGCACTTTCATCTCATCTGAAAGCATTAAAAATTCGCCAGAAAAATTTTCCATCAAATCATCCTGATTTGGCTAATTCTTATGAACATGTTGGCTTGATGTATGGTCAAATGGGTAATTATACAGCTGCACTTTTGTCTCATGAAAAAGCATTGGAAATATATGAAAAAATTCATTCTTCAAATCATCCTGATTTAGCCATTTGTTACAATAATATAGGTTTGGTTTATGATCAGATGGGTAACTATTCGGATGCACTTTCAGCGCATCAAAAAGCTTTGGAAATCTATGCAAGAAGTCTTCCTTCAAATCATCCTCATTTGGCTACTTCCTACAATAATATTGGTTTAGTATACAACAAAATGGGTGACTTTTCTAAAGCATTTGTAGCTCATGGCAAAGCATTGGAAATTCGCAAAAGTACTCTCCATTCAAAACATCCAGATTTAGCCACTTCTTTTAACAACATCGGTATGCTACATGCTAGAAAAGGGGAATTGTACAAAGCTCTGCAGTTGTATCAACGTGCTTTTGAGATTGCACAATCGTCGCTACCTCCAAATCATCACGATACTCAGCTATATCAAAAGAACATTGACTTGATGAAAAAAAAGTTATAATCGATTTTTGTTTTTACGAAATGCATCATTTGAAAATATATGCATATGCATGCAGAAATCACTCTCGCTCTTTCTCACTCTTGTTAATAACATACCTACCGACAACACAATCACCAGTAGTTCATATTATGAACATGATTTTTACAATAATCTTCGTTGTATAGTTTCTGCTTCAATAATGAATTTTTCGATTTCGGCATATAGTTTAGTCAACTGAATAGAAAGAGATCAAACAATCGATATTGTCTTGTTAATACGTATTATGAAAACTGTTCTCTTTGTTCGAATGTAGCAATAATTCGTTGGATTACAAAACGAAACCAATAACAAAAATTCCATACGCTGAATGGCCATCTCATTTGGTATCAAAAGAGTAATCCAATTATTCATAGAAATATTTCATTAAATAAATGACAAATATAATGTGCATACGTTGTGTCTATGATAATTTTACAACAGATAAAGAATAATGAAATGAGATGTCATTTCCGTTTTGAATAGTATTCGTTTGTGGAAGAAAAAAGAAAATTGCGAAATATCAAGACACTCGACTGAATAAGTATAACATACTTTTTCAGTATACATCAATGCTATAGTACTGACAAACCTATTCGATCTAACATACAGTTCATTCAAAACAAAATTCATTATTTAAGGATTCTAATCGTAATTTTATTTAAAACATCTTTCTTATCAGATACATGGAGTTGTAAAAATAATGAAAGCAATCGGAACAATCTGCTTTCACAAATTAATTATTGATAGAAAACGCGTTGAAAATAAATATTGATAACGCTTTATGTTTACGATCTTTCATAACAATCAGAAGAACAGAATGAAGGTTTTATCTTATGTTTTACGATTTATATTTTTTACTGATAAAGACAATAGCAAATATTATTTCATTCTATTGAACAATCGAAAGAGTTGTAAATCTACGAGCTATGTTCTATCTACATAAGCGATAAATAAACTGTGACGACGTATATAGTGGTTATTTCATAAACACTTATCCGTCATAGTATTAGCATCTTCGACAAATAGATTTCATAAGAAAAAGATTTCGTGCTAAGTAATAAATAAATCAAAAATCAACACTTTCAGCTGTTAATCGATAAAAGAGAATCGACGAAATGCTAACATTTCGTTTAATTCTTATCAAAACTATTAAATTGTCTACTATGAGAGAAACAATTCAAACAGAAAGTCAAAATGTTTTGAAAGAATTATGACATCAAATCTTGCAATTGTCTTAGCCACATTAAATGAATAAAGAAATAGCTATATGTTAAAAGATTTAAGTTGATTAATACAATTTGGGTATTAATAAAATAAATCGAATTATCTATTATAGATAAGATAAGACTAAACCTGCATAGTTACGAGCACATTTAAAATAAGAAAGAAAATTTTCTTGTTACTAAAATATTGAATTACTTTCATTGAATTTTGAATTCGCAGTATGATAACGATGCAAAATAATACACATGGACATTATTTGCATACATAACGATAGCACATATTAAGCGTCGCTATCAAAAAAGCACCTGTGAAAAGATCATATTGACACAATAGAAAAATATGATGATTGTATAACATGATTATCTGTTTATCACCTAATCAAGGTATTCTTTTTATTATTGATTTGACTAATACTATTTTATTGGATCGACTTATTCTATAAATAATTTATTATTAAATAAGTGAGAATATCATGAAATATGATTAAGTTTAAAACGGTGACCCAGTGTATTTTGATTATCACAGAGAGAGACAATAATTCGTTTGCCAGATACTTGGAGTCGTTTAGCATTAGTATAACATGGTCGAATGTAAAACTGATTATCGTTAGCAACTCTTTCGAACGTAAACCGTGAGCACGATCGTGAAGATTCTTTTCGATGTGTTGAAAGAATTGATGAAGATATCCAACGTTCTCCTTCGTCTTCGTACAATATTAAAACTGTTAATCGACGTTGCGTGCCTTCATTATATAATTCATATTCTTGAGAACATCGATCGCTGTCTATTTGTTTTATAGAAAAGATACTGTCCCAATGAAGTTTTTTTGACATTGCACATAAATCATCTTTACCATCTGTAAACCAATCGCCTGTTGATAAACATTCAATCATATAAAGACCATCTGGCAAGTAACTACTTTCAGAAAATCTTTTCAATAAAATCAAATCATTCATTGATGATAGATTAAAAATAAGAAAAGATGTTGATGGTACAGCACGGTATTTTTCATTTTCACATTTATTAGTTAAACGAATACTTAATTCTTCACCAACGATCTTATTATTGTACACCAAAGTGAATGATATTAATTGGCGATGTATTAAATGTGCTGCATAACAACGTATATCTTCGATATTTGAATAACAGTAAATATTAAGTATATCTAAATTTGGACAATAATTTTGAATATATTTTATATATTTTGATAATGCATGCGGATAACCAATTGATAAATATCGAAGATTAAATCCAATACATGGTAAAAGAGTTGATAAGCAAAATCCGAAAGTATTTTCATCATTAACATTTGCTAAATTAAGTTCTTGACCGATAAAATATTTTACAGCTGATCTATAACATTGATTTAAACCAAAGAATGCATAAGCAATATCTTCTTTGTTAAGATATTGAAAAATTACATAAATTACTTCCCACGGTAGATCTAACAAAGAAGAAGACGAAGATGGTGTTGACAGCGATGATGACATTACTCAACTATGCTGTATTTGGTATCCGGTATTTGGTATTTGAAATAAGAACAACTAGAAATAATATATCATTCATTTTACACGACGATACGGCGTGATCAAGGATAAATATTGACAATCTTTAGGTACTGATACGTTTTTTGTCCTTCAAAGTTATATTTTTGCCAGGGAAAAAAGACGGGGATTGGAAAAGAACATACTTGAAAAGTAATCATTAACCTTTGTTATCGTTCTTTCGTACATTTTTCATAGATATTATTTCAACCCCTACGCAAATAAAGTTAAATGCGCAATGTTATTTTAACAGGAAAAAAGTCACAATTTGTTTTTTTTGTTGACTCAGTTTGTTCGATATTTTAACTGAAATAATATTTTTTTTACAATACAACATCATATATAACTACATCATGAATTCGTACGTTTATCGAAAAATTGATATTAAGACTAACCTTGGATGTTGCTATGTGTATGGAAGATGTTTTTTTCTCATAGCCGAGATAATCGTCGCGGAAAAAGAACGATTATTTATTTTGTAGATACAAGTAAATAGTAAGCCTTTCTTGTATCGTTATGCCAATCTGTGCATTAGACAAAAGTCCTGCTGAGTGTCACGCTTAGGAAGAAAAAAGAGTATGTATAAACGAACCGCATCCGTCTGACACAACATATGATAAGAAAATAAGAAAATGACTATACATAGGATATTATTTGATTTTGATAAATGCAATCAGATTACTTATAATGGACAGTTGATCCATAAGATTCGTGAAATTGTCAGTCCACATGAAATGTAAATATTTGTAAACAATCAACATGATATTGAAATAAACTTTGTTCGAATAGCTTGATCACTTAGTATTCTTTCCTTCTATCAGTTGTTGACTCTTCGTACTTGAGACTATATTGATCTACGTATAGCATAATTGATTTTTCTATATTTATAAAGAAAATTTCTTTTTCAAAAACTAAAAAAAATATTCTTTTCTACATCTTTTCCTTTGCGAGATATATACGATTGTATGATAAACCCAATAAATTCACTACAGGAATATAAGTTTTCCATGAATATTTTAGCTAAATCAATCAAACAAATTTTTTAAGATCGAACGAATAAACAGATTGAATTTATTGATCTGTTTTTAATTATCTATTCAACATAGAGGCTATTGTAGTCATAAACTAAGTAGATTCAAACGCTATAAATAGGATTTATGCATAGGTTTATCGCGTCAAATGATTCCTTTTCAATCGTCGCCATATCTATCAATATTATTGTTTAATCATATTTGAAAATCGAGACTACCGGTCTTACTTTCTATTAGCACATTAATCGATCACATAAGAAAATACAGATATCAACACACAGATGTTAATCAGATGTCAAAAATTCTATCAAGTATTTTTGCACAATCATAGTGAAATATAACACGAATGCCATGTTTATAAGCCAAATAAATGTATTGTTCATTATCATTTTACTTTATTTTAAATAATAATTATTCCACTTGAACATAAGAGAAATGTGACTACCTGTTTCAAATCTTGATCAACAACATGAATACCATCATTTAGTAAAAGTGGCAGACCTGATTGGTTTTCAATAAAAAATTTAATTTGTTGATAAAGTGTACTATTTTTAATCATGAAATTAGCCGTAGCAATCAAATCGCTTGATCACATCTGCATGTTACAATTATATTCAGTAATATTCATTAGATAATCTAACTATTGTCGCTGTTTTCATTGCGAATTGTGTATGTTGAGTATATCTTAGAGAATTTATTCAGATCTTTCCGAACCTCTTCACATTTAGTAGAAATCGTTTGTTCCTTGATGAACGCTTTAATACTAAATTCTCTTAAACGAGAATTATCCAAAATAAAGATATATGCACAATGGCAAAATTGTTCGATAATCATAAAATAAATGAAGAAAATACAGTCGAATCGTTTCAGTGCCAATCAATCGTTGATTCACGAGCCAAATTAGATCAATAATATCTTGATTTAGTATTAAATTTTCCCCATGTGAAGTTCAGATAAATTTCATATAAATGAGAACATTTAAATAATTTCTATTTTAGGTTTTTGTGAGACTTTTATCTTCTGGACTAATGTTTTAATCCATGCTATTATTTCGTAATGTATAGATTCAAACAGGGATCATTTCAAAGATAATCGATGCGGTTTTATCAATGATTTGCATTTTTTTCAGAAGCAAACACTAAAAAATATTTATGAATTCTATATGCAAATTTTTCTTGGCATAGAACCAACAAAAGACGCAATCATTATTCGAAACAAGTTTAAACATTTTTCAATTACTATCATCGGATTCTAGTAGCCAAACGTACTATTGTTTCTTGCACATGACGTGGCTTTCCAGCTTGGCGAATATTTAAAAATACTATGGAACGAGTCAAAGCTCCTTCCGACTAGCAAACGAGCAAAAATAACTTTTATTTTAACTATATCGTAATTTTATTGATTCCTCAGATTATTGTCTTATTCAAACGGTATTCTAACAGTTGCCGAAAAACAGTATAAAACGTTTATAGACATTAATTATTCAGTGTTAGCATCAATAGATGGTGCTCATTGATACTACACTTGCCACTAAGATATGTCAGTGATATTAATCGTCTTGATGTTTCTCTTCGATCTGTCGGTCATTCGCCGCCTTGTTTTCCTGTCTCTCTCTCTAACCTGTTCAGTTGTTGTTTATTATCTTCATCGACAGTTATTATCTTTATGAATGAAACATTATTATCAACGTAGGATAGCTTAGATCAAAATTCGAGTTTTTCCTGAATGGATTCGCTGCAAAGTGCTCTCCAATCGAAATCATCTGCTCTTCAAGTAGAACTCGGCGAGCTCTATCGAATGCACTACTTATATTTTTCACGAAAAACCCCTCCATTTTATACAAAAATCCCAAGTTACCCAAAAAAGAAACGTTTGAAAAAATCTAAAAAATTGAGAAAAACTCATCGTGATTCTTCTTGAAGCACTCTCCAACAAAGATCACTTGCTTTCCAAATACAACTCGGCGAGCTCTATCCAATGGCATGTTCAGATTTTCGATAGCACTAACTAAGTTGTTCGGGATATTCATAGCGCTATTTATACTCTTGGAAATCTTAGTTAGTGCGATCGGAAATTTAAACACGCCATCGGATAGAGCTCGCCAAGTTGTATTTGGAGAGCAAGCGGTCTTTGTTGGAGAGTTTTTCAAGGAGAATCATGATGAGTTTTTCTCAATTTTTTTTAGATTTTTTCAAACGTTTTTTTTTGGGTAACTTGGGATTTTTGTATAAAATGGAAGGGCTTATTGTGAAAAATATAAGTAGTGCATTCGATAGAGCTCGCCGAGTTCTACTTGAAGAGCAGATGATTTCGATTGGAGAGCACTTTGCAGCGAATCCATTCAGGAAAAACTCGAATTCTGGCCTAAGATATCCTACGTTTTATTTTTATTAAAAAAAATCAGTCTTAAATTATTTCGATCAACTTGCAGAAGTTTTTCTAGTATGGCTTTCTTTGATTTTATCGGGTTGCAGATATTCATCTCTGGATGGAGATAGTATGAAATTAGTAAAATCGTAATTGATTGTTGCTCGTCGACTATGTATCAGTTTACTTAATTCGAGCATATTACTAACTGTTATTTCTAAAAAAGCAAATTTTGTAAATAATTAATTTCACTTTCACTTCAACTTTCATTTAAATGATTATATTGAAATTAAAATGAAAATAAATATTTCTATATTATTTAAATCATCCAAGGAAACATAGAATTTGACATTTCCAAGTGGGACAACGCGTAAAGTACATATATACAAACGCACACCAGTTATTATTCTAATATTTACTGTTGAAAAATTGCTGTTATTTATTGTCATCGAATATTTTTTATTAATTCATTGTATTTTTCCGTAGCTGTTGTAGTTGTTCTGTATGCCTCTTGTAATTTGCTTTCGCCTTCCTTTTGAACCTGTGGTTTTTCTACTAGACTATCACTAAATAATTTTTGCCATTTTCGATTTTCCTTTGCTAATCGTTCGTGTTCTTGTTTATAATCTAATGTTAAACGTTGAAGACGAATACGTTCTTTTGCTGTTTGTTCCCATTCAGATGACAACGAAGCGACTAGCTGTTCATGCTGACGTTCTAAATTATTTGCTATATCACTCTGTGCCAATCGAATTTGTGTAATTTGATCGTCAATTGACAACGTCGGTACTGGTGAAACAGTATATGTAGCTCGACAATCCATTTCAGGTGTAATTTGAGTTGAGGAAAGTTCAGTAGTAGAAATAGATTGTGATCTAAATAAATGTCAAATCAAAATAAATACTAAGACATGAATTATATACTTTTTCTGAAATTCAATTTGAAGTCGAACTTGATTTTCATCACTACACTTTTCGATTTCAACTAGTTGATTATTAATAAGATGAGGTCTTGAAAGACAACATATGTCAACTGGATCATAATCGTGAAATTGAACTAAGACCGTTTTATTATCAAGTCTTTCAAAATATTTGATTTTACCACTAGTTAGTGTTAAATAGTCAAAAATTGATTTATCATCTGGTAATATCTCATCGTTTCTTTCAGATACAGCATACAGAAGTATTTTCTCAACGGTAATAAATGCTTCATATGGATATTTTTTGGTGCGTGGTAAACAACGTCGTACAAATAACTCACAGTCGCCTATAAAAAATGGCCGTGCAGCCATTACTTGATCGACACAGTCTGAGTTCTCAAAAATGATAAATACAAATGGATGAGTCAAAAGAACAGATGAATCTCTCGAGATACGCCGTTTTATAAATAACTTTTCAATTTTACCATATCGTTCAAAGAACACGGTTACTTCTTTAGTAGTTATCCCAAATGGTAAATGTCCAACACGAATTTGATTAAGAAAATCTTCTGCTACTTGGTCATGATCATCTTCCATTTATAAATAAAAAGTTATCTAGAATATGTCATTATTACATTATTCTTGTAAAGGTGCAAGCAGTGTGTCGATGATATCAAGTTAATATCCTATTTAATCTATCCTTGAACTGTGTATATAATTTATAAATATATAAACCTTGGCCTACTTATTTATCTGTTATTAGCCAAATTACTAAATACTTTCCTGTAATTTTATTATATTATCTATTGAAAAACGAATAATTACATGAATTAATCAAATTCATGGTAGATATTTTTTATAGAAATTCCTTTAAGGTTATTTACTAATTACTTCTTTGTCATCCTACTCAAGAGTAGAATATATACTTTTATTTTTTATTTTTATTTTTGTGAATCTTTAATACATCACTTGAAAAAAATGTATGTAACTATTGAATTGAATAATTTTTACACATTCTTACATATTTTTACAGATGTATAATTTCATATAATGTAACTGTCTTCTTCGCATACAGTCACGTGACAATCGATCCATATCGCATTTCAACTTCGTACTTGAAACTCTGTAGAAGGCACGATATACATGTATATTTTACATTATGGATTTTTTTCCTCCTTTTCTTTTTTTCTCTCGTTCGTTTTCATTGGCAAGCATCGCTTATATGGGTTTGAATTGTATCTATTGCATTGAAGTAGATGTGTAGGTATCAACAAAAGAATGTGGACCGCTGTTATTATTGGTTCTTTCATTTTAAAGTATTTATCTCTTACGGGCTTCTATCTTTTTCTTTTCAGTGGTGTTTTTATATTTATTTATCTTTCAATTCTTCGCGAATATTATACTAATGATAGCTATATATATATATATATAAATGCGTTTAGATTTTTTGTGTCATAATTATTATATATTTCGAATAAAATACATACACAGATGGATAGCAGTGGAGTTCAAGGACTTAAAGGCAGCTGGGACTACGTATGTAAAAGACTATATTTTATTTTATAAAATACCTATGGTTTTTATCGATAGGTTGATGGCGAGAATTTCGATGATTACATGAAAGAGCTTGGTGTTGGATGGGCACTACGTTTAACTGCTAAAGGAGTTAAACCTCGTCTTATAATTAGCGAGACAGATGGTAAATGGACTGTACGATCAGAAAGTGCAATCAAAACGGTTATTTATGAATTTACACCTGGTGTTGAATTTGATGAAACAACTCCTGATGGACGGGAAGTTAAAGTTAGCTATCTTTTTGTCGAGATTTCTTTACTAATAATATTTTGTTATTTTTGTTTTAGTCAACCATTTCTTTCGAAGGCAATAAATGGATTCATACATCAATAGATAAATCTGGTAAAAAATCAGTTGTAACCCGTTTTATTGATGAGAACGGTCAACAAATGATTGTACGTGTTCTTTTCTTTTTTTCTTTTTTCTTAAATTCTCCTTTTATTTAACTTTAGAATCTGGAATGTAACTCTACTAAAGCTCGTCGTTGGTACAAAAAAGCCGATTAGATAATCTAATATCTTTGCTTTACATTAAAATCTACACAATATCTTTTTTCTCTTCTTTGTTATTTAAAAAAAATGATGAGAAAAGATTTTTTTCGATAACTTATTATGAGTCTTCTATGCATGGATGAATTAAAACAGAAAGCAATAATCGCATAACTATATTCATATACGATCATATAACTAAAAAGATAAATGAACAATTACATATAATATGATCAATGGATGGTTGAAGTCAAAAAATATACGAAGAATAGATAATGTACAAAATTATGGCTTTGATGTTAACTTCGAGTTTGATCTAGATAAAAAAGCAAAATGTTACCAGACTAAACACAATACTCTTAATTGTATTTTCTTTAGCATAACGAAACAAAATTGCATCGTAAATATTTTTCTATTTTATCTATTAATTTTAAAATACTAAACCAGCCTCTCCCAAATATTTACTGAGCAAAATTAGATGCTAAAAATATAGAACTTGAAGGTAGAATAAATTTATTGGTTTTGTTCGAATGTTTTACATGTAATTATAAGATACAGAAAAAAAAGTATTGTTTTAAAAATTATACGACATAAAAATGAATATTTTATTGTCATGCAAATCATCTCGATTGAGATACAGACTCGTAATAAAAAAATCAAATAAGATAGATTTTTGTTAAAAAGTTTTCTTTTGTGACCAATAGTTAAGAATCATCAAAAAGAAAAGTTTATCATTCGATAAGAATTCGTTTCACATCTGATATAAATATTTTTATCGGTATTAAAACTACCAAGAATTATTTACTCATTATATCTAAGACTAAAGAACATAATATAAGACTACTTCAAAAAATTGTGTCACGTAACAACCATATAGAGGTGCTGAGTTTTTTTCTCTTACCATTGGACTAATCTAGTATAAATCGAACATGCTTTTTTATCGGCTGAAGAATACTTTTTAGTATTACTTATTATGTTGCCTTGAATAAATCACCAATTACTTTGTACTAGATTTCTTTGATATACATATCAATTATGGTTATGATCTTTGAGATTTCGTGCACTCATTCACATTATATCGGAACAATAACTAGTTTTTCTTTAATCCAAAAAAACGTTCTATTGAATTGAGTAAAATACAGAGTAACTTTTATAGTCTAGTTTGACTCTAAATGATTTTTAAATCTCTACACGATGTATTTCGATGGATGCTTTCAGTGGTAAAAATATAAGTATTTGAAAATCATCTAAATTAATTTTATTCTCATTGAAAGAAAGAATGCCTTGTAGAAAATTCTATGCTCCAGTAGTAATCAATTGTATAAAGGTTTTTTTTTGTGGAACTCACATAGATTTTCGAAGAAAATTGTGAGTGTAAGTTGAATTGTTAGGTTTTTGCGGCTCCAGTGTACTCCACCCCCGCCCCCTCTCTCCATTACAGACATAAAACATAAAAAAACTAACACTTCGGTGCACTAATTAGTTAAAATTTTTATACAGATGGGTTGCCTATGTTCACCACTACTCACATTACTAATAAAAATCTAGTTTCACTAATTAGAAATCATTATAATTAGCATTTAGTCTCTAATTAATCATCAAAATCTGTCGTTTTTATTATTATAGCCCATAGTTACGACAGTATTATATTTTTTATTATTAAAGACGTTCACAACGAGTGTATGCTACCGCTACAGAAGCTAGCAGCTAGTTTATGCTACTATTACACTCGTTACTTCTACCACCTACAATAAACAGATGAAGATTTTAATATTTTTTTTCTCATACAGATACCTTATTCTAGAGCTTGAATCCACTTTAGTGTATTTACAATTCGCTACTTTTCCATCCACTGGGAAGCTTTTATCAAATTTTCGTGTATGAAAAAATGTATCAATTTCTCACCTGATAATACGAAAAAATATAAATTTCTCAACAATATTGATAGCTATATCCTAAATACTGTTTAAACTATTATCATTCAGAATATTTCTCAGTGAAACCACTAAACACTTCAGCATACCGACATTTTCTAAACAAAAAGTTTTTCATACGTTCTCTCTAGTAATATTTCCTATTGATAGATTCAATAAACTTCAAATGTAAAAAAAGGTTTTATTATCTTATTTGTAAACAATATATGATCTCACTACACTGAACAAATAAAACTTCTATTTGATCAGTATCTAACTGACCGAAATATGTGAGTTCCATATTTTAGCCCCAGCGGGGCTGCGCTGAAAAGCTTTTTTTATCGTAAATAATATATGATACAAAACAAAATAGCTTTTTAACATGCTTTTTATTTAAACAACTTTATGTTCATGGGTAGGATTATGAGCATAGTCATGATCGACATGAACAAAAGCCTAAATATTAAGAACAACAATCAAATATAATAATAAAACGAAGGTTCTAATTTTAATATACCCGTTCAACTTCAGGTAAATCTTCAATTTTGTTTTGTAATGATTCTCCAATATCATGTGATTCTGTGAGTATCATATCTTTAGGCAAAACAATATGAACTTCTACTAAATACAATGTTCCCGAATAGAAGGCTCGTACTGTATCGATTTTCAAAATTGCAGGGGAATGATGATACGTTAACCACTAGAAATAATATTTATTGAAAAACAAAAACAAAAAATCTATTTACAGTTAGTTGTGAGAGAAATTTCGGATCAGCTGTGTGTCCACTTAAATGTTTTACTTGATCTAAAAGAAGCAACTAACAAAAATTCGTTCAATAAAAATATTCAACTAACCATTAGCTTGTTGAACCCACATAATGATAATATAGATTGAAATAAGTATAGCACCAATAGGATCGATAACAACTGCTTTTTGATTTATTTTATTCTTATATGCATATGTAGCTTAAAATAAAACGATTCTTTTTTGTTTGTCGCATTGAAATAAGTTTCGTACTATACCGATGAGACCACAAAAAAGAGCCACAACATTGGAAGCAACATCATTGCGATGATCAGTAGTCAATGCGATCATTGCTGGCAATTTAATACGGCAGCATAGAGCAAACAGAATTGCTTTACTGACAATTGTTATAGCCATAACTGCAATAGGCGTGACACTCATGTCGATATCTGTTAAAGTTTTTGTTGTATTTGTTTCAGTTAAATATTGTGCATCATTAACAATTCTATTAATGGATTCATAAATTACTAAAACGGATGCCGCACTCATGATAACCGATAAAATAATGATTGCAATTGGTTCAAGACGTTCACGACCTATACACATACATTTAGTTTTCAAAATTATAAAGATTAAGGATTATTATCAGTCACATTCAGAGAATGGCTTATTTTTCGTCTTGTTCTGTTCGTATACAACCGATACAGAAAGGTCCTCATTGGATAATTGTCAGCCCTGAATCCGATCGAGTTCGAGTTGAAACATTTGAGAAACGCAGGGAAAGCACTATAGTTACGATATACGAAAATGATTATCTATTCGTTTCTGTTTACTTTCGATAATTTATGCTGTAAAATAAACGAAGAAAATTTTTAATTATATTCATTAATCCGGATAAAATTTTGTTGAAGAAATTTGCCTTGATCCTCTCATATGTGAACATTCTTGATTATTAAAATAAGATCTCGTTTTATCGGTGGGGAGAGATTTTTAAATAAGTTATTGATTAATGATTGATTCAATAGAAAATCGGAAATAAATAAAATGAAAGTCTATACTTCGTCAATCAAGTTTTATACTACAATCATTATAAATGAGAGATTCAATCTGAGCATACACTTATGATTAAGAAGAAAATGACAATATTTTGTAAATGTAAAAAGAAAAGACGAGTAAAACTATGAGACCTTTGTATGGTTGTCTGCTTAAATTACTAATTTATGTACGTATAAAAGGAAGAAAACCAAGACCGTTTTACTATATTCAGTGGCTTTGGTAGAATAAAAAGACTTTTATTCAAATTATGAAAACTCATTGCATCGCGGTAATGCATTCGCATGCAGATTATTGATGTTTCGATGATATAAACAATCGAAAAATTTAGCAATCAATTAAAAAGGAAATGAAAATCGATTTTCGTACTCCGATTTCGACGGTGGCTAAGTTTCACGACTTAAAACTCTAATCTAGAGATGTATTATGTGTGCCAAACAAATGAAAAACAATTTCGACTAGGACTAGTTCTTTTGTCTTGTATAATTAAATGGGCTTTTGAAAACTGTCGGTTTTCACTCGTTTATGTATGCGCTTAGTTCTGGTTAGAGGTGTCAGTCGTACGGCTGAGCCGCCGCAGAAGTCGACGTTTCGATAGAATGAGCCGCCACAGCCGCCAAATCACTGGCAGTTTTAAGAATTTTTTGGGAGCCGCCGCTGACATCAATACATATGCGATCGAATCAAAGGTTTTTCTGTTCATTTTCATCAGTGGAATCTCGAACCAATCATAAATGATTGACAAGAAAAAATTCTGTGTTCGAGTTAAAAAAACAAAGATCTTTTAATGATCCCAATACTATTTTAGCCATCGATACTCGTAGAATAAATAGACACTTAGATAAATAAAAATCTTTTATTCTCAAAACGATACTCCAATTTTTAACTTAGCCGCCGCTGTGGAAAAAATGTTAACAATTTGTAGCAGTCACCGCTGAAGACATTGCTCATTCAAATAACGAGCCGCTGGAAATCTCCAACAATTGAAAATTGTTGCCCGCCGCCGCCGCCTTTTAACCTTTCGGCTGGCACCTCTAAGTTCTGACACGCAAGCTGCTGCTGAACTTTTCCTTCATGTATTTATTCTATTTATTTAACCGGAGATATAGAAAGGAGTCAAGCAAACGTGTTTTTGGCTTCAGCATCCTATTCAAAGAGCCCCCTATATGTATATGTCTATTCTGATAGCTAAGATTTACGCCGACGGACATACGGCAAACGTTAACTATACAGGCAGCTCAAAAGCTATCGGAGCATCTATGTGTATGTTTGTGTTTCTACAAGTCAATTTGTACAAACTGACAGCTATCAAACACCGGAACTAGAATATGTTTAGTTCTCGATTTAAAGAGACATTTTAATATTGATATTCTTGTTACACACAAGAACCAATAAACAAAGAAATATTTATTATGAAAGAATTTAAATCCTATATATAAAAATCTGATTAGAATATATCAGAAATGAAAAAAATATTCTGCCCGTCTTTTTCTATGACAATACCTTCCGGATAACGATATGGATCTCGTTTTTTAATGGAACGCCATGCCAAAAATAAAATGACTGATGTTGCAAGGTCAACAGCTGAATCAATAACAGAAGAAACAACTGAAAGTGATTTTGAAATAACAGAAGCAACAATTTTTATTATAAATAAAATCTAAAAAAATGAATTATTTACATCTTATTGATTATAATATAATATTCATTATACGCACAATATTTACGCCAAGTGAAAGTTTAGTTAAAATCTTTGATTTTCTTTTTAAGTTATCACGCTGCTTTTTGTATGTATCCTTTTCTGTTCCATGGCTATGCAAACGTTGATAAATATCAATAAGTTCATCTTGATCTTTATAAAATTGTTTAACACGTCGTGGTAACTTTGAATCTTCATCACGCTCGCCTCGGCGTTTATCAAGTAGACGTTTTAAAGAATAGTACGAGTCATTATCGGATGAACTCACAGGTTTATTTTCAATATTGACCTCGTCAATATCTAATGAAACATCATTTTTATCAATCGTGATACTTGATATATTGTTTAAATTCACATTTGGACTCGTTTTTGGATCATTACTTGTCTGCGCCGTCGGTTCAGATGATAATACAATTTGTCCATTTGGCGAATGTTCATCAGGAACATTTGCCTCTGAATCATGATTATACGATAAATTTGTATGTTGCATCTTGTTTTTTCTATTTAGTCATCAAATGCGAATATAATTCACACGTAGACAAGATCAATAAAAACGCATCAAACGTGAACACGTTCTAAAATATAAAAACCGCGTATTGTAATGTGCCATAAGATTCCTATGAATAATTATTCTTTTTTTTATTGAAAATGATTATTGTTGAGAAAACTCTGCATTTATCATATTAGAAATTTGCGAAAAAACGATTGATATCTATAACAAAGAATATTCTAATTAGTAAGCAGAGAAACGCACAATTTTGTTTTTAAAAATCGACCTGAAAACAAAGTATACTGCGTTTACATTTATAGGGATATTATTATTTTTCCAGGGCCAGTAATCGCGGTCATTTCTACTCATCGTGATAATCGACCTGGCATATGTCGGTTACTCGTAAACTATGTTTAACAAGAACGAAAGAAGAGCAACGCATGCTCAAGTACACTAAAGGATCAATCAAGATTTTTCGAAAAAATTTAGGAGGAAAATTTCCGCATCTTTCCTACCGGTTCCAACACTGATATATTATAGCATTTTTTGTTGTGAGCCGTGTATTAAAACTGTACAACACTTATTTTGTTTTGTCATACATCTGTAAAGTAGAGGTCGAGTACGATTTACAGGAAAAATGCTGCAATGTAAAAATAAATAATCGTACGGAAACAAAATGATATGTTAAACTTTAAAATGATATTGCTTTTATATTCCAGGGTTTTGCGTAGTAAATGTAACGATAAATGCGGAGAGCGTCTAAATTCCACGTGGGAGTGTAAAAGCTCCCGTTCGAGTGCGGTCTGTGCATAGCATTTGGCCTTATGGTGCCATTTCTTCTCATCACATATATTGCCTTTATCTTTCTGTCCTTGATATTTGTCTTTATCTCTCATTCTCGTTCGTTCTCTCAAATGGTTGAGTATTTAAGCGTGTGCTTGATATGTAATCGATGCGATTTTATGATTTGAAGAGTGAAATAAAGTGTAATACCATCAGCACAGATATCTCTTCTATCAGAAATCGTTACAGTAAACTAGAGGCATATGCATGGATGGCGCTCTATTTCTACTATGTAACCATATAACGAAATAAAATCAGTGTTGTATAGTTTTATTACACGATAGAAAGCAGCAAGGTAGTACGTGACTTTTGAGACATATTGCATTTCTTTCTGCATGTTATAAAACAGGTCGAATATTACAACAGTCACAGCGAATATCGAACGCTGAAACCATCGAGAAAAGATAAGCGTACAATAAATTAAACTGCTCAGATACAGATATGTTTATCCTGTTATTGATCGATAGTTACCGTTGTTCTTATTCTTACAATCGGATTGGACAATAGACATTTACCAAAAATACAGTACATCCATCTTTTGACACCAATAAAACACGATTCAACAATAAATTGTTCTTATGCCGCCTGCATCATCTTCTAATTTATCGATGTTTTTTTTTTATGTGATGAACATTTTTGTTTCAAACATTTCTCAATCTTCTATAATCCACTGGAATATTTTTCTTAGACTCCTTCAGCGACGATTTAGTTTTTATTCTGAATTAAACATTGATTCACAGTGTTTATGTAACTTTTTCGTTTTAAATATTAATCCAGGATTTTTTTAAGCTTGCATTGCTGCCATAAAATCTTTCATCTTGTAAGAAATGTATCGATAAACGAAACAAACGAAGTCAATAATTCATCTATTGAATAAACGGATTATAATCGAATGTGAATTTGCAAAAAATATAACGTATGCCATAAAAATAATAGTAGAGCGTGAAGGAATTGAGAATCGACACGCACGCCCCTAACAATTTATTTTCGGTACTAACATTTGTTCTCAAATGCCTCAGCATGTGTGTAAATATTTTATTAGCTGACTATACTGAATTTCGGTCATTGAAGTTTCAATTTTGTGACCAGTTGTCTTGCAATGCATAGAACGAAAAAATTCAAACCAGGAAATGTTTTTGTTTAGCTCGACTATTTATTGATGCACTGCTTGAAAATAAAGTACTTTGTAAAGAAAGACAAAGCCCGATCTAGTTTAGATTTCGGCTTCTTTCTTCTGTTCATTGCGAAAGCAGAGAAAGAACAGAGTAGCCATGATGAATGTCACAACTGCTAGTGATACATACATCCACAGCAATTTTGGGTCAATGGCAAGTGGTAGAAATGCAAAACTCAAGGCACTACCGATTGCTGTTGTCAAGAGAAAGAATGACACGACAACGGACTTCATCGATGCCGGTGCTTTTGTGTACGCGTACTCAAGACCGGTTATGGCTGCAAAAACTTCGGAGACACCGATAAAAAAATATGATGGAATTTGCCAAGCGACAGTAATATTATTGAATTTTTGACATTCGTGGCAAGGCTTAGTTGTGTAGTCGTAGTTCGGACCTGTGGAGTAAATTAAATGTTGAACAAATGCAGTCCAAGCCATGGCGATGGAAACAAGAAAATAGCCACACGTCATACGGGAGATCGAGGTAAAACTAATTTTATATCTTCGAAGCGCAGGATAAATGAGTAGATCGAAAATCGGAATGAAAACAAGAGCAATAATTGAAAGAACATTTTGTAATACATCATTGGGAAGAGGACCTACGAAAGAAATGTATCTATTGTTAGTCGCATAGTGATCAGCTTTCTTGGATACATTCTAATAGAAATGAGGAGCTCACCAACATTCATTTGTGCTGCTTGAGATATCATATTGTTCGTCGTTTGAAGACAACACGTCCAATAAACTGGAAAGAACGCAAATACACGACAAGCATCCCATGCTTGCTTTAGATCTTCAATAAACTGATTGTCGTTTGATTCGCACGCAATTGCTTGGTCATCGTGAATTGTTTTCCATGAATTTGCTTTCGCATAATCCAAAAAATGATGCCTATCATTTTGTTTACCTAGTTTGTATCGCATATACGTGGCCCTTATTGTGATCTGGCACGCATGGATGAATAATGAACCGTTTGGAGGTTTTCGAATGAATCGACGGCGACCAATAACTAAAATGACGACACACGGGATGAATACCATCATAGGTAGTAAATAGGCGAGCCAGTACGAATAGTATTTTTCGATGTTAGTGGTAATGATGGATGATAGTGCGCCTAAATAAATTGACCAATAGAACCAATTGAACATCGACTGCACTGTTCTAGAATACGATCAATGTATAATCTCGGGCATAGAAAAATAAAGATTTCATATACTTACACTTTTGGATCGATAATTTTCTTTTCACCGCTGATTACTGCAAAGAAACAACAAACTTGAATTTCTTTGAGTAATAAACGATGTTATTACCTTTGACGATTGGTTTTTTTCTAGTATATTGTTCAGCCATCAGTGGACTAACATTACTTTTTAAAGCACCAATTGCTAAACCCAGAATGATCACCGCCACGATCAAACCGTGAAAGGCAAGGTTTGCGTGAATAGCGAATGGTGTACTGCTCAAGACGAGCAACAAAAGTCCTATTAAGTACACCACACATCCCAAGAAAATGGTCTTGTATTTGCCCCAGTATTGATCTGCTAAAATAGCACCAAGAGTTGGCGTCACAAAACACCAGAACCGAAAGGATGTTGTCAATAAGGTAGCAATACGTTGTCCACGACCGAGAGCACCTGGTTGTTTATCGTGTGGACCAGGTACCGGAAATTGAATATAATTTTGAAATACGCCAACAAGTCCTAAGTAAGCAAACCGTTCACAAAATTCACAAACAATAATCAGCCGAGCTGCTAGAGGTATATGATCAGAAATGCGGTGCAATGTTGTTAATTCTTCGGCCGTTGGTTCAGTTTCGTGAGTATCTTCGCTCTGCAAAATGGGTGTTGTCTCAGTAAATTGTCCGTCGTTTACTACGATCTGCTCCGTCATACTTATTTGATATTCTCTGTTGTTATTGCTGCGTTAGAGTCACGAGTATATTGATGTTATTAAAAAATGCTGACATAAATTCATTTTCGGCCAAGATAACAATAAGATTGTCCTTGTGTTATCATGACTGCATACTATTTGTCCTTATCATTGCTCGTTAAGGATGACTTATCCAAGAATGAAAGACTTATATTAGTAAATTATTTGATAGATGTTGCATTTTCTAGAGATGCGTTTTTAAAACATGAAAATGAAACATTTTACTCATTATGTTTTCTCTACCGTTTTACTTTAAAAAACATATGCAGTCATTAATTTAGTTAAACTTCGAATTCCTTTATGATAAAATTCCATTCATTTTTTTATTTTCTTGAGCAGGGTGTGGGTGTGAGTGAGGATGATGTTGGTGTTCGTTATTCCGTGCGGGCATTCTTGTCATCAGCAATCACACCCCTATCCACACCGACACACCATAGATGTTCATCGCGGGTGAAAATGTACCGCTGCCGCGCCGCCATGCACATCTGTGACCCGAAGGCAGGGTTGAGTGACGTGGGCTTTTTCAAAAATAAAATAAATTGTTATTTTTACATTTTAGTTCATTCAACAAAATTAAATCGAGACGAAAACAATTATAAGTATATAATTTCTTTCGCTCTTTTTCTTTCACTATTTTTTTCTTTGATTTTAAAAATAAATAAATTGAAAAACACAAGCATTTATTTTATTCATTCTTTTTCATTGTCAATAAATAATAGAGCTAAAGGAAGAAAAAAAGAAACATGACGTAATTTTATATTTAGCTTTTTCTTTTCTTTCAAGCGAGAGAGAGAGAACGAAAATTCAATTTTTTTTCATTTATTCTGAAGTAGAAAAATAAACGAAAAGCAAATTCACAAGCCTATATGATAGAAAATCGTTGAATACGATTATTCCTCCAATCGACGACATAGAGATTGCCATGTCTATCGAAAGACAAACCGAAGGGGAAGTCGAGCTGATTGACTCCTGCTCCTGGGCCCTTTCCACCCACAATTACAGTGCCTTGTTTTGCTCCTTGAGTCCAACGCATCGACGTAGAGTCCATGCGGACGATACAATTGTGTCAGAGCATTCCCGAAGCCTTGGCCTCCAGCGACTACAATACCTTCTTTTGCACATTTAGCCCATTTCATTGCACGACGACTCTCGTTGTCTGATACGTAGACATTTTGTTGTCGATCGACAAAGAGATAACTCGGACAGTTGAATTGACTGAGTCCAGCACTTTGGCCCTTACCACCAGCTACGACAGTGCCATTCTTCTCTCCCAATTGATATCGTTTTTCTTCATGTTTTAGTTCGTCAGAGACGTAGAGATATCTCTGATCGTCCATAGTCAATCCATAACAAGCGACGTTGTCGATAAGGATTTCTCCTTGTGTTGTACCACTACGACGAGACTATCGAATGACTCGTCGATTCCCGTACTCGCAAATAATGAGACTATCCGTCTCTTTGTCGATTAATACGTCAGTTGGAGAATTCAATTGATTCAACCCATTTCCTGCGCCTTTACCGCCAGCAACAACTTGTCCATTCGCCGTACCATCTTTCTTCCATTGGATGATACGATAATTGTACATGTCAGCAACGACTATTGTTTGATTATCATCAATACAGAGGCCTAGTTAGCGGTTGAGCTGATTGGTGGCACTACCCAACCCGTTGCCTCCAGCAACAGTCACTCCGCTCTGTGCCTATTTGGCATTCGCAGGAATATTAACTAGAAGAAAACGTAAGAATAAAGGAGGTCTCTCTCTCTCTCTCTCTCTCTCTCTTAAGTCGCAGTCGTGTTAGAAAAGATAATCCGATGGTATGAGGTATGTTCAGATTTCCGAAAAAGGAAATTATGGAAATTTCCATTATCTTTAAAACGAAGTAAAGTAAAAGAAAAGTATCTTCGGTAAATTTGAAGGGCACGGAAATTATCGAATCTTTTGTAATAACAGAGATTTCGGAGATATCAGGTGCAAAATTTCTGAATTTTCCGTAATTTCCTTTTGTGGAAATCTGAACACTGCTGCTATATTAATATATACAACTGACTGACTATCATAATTGAGCAAAGTGAAGTAGAGCTAATTAAAAACTTGCCAAGTTCTTGGGTAGGAATTTTAGTTGTAGTTGTAGCTAAAATAATAAGGTTCATTGTTGTTTGGTGGCATAAAAAATATATTTGTAAAAAAACATTAGAGAGCTATATGCGTGACATAATGCGTGATATAGAACTTAAAAGCACCTATTGCATGAGCTTCATATTTACAGTCTTATTCTCAATTCTTTAGGAAATTCGACTCGTACGTCGCATCGCATTTTGTACTCAGGTGAAACTCGGATACCCTCTAGTTACTGATGTTTTTTTTTAAACAAAATAGTTTAATTATACTTATCATCGCTAATATTGAGTTTTGTGATATGTGGCACTCCGTACGAGTAGGTCCTATCATGAAATAAAAACGCATCAAATCTAACGATAGTAGCCGATAACAAACGAAACTTTTTGATAGTTCATTTAATTGGTATTTCCGAATATGATTAAAGTATACAATATCATCACCTCAAAATTGAAAAGCCTTTTTTTCTAAAATATTTCTTTCGCTTCCATGTGATGATTCAACTGGACGACTTCTCTTGAAAGTCTGATTTATCTATTTAATTAATTTCCTCAATTCGAAAAGTCAAGAGATTACATTCGATCTTTATCAGCCAAAAACAAATGTCTAAGATTGAGTTGAAATTTTCACAGTAACCAGGGTGCGCTAGTTTTGCTTCACCATACCTGAAGAATAGCGCCATCTTCTCTGGTAGAGCCAATATATTGAATGCTGAAATACTTGACGAACCGAAAAGTAATATTCATCAGTATTTTTCACTCTCTATACGAATATTTTTCTGATCCATGAATTATTCATTTTGAGCTCTGGATCTAACAAACGAAAAATAATGCAGTTAAAATTTTGTTCGTGAAAAGAGGAAATACGACTCAATGCACATATTGACATGGTGTTGCATGTACCAAATAATCGAAGAAACGAATAGAATGAAGTTTTCAAGTCAACACATTTCAAACACGTTTGACAACGAAAACAACGTAGAGTAAGCAAAGAAAAAAGCATTGACAGGTAAATATATCGTATGTGAGACGACTATTAAAAGTTTCATTATCTCATGAAAATATCGACAGTAAATTCAGAAAATAACATAAGATTTAGCAGCACATTTGAGCCGAGTCTTTCTTGAACGAAATAGTAGGCGTCTTCGTTTGTAATATATTTTACTATAAAACGTTGAATTGTGTTGCAACTGATAATCGAGACTTTTCTCTTAAAAAGCCTAATGATTACTATTTCTAAGAACTGATGGCGATTACAAACATATCTCTACTGACCTTGCCTGTCGAATTAATTCATCTTATTTTCGATTTCTGCGATACACGAAGCATTGTACTTTCATTTCGTTATGCGTGTAAACAATGCTATACGTTGGTCGAAAGCTATGACCGATTTAGTCTCAATTTTGACTCAAACTCCACGACCGACTATGCGACGATCTGTCGTACCATTCAACCGTCAAACATTGTTTCAATCAATATCTCTAATCGCTATGCTGACAGAAACGAAAGTCCTACTTTATTGCCATTGTTCGCCCGTGGCCAATGGACTCGACTACGTTCACTAACTTATCACAACGATAATATTGACAATTTAGAATATATTTTACAGTGCATTAAGTCGAACTGTTTGGTTTCTCTTTCAATTCATTCAACTACATATCAATGCGGAAAAATAGCAGCTCTGATTTCATCCGTTCTAGAACGATTTAATCTTGGAAAACTTTACTTGAATAGTACGGTTGATATATTCAGATACCTACAGTGGCCAACATCATGTACGCTAAATCATCTAGAAATCCATACTTGCTACTATAGTGACTATGTTCTAATTCTGAACCAGCTGTGTTATTTGAAAACATTCGTAATGAAAAACTGTGTGATGAATGTTAGCGATGGTGATGCATATTCACCATCGAATGCCAAGCTCGACGTCGGATTAATCTCACTTACTATTTGTGAATGTACCCTTCCCAGAGATTCCATTGAATTGCTATTATGTGAAACACCGTTACTTCGACATTTCAAATTAGTTTGTCATAGAACAACTTTCGATTCTATATTTGATGGTCTTGATTGGGAGCTATTCATTCGAAATAACTTACCCGCGCTGGAAAAATTCGAATTTTTCTTCTCTTATCGCTGCAAACGACCGGATCCTTTTCATGGTCTCAGTTCAGGGATTGCTTCGTTTCAATCACGATTTTGGCTGGAAGAAAAACATTGGTTCGTGGTTGCTGCTAATCCTATAAAATTGCCTGAATTCTGGCTTTATACAAGGCCCTTGAGCAACATTGACTATGCAACATCACAAGCCAGATATGAACTAGCATCGATAAATGATGGCTATCGTCTAATTGCACGACCGATCGATGCAATTTCTCACACCGATCTCAACGTGGTATGTAGACAGAATCATTTGGATTCAGTAACAGACTTCGCCTTATTTTCCACCACAAAGTGTGGATGTACCATAGATTTCTAAAATATCACTAACAATCATCATTTTAATTAAGCAAGAAACTTTTTCTCAACCAATATTCACCGTACAGACACTTACAACACTCGAACTCGGATACAGTCGGATTGGACCAAGTGGAGCGAAATATTTAGTTGATGCTTTGCGAAACAACCAGGTGACTATACTTTCTATTAGTTTTCTTCTCTATCGTATCGAGATTTACATGATAAAAATAGACACTGACTACACTTTATCTCATGTACAATGACCTCGAATCCGAAGGAGTCAAATATATAACTGATCTCTTGCGAAATAATACGGTGACTATCGGCGTTCATTCAACTCTTGCTCATTCACTTATTTTCTACTAAATATATACAGACATTGGCTACATTGGGTCTTGCAGATAATAGAATCAAAAATCTAGGAGCAAAATATTTAGCAGATGCTTTGAAAGACAATAAAGTAGCTATTATTAGGGTTTATTTTATCTCGTGCGTATCTTCTCGTACGAATATAGACACTTATGACACTGGACGTCAAGCGAAATGGTATAGAAGTCGAAGGAGTGGAATATTTAGCCAATGCTCTAAAATATAACACGGTTTGCTTTGTTGTTGGTTTCATCTCTCTCTCAAATTCTTTTATCTGAATAGACACTCACCACATTAGATCTCAGATCTAATGGGATTGATAAACGTGGGGCTAAATATATAGCGGATGCATTATTAAAAAACATGGTAATTTTCAATTGCTTAGGACACATCTTTCTTATGTTTATTTGTAGACACTTCAGACGTTGTATCTTGCGTTCAATCAAATCGGAGACTTGGGTTCGCAGTATATGGCAAATGCTTTACAACACAATAACGTGACTTTCATCATTTGTTATAATAGTTCTAATTCTTAGATTGATTGTATTAAATTCACACAGGCACTTATCAAGCTAGATCTCGGACAGAATACAATAGACGAAGCGGGTGCTCAATTTCTAGCTGTGGCATTAAAAATGAACACGGTGATACATGTCGTTTTGTTCATTGATATTATCTTTATCGTTCCTATTTTATTTAATCAGACACTCACTTCATTGTCGCTTAGATCAAATCTATTCGGACAGAATGGCCGACAATGTTTAGTTAATGCTCTAGAACAAAATACCGTATTCATCAATGTTTTTCTTCTTTCTCTCCTGTTCATCTTCTCCTCTTTTCCCAGACACTCACTATATACGATCTTGGAGACGATCTAACTGAAACAGAAACTTCAAATCTTTCTTAAATTACAAAGAAGACATCATTATAAATGTTTCTTTTACTTTTTTTTGTAATCGTTTCGTATGAGAAATTAAAGCTATACCGTAAATCAGTCTCGATTTTGTTTTCTATCTGTTTCATACAACCTAACATCTAAAAAAAACGATGCGATGATATTTATAAATATATTTGATTGCTACTGACATCTGTCTCGTTCTTATTCCTGATTGGTTAATAGTATCTACGTGTGTGTGCTTAAGTAAATAAACCCATCTTTTGATTGCTGATGATTTGATTGATTGATTCGCTTAACTTTTTTTCTGGTCGATTTCTTTTACATACAATTGTCGTTGTTCACAAAAAATGAATATCAATGAACGATCGTTAGCAACGATGTCGACGCTAAATGCTCAGGGACCACGCGGATCATCGAATCATGCTGATGAACATACCGAACCAAGTTCAACTTTAAGTATTTTTGCACTTGATTATAAAAAGTAAATTAACTATTTTCATTGAGCTTTGAAATTCATTTTATTTTCATTATTCTAGACATGAAGATCTGAAACAAATGTTAGATAGTAATAAAGATAACTTAAAATTAGAAGCTATGCGTCGGATCATTGGTGTAAGAACAAAAATAGCAAACTTTCCATTGAATTATCCTTTTTTTTTAAACAATTTAGATGATTGCAAAAGGCAAAGATGCTGCTGATCTATTTCCAGCTGTTGTGAAAAATGTCGTTTCAAAAAATATGGAAGTTAAAAAGTTAGTTTACGTTTATTTAATGCGTTATGCTGAAGAACAACAAGATCTTGCTCTACTTTCCATTGCTACATTTCAACGAGGATTAAAAGTAAAAATTCGGATTGTAGATTTTCATTTTGTTTTCTATTTTGCCTCTATTAGGATCCTAACCAATTGATTCGTGCAAGTGCATTGCGAGTACTATCAAGTATTCGTGTTCCGTCGATTGTTGCAATCATGATGTTGGCTATTCGCGATGCTGTTAGTGACATGTCACCTTACGTTCGAAAAACAGCTGCGAATGCAATAGCAAAACTCTATGCGTAAATTATTGGTTTATTCTAAATATTGATATGATTTTATTTTATTTTTTGAATCTTTAGTTTGGACACTGAATTGAAAGATGAACTAGTTTTAATTATTACTAAATTACTTGCTGACAAAACGATTGTAAGCAGAGAAAATATTTTATTTCTAAATTGAATTTGTTTTCGTTTCAGTTGGTTAACGGCAGTGCTGTACAAGCATTTGAACATGTTTGTCCAGAACGAATTGATTTAATACATAAGAATTATCGACGTTTATGTAATCTTCTTGTCGATATTGATGAATGGGGGCAAGTTACAGTTCTAAATATGTTGACACGATATGCACGTTCACAATTTGCTGATCCGAATAAGGTTTTTGTTAAAAATTAGATGAAAAACATTTAAGAGAAATATTTTTCTTTGATTCCTAGGCAATTGAAGATGAACAGAAAAGTTTTTATGAAAATGAAAATGAAGAAAAAGCGAATGACGAGGACGATTCATTGGATAGAAAAACATATGTAATGGATAGTGATCATCGATTACTATTACGATGTACTAAATCTTTATTGCAAAGTCGAAATTCAGCTGTATGTATGGTTATACTCGGATCGTGTTCGAGGGGATATTCTTGGGCGTTTCTGAAAGTGCTAATCATGAAATTAATTGAGATCTATAACTGAATGAACTATATAGGTGAAATTTCGCTACAATTAAGATTTTCCTTTTTCAAAGGTTGTTATGGCTGTGGCACAATTGTATTATTATGTTGCACCTCGAAGTGAAATTCAAATCGTTGCTAAATCGCTGCTTCGTTTACTTCGTCATCATAGGTAGATCGGTTTTGCTTAATTTTAGAAGTATGAAATCAATTCTATTCTGTAGGGAAATTCAAACAATTATTTTGAAATCAATTGCATTCATCGCTGATAAACATAAACAAATATTCGAGCCTCATTTGAAATCATTTTATGTTCATTCAAATGACAGTGGCCTGGTTAAACGTTATAAACTTGAAATTCTTACTACTCTAGCAAATGCTTCTAATATCTCAACGATTCTTCGGGAATTTCAAGTAATTTAAAATATGAGATTAAAATAAATATTTTTCTTTCTTTAGACTTATGTTTTAAGTGCCGATAAAGATTTTGCTGCGCAAACTATTCATGCTATCGGACGATGTGCAAGTACCATATCTGAAGTAACTGAAGCTTGTTTAAACGGTCTTGTTGCGTTGATGTCAAAAAAAGATGAAACAATCGTCGCGGAAAGTGTTGTAGTGATTAAAAAGCTACTTCAAATAAATGTAAAACATTGACTTTATGGAAGAAAACATTAAATTTTTATTTGACCTATTTTTAGCCATCGCAATACAGTGAAATAATTAAACATATTGTGCGCATGGTTGATAAAGTTACTGTTCCGACGGCACGCGCATCGATTTTATGGCTTATCGGCGAATATTCCGACCGCATTAGTAAATTAGCACCAGATGTATTACGAAAAATGGCGAAATCATTTCCTGATGAAGTTTGTTACGAAAATTTGTTTTCGATTAAAATAAACTATACGTTTCTAGGAGACAATTGTTAAACATCAAATATTAAATTTAGCTGCAAAACTTTACGTTGTTAATGCTAAACAAACACATCTATTAGTTCAATATGTATTTAATTTAGCTAAATATGATACCAATTATGATACACGAGACAAAGCGCGACTTCTTCGGTAATGAAAAACTATCTCAGTTCGATATCGATGTAACTTTTGTTTCTCTACGATAGAGCATTACTAATTCAAACTGATAAATGTCCGGCATTAAGTAAACACGCGAAAAAAATTTTATTAGCTCCTAAACCAGCACCTATTCTTGAATCAATTATTCGTGGTATGATAATAATTCATTAGTTTTATGTTTACTCAATGGATTTGTTTTCTCTACATAGATCATGATCAATACACATTAGGAACTCTATCATTTGTTATCGATCAAAGAGCGACAGGTTATAAAGATTTACCAGAATTTCCATTGGAAGCGCCTGATCCAAGTGTTCGCAATGTTGAAGTAATACCGTCATCGACATCACAAAATGCTGCATCGAAAAGATCAAGTACCACAAGCGGACAGGCACCAGGAGATCGAAAGAAAAGTGCCAATGATAAAACTTTCTATTCAGATGAAGAAGAACCAGAAGAAGAAGAATCGTCAACTGAAGGACCTGATACAGATGATGATGATGACGACGAAGAAGAAGAAGACGAGGAGGAAGAAGAAGAAGAAGAAGAAAACGATGAAAAAGTCACAGAAAAAACAATCGAAAACGAAAATGACACTAACGAATATGAACAATTAGATGCTCCACTAACACAGAATAATAAACAAGAAGAATCGGCTGAAGAAGAGGAGAGCAGCGAAGAAGAAGAAGAAGAAGAAAGTGAAGAAGAGGAATCATCAGACGATGAAAAAGTAAATATCTCGAGTTTGTTTGCAACAAATGGGACCACTCTATGACATGGCGTCATTAAATGAGAAATTTCACTTTTAGATAATGCCAACTAAACCAACGACTGTTGCAAAACCACCGCCTCCTATTACAACAGTTAATGATTATACCATTCCAGCAATAGAAAAATCTCTCTTAGAAATGGATCGTAAGTCAGTTCAACGAAAAAAATCAACTCTTTCGAAAATTATTTTTAGTTGAATCGTTTCTCGGGTCAACTTCGACATCTACAAATGTTCCAGTAGCGTCCGTAAAAAATAATATTTTTAATGATTTACATGGACTAGAATCTCTTACAGTAAGAATTGTTTCTACTGACTTTCAATAGATTAAAATTTTCCTTTTTTTCAGTCTACATCATCGACTCTTGTTTATACAAGACAATATGATTGTTTAAACCGTATGATTGGTCAAGGTTTACAAATTCAATATCGTTTTCCACGTACTACCTATCGACAATCACCGAATATGGTGCATGTTGAATTGATATTTACAAACACAACAACAACTAAAGATATCCGCTCGATTAAATTTTTAAAACCGGTTTGTTACATTTTTGTTTGCTTCAATCAATTTAACTTTCTCAATTATAGAAATCGAATATGAATATTCAAGGATTTGATGAAATCGATATTCTGCCACATAGTGTGTCTATTGTCACATCGATTGGTATTGATTATAATGATAAAACTCAACCAGCATTATTCGATATACTATACGATACCAATCAAATGCCAACAACATTGACAATATCGTGTCCTGTGGGCGAACTTATTGAGCAAAAACTCTTAAACGAACAACAATTTAATCAAAATCAGGGTAAGAAAAAGAGAAAACTTGAGTAGAAAATATTCGCTATATGATATTTTAGCTCGTCTTCGTGGTATGAATGAAATTATGAACAGTATAAACGTTGACGAAGCGCAAATATCAAAATTAAACTTTAGTGCAATTCAAACGAAAGTACTTCAATGTGCAAACCTAATCTCAGTACCATCGAGTTCAGGAGATTCGACTTTTTATCGGTGAGAAAAAGCTTTTTCTGTTTAATCTTTAATCGAACAGAACAAGGCAATCGGGAAATTTTTTCAAATCGACTGAGATCGCGGAATGAGCTATTCTATTTAAATACTTGAAACTGGCAGATCAATTAATGGAATTATCCAGTTAGATTCTTCACTTAGAAAATTCATAGGGATATTTTTCACCATGCCAATAGAAAGTGCATACGATATACGTAGTACTGAATCCTTTTGATAGAATCCTAGATAACCAGATTATTCTATTTGTATTGTCTCGATCTCGATCATTCAGTTTGTAACGTATAGAGACACGAGAAAGAATTAGATATTCTATATTTAATGGTCTAATTTCTGATAAATGTCTCTTAAATAAATCAAATACTCGCTTACACTTTCTTTTCCAATATGAAAGTAATTATCTGCGAAAAGTCTTAGCAACGAGTACATCTCTATTTTTTTAGATTTTCTGGACAAACAATCTCAAACAAATCACTTATACTTCTCACAATCCAATTAAATAATATTCAATCAACAGTTAATTTAACAATCAATTCTGATCAAATTGTTCTTGCAACAATGTTACTCAAAGATATTAAACAAACATTTCCAGCCACGACATAGTATATACTATTTTAATGTTTGTCTCTATGATTGTTGTCTATTTAGGAGTGCAATTGATTTTATTTTATTCTTTCACATTTAAATAAATACTTTTTCCTATGCAAAATCTCATAAAAAATGCCTGTGTGCTACCTGCATTTTGGATACAAAGTAGTTCGTACAAGGGGGAAAAAGCTGATTTAAATCACAGTAAAACTCAACTTACAATCAATATAAATTAACTGTATTGGAATGAGTTTGCGTGAGTTTCGGTGCCTTTGAATGATTTTCAGTAATAATTTATGATTTGGAATAGTTTTTAGTTAGTTTAGTAAATTTTTCGTTTTCTCAAACTCATTTTAAATCAGCTAAACTCAGAAAAATCATGAAACTCATATATCGCTTTTCCCCCCTTGAGTTCGTACGTAGTTTTTGCTATCAAATCAGCTTGCTTGAAAACAAAAAAAGACATATGAATCGAAATGCCGTCTCACGGCTTTTAAATACGTAAAACGTTCGTTTTTTTTTCTTGTTCTATAAATAATACATCTTGTAAACTTAAGTCGTCAATTGAAATTTTTTATTTGTTAAACGATCGCGATTACATGATTGATTTAATGCTGATAATCAAAGCAATTTAGTTTATTTTTTCAAGTGGTATTCTTATTAACGTTAAAATGAACATCGACGACGACAGATTCGATCGGCTGAATGAATTCCGTCACACAATTTCTGATAGCAAACAAAGTTTTTTTCTTCTAGTACAATTTTTCGCCTATCGATTCATATCTCATTTGTTCGTCTATTCTTTAATCATTATCGCAAACCAATCTATCTCCATCAATACCAATAAGGAAAGACCAAACGATGGATATGATATTTTACCGACTAATAAAGTACAGAAGAAGAAGAAGAAGAAAGGTCAATATGACCATTTTTTAATAGAAAATAGACCTTGAACGTGCAACGCCTGTTAGAATTCTTGAAGTAACAAACAAAGCTACGATATTTCTATAATATTTAAAATAAAATCGTGTTCATATTGGAAAAACATCATTTTTTTTAAATATATATATATATATATATATGTACAGGAATATTTTCTCTTATTCTTCCTTATAACAATTACAAAAGATATAAACAAATAGGCAACAAGTATGCATAGAAAACGACAACGATTCATTCGATTGAAAACACTAATACAAATCATCACCAGTGGGTGTTGCAGTTGATGATAAACAGTTATTATTGTTCATATTATTATTATTACTACTGAGCAGCGAATGTGTTATTGTACTTGAAGTGTGAGGATTATTTAAAAGTGAAATATGTCCTGTGTGATGATATTGTGGAGGTGTAACAAATGTTTGTTGTACTTGTACGGCTGCTGCGGCGGCCGCGGCTGTTGCTGCAGCTGTCGCACGTCCTGCTTTTGCTCCGCGTTTACCTGTGGTACTCCCACGTTTAGGTGCGGGACTATTATTAATGTTTGTTGTTGATTTAAATGGATTATCTTTTTCACAAAATGGTTGTCCATTAAAAAGAACGTAACGATCACCTTTAACTAAATGTATATGACATTTAACACAGCTAAAACAAGATAGATGATAAACATAATTTGGACTAACACGCATTATTGGTTCATTTGTTCCAATCACTTGACTACATAATGAACATGGACGACTACCATATCTTCTACAATAGAATAAAAACATAGAAATGCCAATGATTTAATTTATTTTGAATAGATGAAGAAATTCTATGTCATCGTTTAATTGAAAAAAAAATTATTTTCCGTTCTCTCAAGGCCAAATTAATAAGAAAAAGAAGACGTGAAACCTAGACACTTTTTTTTTCAGGAGAAGAACAGAAAAAGACTCTTACTTTATGTAATCAGATTTGCAAAAAAGTGCGTTATCTTTTGTATAAAATGTTGAGGATATATCAGCTAAAGCAGCATCACAGCATTGACAGCGTAAGCATTGCAAATGCCAATAACTTCCGCGTGCAAACCGATCATGTGTACGAAGAAAGTAACGTTCGTGAATCGGTTGTGTACAATTTGAACATGTAAAGGCATTTGTATTCGGTTGATTTGATTCGTAACGTGACACAATAGGTACCATTTTTGTTTGTAGTGGTGGTGGCGGCGGCAGCGGCGGCGGTTGCTGCTGCTGTTGTTGTTGTTGTTGATCAAATAGAAGCGGCTGTGATTCGAGTTTAGGCTGCATCAATAGAGCCGCATTACTATTATTGCCTAGAAAAAGAAAATGAATGACAAGAGGGTAATTAATATTCATGTACCTCGTTCTTTTCCTATTTACTACTACATCTCGATTTCAATTTATTTTCCAATTATGAGATGATGATCGATGATGATTGTGCGTGTATATAAATGAGATGAGATGAGATGCTCTCGTTCTACTTGACACATGAGAGTTACAAAGAGAAAAGAACTTAATAAATACGATCAGAAGAAAACAAAAAAAAGTCATTAACAGAATTCTAATTGTTATTCAAAATGAACGATCGAAATAATAACATCACCGTAAATTGTATCAAATAATGAAAAGAATAGCATATGCTGTCGATTCATTGTCTAGGCAATTACTCTAATTGTATTTGCTGGTCGTTGTCGATACTAGAGCAGGTGCGAAAATAAATAATAACAAAAGAGTTCTCGACGACATAAACTTAACAACCCTAAATAAGATGATTGGCATGAAGACTATTTTTCAATTTATTAAGCTAACTAAAATACTCTTCATCATATTTCTGAGAGCACAAAAAAAAACAATGCTAAACAAAGTTTGCCCTTAAATAAGTCGACAATAACGACTAGTGTATAAGTATTAATAAATGATAAAGGAAATTCCTTTCTTTATTAAAATAAGCTAAATGAGCGAAAATGTTTGCCCTCGTCTCTAGCAGATGATGAATAAAAATTACTTTTTTAATTACTCGTATAATAATTATTTCTATTTTTATAATCGTTTCTTTTGCTTTCCTTTTCAAAGTCTACCTGCATAAATCATAATATGAAAAATGGAATAATAATTGCCGATAATACTTTTATGCTGTTAATGCCAAAATATGAATATTATTGTTGATATATGTCGTCCAGTACTTATATATCCATTCAGCAGAATATTCCGTACATAAAATGTTCTATCAGGCAAACTTGTGCGGCTCGTCTCGTTTGTGCACAGAAACACAACTTGGTCTCGTTTTTTTTCTTTCTTTTTTTTCTCTTTGCCTTCTCGTTTCTATTTTCTTCTTCTTCTTCTTCTTCTTCTTCTTCTACTTCATCATCATCATCATACAAGCACTAACCAACACCACAATGATTCTCCTTCTCTATTCTGCATTATATATTACAAATAGACGTTGTCAATTAATGAATTGAAGAAAATGAGAAGATACTTTGGCTTCGAGTTCTTATATATACAACAATCGACCGACAGCAAGAATTCATTAGAAGACGAAGAAGAAAACTTTAATTGAATTGAGAAAGAAACGAAGAAAAAATAGAAACATTGGTGCTTCATTCTCTCGCTTTTTTAATGACAATTGAAATTACTTAAATATGTGTGATAGCTATATATATATAATTTTTATTGGTCAATCAATAGACACACACACACACATACATATATATATATATATAATCGTTAGTAGTAAAGAAGAGAATTTTTAATTTAAAAGATTCACTAGTATTGTATGACTGCTAAGCCAAATATATACTAGGTTTTTTAATTATCGAAATTGATTTGTCAAGTATGCAATCTCATCTTTCTTTATTTCTATTCTCAATTCTCACAGTCAATAACTAACATCAACAACTGCTCTTTGTCTTTTTTTAGATTTAATTGAAAATAATATTTTTCATCGTTTGTCACATATAAAGATCGTTGAATCGATTGTCATTATTACAAAAAAATGTTCAAATCATTAATATATAAAGAAATAAAAGCTTTCTTTTTTAAAATTGACAGACTGAATGTCAAGAGCATTAGCTTTTCTAGTGGACTGAAAGCGATTATCGATCTTAGCAGATCAAAAAAAAAGTTTTTTTACTGAATAATTTTTTACGCAAAAACGTTCCTAGCTCACCTGTTGAAGGGGTAACAACGCGTCGGCGCGTGCTCCGACTTGCTCTCACCATGTATGGATATCTTTCGTCGTTGACGCAGCGTTTAGCGGTGTGTTCTTTTTTTTTGAAAAGAAATGAATCTAACTGTGTATGTGTGCGTACGTGTGTTACAAAAAAAGACGTGGATGTGGCGTGTGTTCTGTTCTTCTTATACATACATACGATAGGACACGAAAAAAAAAAAGAAAAAAAGAAGCAAATTGCTAAATGATGACGAAGAGAACGATGAAAAAATTTCTCTATTCACAATCACCTCTAACTGAATGAGCTAATTAAAACCACAAGATACTTATTTCTCGTTTTTTTCCTTTCTTTTTTAGTACATTCATGGTTCTCCCGGGGGGACGAGTGTGCCTTATGTATACACACTATATTATATGTAGCGGCACTTGATTATCTCTTCACATCTATGCGAAATAGCAATCACGAGGATAAAGGTATTGCTGCATGGAAAAGAAGAAGGAAAAACGACGATAAGGAAGCGGCGACATTCTTCCTGAGTCGAAGATGCGTTTGGTAAGCATACAGCAATCACATGAATTAGAAAACAATCAAATTGTAAAATTCATTAATAGTACGTTATTTTAATTTCATCTATTCATACATAATTGAAGTAAACTGGCAAAATCAAATTAGATTACGCGACCGATTGTTTCATCAGCAATGCGCAATAACATATTATTATCTTTCGAGCAGATGCTATTTAACATATACGTTCACCAATAATCAACGATAAATTCGAATCGCAAATAGAGAATGATAAACTCAACTAAAGTACTAATCTCTTTTATTACTTTATTTCTTATCATCGATAAAAATAAACTTTGCCTATTTTATTGAAAAGTGCACAGTAAGATGTCGATTGAATTCTGTTTTCTTTTGTTTTGTTTTTTTCTTCGTTTGTGATATGCACATGAATATTACGTAATTTAATGTCTTAACTTACTTACATGTACGTTTAAAAAAATGAAATCTTCAGTAAATATTCTCAACAAGTGAAATGAGCAAGATTATTCTGGTAATGATAATTAATAATCCAACGGGCCAGATTAGTAGTAGAATCGAACTCGAGTGAGTATGCACAGTCGGGATTATTTTTTTTCATGTATAATTGTTTTCATTTGTTCTTTATGCATGCGTGAAAATTTTTCTATACTTACCACTGTTATGAATGTTAAACATAGGTTTTATTAAAATTGGTGTAGGTAACATTAACGATTCAGATAGTAGATCATCGTCATCAATTAAGTCAGAAAACATTTCGTTTTTATTTTGAATTATATCTGAAATAAAAAGAAAAACTTAGACAGGATTTGTAGCTTATTTCAAGCAGATCGGATACTACAACTACCAATAAATACATCTGGAAGTATTGCTCATTCTTTTTCTCGTTTTTTCCTCGCTTTCTCTTTTTATTAGTCAAGAGGTATGAAGTATGCAAACCAACCGAATGAATCTCTGCTAAATGAGTTGAGTGAGAAACGAGATAAAAGCGAGAAGTTGAGGAAATGATGGATGCAGGAAGCCATCGCTATCGCCTCACAGCTCGTCGATTATTATTGATACTGCTGCCTGACAACAGTTATAAAGAATGTGCCGATAGTAATAAAATGAAGAATGATAGTAGTTCGTTAGGTGATTATAGTTGCATTTCGGCGTACGATTAAACTCAATCGATGAGCAACGACTAAAATTCATATAATAAAGAAAAAGAAAGTATTATAATGGAGGTAATAATAACATGACCTGGAAGAGAGAGAGAGAGAAAGAGAGCAGAAGAAAATAAAAGGACTGCATATATATATAAAACGAAAGAATCATGACATTTATGCCGTGTGAGAATGATGTGCGTATAGTATATTTGTTTCTGTGTTTAAAAAAAATGATTTAAAAATGAAAGTGGCAAAACATTTCTAAAAAAATCATCACTTCAGTGCATACACATTTAACTTAAAAATATGGCAACCGCACTACGCATTTAACAGTAAAAAAATCTTATTCTTACGAGACCATAAGTGCACGCTCGCAAATGGTCGAGTGTAAATAGACGAAAGGTGTTTTATCAGAGTGACATTATAAATGCGATTTGTCACTCATCGTTGTCGATAATAGAATAATATAACAAAAAGAAAAAAAACGTACTAAAGGACAACATCATAAGTCCCAAGTCAGTATAGGAGGATATAATTTTTGTTTGGTAATATGCTCCATAACGAGGACAAACGCTGTTCACTATGGAAGACAATTATTTTCTGGATTTTTTTAAGCATCAAAATTGATCAGGGATCATAATTCTAGTAGTTCATCGTTGAAGACTGTTACATGGATAAATCTGTTAATGAGCGGTGTACAATCATTTCGAGTAAAGGGGAAGAATTGATTGAATGAAATTCTTTATCTACTCTCTATCGATCTGCCTATGTTTGCATTTGTTCGACATACACGTTTTACATCTATTGACTCAAATGCATGACTACAATGTTCGATTATAATTGGTGATATTCGCCGAAGATAATCCTCTAGTGCAACCCTAACAAATATGTCGGCATGATTTTAACATAATCAAATAACCATCATCAAGACTAGTAGTACACTTAATAATGCTTGTCAGAAAATCGATTGATGTCATTGTTAAGATTAGATTGTACTGTGTAAAAGAAATTACCATTTAGATACAAAAAAAGAACTAAAATAAAAGAATGAAAGAATCGAACGAATGTTTGGCTCATTGAATGATGCATTAACGACTAGCAATTATCAAGTGTTGTACTCAACCACTACCAATTTCTATTGAGACGATAATAGGACAAGTAAATTATTCTCGTTTTTGATTTCATTGTAATAAGATTACATGATTTTTAGTTTGTGCTTGAAAGAATCAAATTACTAATCACACGCCGCGCAATAGTTTAGTTTGTCTTATTGTTTGAATAAGACAACAAAATGCTAATAAACTAAATGATTATTTCTTTGAAATAAATATAAGCCAATTTTTATTCATGTTCATCATAGAATAATACGTAGATCAAACTTAGCGAAATATTTCATTGTGTAGAATAGAAGAAATATATTATTTATTCATATATATATATATATCGAACGACAATAAAAAACGAAAATCATCTTTTCTATAAAACAAACTAGTTAATTTTGTTGAAAAAAAATATTGATACAGTGCATTCAGTTGGAGCACAAATTCTGCGAGGCTCTTTTTTGTTCATCACTACATGTTCAACATATGGTTGATCAATATCATGAACAGGGGTACAATCAAATAGTTTAATGGTGTTGAGGTTTTAATTCAGGGAAATAACATATACTTGATAAATCATAAATCTATGATCTGATTTATTTAAATGAACTTTTGGGGAAAAAAATGAAATATTATACTTAATTAATTGGATTAGAAATTAATTTGGAATTGTTATCTTTGATAATATTTCAAGGTCATCCTTCTCCTTTCTATGATTGAATGATATTGCTCATCTGACGATGAAATGATTTGTACAGCGGTTTCCAGCAGGTTACCTTGAACTCATTACTTACACTAGGACTATCATCTATTTGTATTATTATTTGCTGTTCTCATAATAGTACCTTGCTATTTTTATTTTCGAATCGAAAAAGAAATAAACGGTGTTGGAACTATTGTTGATTCAAATAATTATATAAAAATGAATTCTTTCATGAGCAAATAAAACTGCTGTGTTATTTGAATATCATTCATACTATTATGGTGAATCAGTTACTCAGGTCGAGCTTTATGAAGTTCATCTACGGTTGTACACGATCGATATTCGGGCTTTAACAGGGACAAATATTTATACTGATTTGAGTCTTATTAAGAATTTTCGTTAATTAAAATCTACTTTGATATCGGTTGTTGTAAGCTCTGTTCATATTCAATCACATTCTAAATAGAATTAATTCACGAACAATTTATATGAAAAATACGCATGAAATGAGTACACTTTGAAATTTAGAAAAAGACAACTAAAAAATAGTGTTAAGAAGTGTCAATCGAGCTGGATTCTTTTGTACACATATTTATGTTGTCGTTCATGGAACCTACATTAGCAGTTCGAATGAATTTTTATCAGCCAGATCATATTTTATTTTTACTAACTAGAACAGACAAAAAAAAAGAATTATTTAATAAGATAAAAAGACTGAGAAATGAGTTTATGATTCATCATAAATCAAAACAGTCAACCAAGAGGGTTTCAGAAATATCGCAGAATAAGAAAATATTATATGCCTTCAATGAAAATTTATGAAGATGGCTGTCTGACATGTTTGGCTATTTAGAGAATGAATTAAAGTAATGAACAAAATTAGACGAGCACCATGTATGTGTTGTGATCAAAATTCTAACTTCGATTTTGACTCGACGAAATTGGAAATTTCTTTGATGAACAAAATAAACTAAAGAAAAAAACATAAAAAAGTAACAATTTGAAGTTGCCGTAACTGCTTGTGTTACACCGATATTCTTTCTTATTTGATTCTACTTTCTTTCTGCTGTTGGTTATGGTTATTCATAGAAGACAAGTAGATCAAATACGAAAGAAAATCGGTGTAACACAAGCAGTTACGGCAACTTCAAATTGTTACTTTTTATGTTTTTTTCTTTAGTTTATTTTGTTCATCAAAAGGAATTTCTGATTTCGTCCAGTCAAAATGGAAATTAGAATTTTGACTGGGATTTTGTTGGACAATTTTCTAATTTTTATTTTGCCCGGTCAAATTTTTAATTTGACTGGATTTGAATTTTAACCACAACATATGTATAGATAAATCTATTTCTTTGCTATCCTTTCCTTTCTCCCTGCTTGTGTACCCATACACCACTATAGAAAGTGAAGAAACGAAAAATATAATATCTCTTGAGGGTGTGAGTAAACAGAAAAAATGGAAAAACCTAAGATTATATTCATACCCACGCCCTCAACGTTTCCACAGTAGGATCCTATCGGGTTCGTGTTAGAGTCTGATCGGAAATAATATGAATTTCATTAAACCGACGAAATCCTATCGGGATCCGGGCGTGGAACCTACAATCGGAACCCTAGTGGTGAAATTCGATAGGTTCCAGTGTTGGAATTGAACAAAATCCAACATAAGCATTGGACCCATGTGTTCTATTGACACCAGATGGTTATTCATTGGTGATTAAGAAAATGTTTTTCCGTCGGATCCGTTAGTAGTAGGGGTGGACTATTTAATTTAATACGAGTTAGTTAACGCCATTGATTAACTCGCGTTAAATAAAATTGTCCAGTCCTGGGGTGGTAAGTTTACGTTAATTCAAAACTAACGTTAGTTAAAAGCGTTAGTTTTGAATTAACGTAAACGTACCACCCCTAGATAGCAGGTCCTGGACCCGGAATCCGACCGGATTTTGTCGGCTTGCCAGATTCATTCATCTGGGTAAACGTTTGTATGATTCTACTATTTTTCATAGAATTCTTCGTTGAAAGATTGCTCTCATGTGTAGGCCATTGCATTGTTGGCTTTCTCTCATCACTTGGGCTGACAAGAAAACCTTCTGATAACGTCTACGCCACAGAACACTGTTAAAGTAGTCTATTGTAGCATAATTAGAGGCCGTAGCGTTATCATAACTTTCTGCACAGATAAATCAACATGTCTGAATATCGTATTCACGTATCTGAGTAAATCACGTTGCGTATCAATCTTGATGATTATTTTCTACTTATTCGAATATGATACTCAAGTTATCCAGTCGCACCCCTTGGATCGAACATTCGTCACAAGTTTCAACAACAAAACAATTTGTTTCGCAGCCACCCTCACAAAATGGTCGTCAATATCTTGTGTTTTGCCATTCTTTTATTATGACAAGTTCTGAATGAATTGTGTTTTGGCTGGGTTCACGTTACTTCATTAATGTGCTGATCATCAACAACGCAGCAGACAAAATATGAAAAATTGGGCTTCATCCTTCTCACCTGCATCATTCGTGTCTTTCACATCATTATTCCCTTTTTCCATTAACATCATGCACGAAACTGCAATATGTTCATTTTTTATTTACTGCCCAATCTCCATAGTGGAAAAAAATCTTTTATGCACGCCGCGAAAACATTTTAAACTGTACCCCCGACGAGTTCTATTCTCACTCCACATTTCAACGAATCGATTCTGCGTTTCGCCTTTATATCGAAAACCAAAGGTTTCCATAACACCGACATTAAACCATGAAATCATAGAAACACGGAACTCAGACACTTAGCTGA